CCTGCAGCAGAGATGGGATGATGGTGTTGAAGGCAGAGATGAAATCCACAAACAGGATCCTGGCGTAGCTTCCTGGGGAGTCCATATGTAGGAGGATGAAGTGGAGGGCCATGTTGACAGCATCATTTGCAGAACTGTTGGTTCTGTTGGCGATCTGCAGAGGGTCCAGGAGGAGGTCGGTGAGAGTTGTCAGGTGTGACAGGACTAGCCGTTCAAAAGACTTCATGACTACAGAGGTCAGGGCGACGGGCCTGTAGTCATTGAGTCCTGTGATCCTGGGCTTCTTGGGAACAGGGATGATGGTGGAGCCCTTGAACCAGGCTGCTACGTGGCATGTCTCCAGGGAGGTGTTGAAGATGTCTGTGTGAACACAGCTGATCAGCACAATGCTTCAGGGTGTGAGGGGAGACGGAGTCCGGACCGTCTGCTTTGTGAGGATTTTGTCTTTTAAAGAGACCGTTAACGTCTCTCTCCAGAAAAGAGACGGTCGTTGCGGGTGAGGGGGATGGGGGAGGGGAGGATGATGGAGAGGCGTGAGCCCCTCATGGGGTGGTGGAGGGAGGGTTGGGGGTCTGGGGCAGGTTGGTGGAGCTGTGGGGCATGGAGTCAGGACATTGACTATCCCAGTGTTCCAGTGCAGGACGAGGGACGACGTGATAAGCCCTGGTTACTGTGGTGTAAGGTAACCAGCGCGTTTTTCCGTATTTCCCACGCTCGTTTGAATCCTACTTGAAAGACCGGGAATACTTTTGTGTCTGTAGCTAATTACACATTAGATCTGAAGACATTACATGTGGTGTTCCCCAAGGTTCGATACTGGAGCCCTTTCTGTTCAATATCTACAAGCTACCATTAACTCAGATAATGGAAAAAAGTAACTACATCACTCTGGAACTACAATCCTTAATCCTAAACAAGGGCTGGGTAAATGCAAAGAACAAATTAACAACTGGATGTGCTAAAACTTTAATTAAACAAAGATAAAACCAAAGTAATTGTTTTTGGTAACAAGGATGAACGATTGAAAGTCAGTGCTGTGCTTCTATCACTGATGTTAACAACCACAAACAAGCTAGAAATCTAGATGTAATTATAGATTCTGGCTTCAACCTGAACAGCCATATCAAGAAACAAAATCACCCTACTATCACCAAAGAATCAGGGATTAGAGGATTTACTGTATGTCTCAACCAGATTTGGAAAAACCTGTCCATGCATTTATCTTTATTAGACTTGACTACTGTAACTGTGTTTTTAAAAAATCAATCAGAAAGCTACAGCTGGAGCCAGAAGGCTTCAGTTCCAGTCCTCACCAAGACCAGGAAAGTGGATCACATCACTCCAAATCTCAGGTCTTTAAACTTGCTTCTGACAAATGATTTAACTCAAAACCCTGCTGTTGGTTTATAAAGCACTGAATGGTTTGAGGCAAAAGTATATTTCTGATCTGCTGATACCTTATGAACCACCGCAAACCCTTAGGTTGTCTGGGACGGTTCTACTTTCTGTTCCCAGAGTCAAAACTAAATATGGAGAAGCAGCGTTCAGTTCTTTTGCTCCACATTTCTGGAACAAAGTCACAGAAATCAGCAGGTCTACTGAGTCTCTAATCTCCTTTAAATCAAGATTAAATAATTTTTGGATTGTTGCTGCCTTCAATCGACCATTTCTGCATTTCAGAATTTTAGTACTCTTTACACTTTCTTTTATGTTTCAACCAATGTTCGTAGCTGTTTGTAAATCTCCTTAGTTTATATCTGGGTGTTTTTATTGGTTTTATGTCAAGCACTTGACAACAATGTCCTTGTTTTTTAAATTATATATATATGAATGAAAACAGGTGTCAGAAAAGGTTGGTTTGAGACTGGATTGATGAGTTTAGAAGAGTAAAAAAAAAAACATTCCTGACCTATTTTTCACAATTGGCCTGAATAAACCCAACATTATCCCTCTTCCCCATGTTTTCAGTTGTGAGCACCCATTGGTCCACATGGTAACACGTGGAATCTTTTTGTCAGGACCTCGTGAGGCCTCACAGATGCAGTGTCAGTTGTCATGGACTGCAAGGTACAGAACCTCTGCATTCTGTTGGCTTCAATAGTAAGTTGCTGAGTAGTGGGTTTCTGAGGGGGAGGAGTCAGTGACTCTTTCCTTTGGTCAGGTATAAAAGGAAAGGGTTAAACCAGGTAGGTACACAGTTCAGGAGCAACAGCCCATCTGCAACCAACATGAGCAACTCCGGCATGAACATGAGGGGAAAGGTACATTCTGAAAAACTTTTTTTAATAAGCAGGAATGAATGCTGCTCTATTCCTAAACATTACAATTTTCTTGTTTTTCAGATCATCTTCTACGAGGAGAAGAACTTCCAGGGTCGCTCCTATGAGTGCATGAGCGACTGCTCCGACATGTCCTCCTACCTGAACAGGTGTCACTCCTGCAGGGTGGAGAGTGGCTGCTTCATGGTGTACGACCGTCCTAACTATATGGGAAGCCAGTACTTCATGAGGAGGGGAGAGTACTCTGACTACATGAGCATGATGGGCATGAGCGGTGGCATCAGGTCTTGCCGTATGATCCCCATGGTAGGTTAAAAACAGCATCCATCAAACTCTGATTCTACTTAAGGTTAGACCCTCCACAAGACTTGATGTTAATACATTTATTTTGAAATTCTCTTTGTAAAAACAGCACAGGGGACAGTACAGGATGAAGATCTACGAGAGGGAGAACTTCGGCGGTCAGAGCCACGAGATGATGGACGACTGCGACAACATCATGGACCGTTACCGCATGAACGACTGCCAGTCCTGCCACGTGATGGACGGCCACTGGCTGATGTACGAGCAGCCCCAGTTCAGGGGCAAGATGATGTACATGAGGCCCGGAGAGTACAGGAGCTTCAGGGACATGGGCATGAGCGGCATGAGGTTCATGAGCATGAGGCGCATCACTGACATGTGCTAGACATTTTGAAATAAAATATGAAAGATATACAAAAACTTGAGCTTGTGACTTTTTTTTCTCTGGTTCTACTGATGGTGATTAATGAGAGTACGAATACAAAAAAGGTACTCACACCAAGCATATTCACAACTTCGCTCTTATAAACATAAAGGGGCAGGAAGTTCATGAGCATGAGGCGCATCACTGATTCCTGCAACTAAATGTTCAATAAATGTTTCTTGAATATATTAAATGTCATTAAATGAATAATTTCTTCACATCCTTTTGTCAAGATTATTGCCCAACAATGAAATATATTATACAAAAATATATAAATAGAGAAAACGGTTCATGAAATGTAACATATAGGAATTATTTTGAGATAGCGACCTAAAAAGTTGAATTGTCAGTTTATACAGCTAAGACTTCAAACAGGCCTCTTTGTTAAGAAAACACCAAATCACTCAGCCAAAATTCCTTTATTGGCACAGCTAGCAGCAATTAGAGGCCTAAGATGATCATTAAGTGACCTAAAAAGCTTGCGACAGTTCCCTGACATTTTGGTTCAACGTTTGACTGATTCAGCTGTAATGGCGCAGGATTTTGTCCACAGTTATGAAATATCAGTATTGGCTATTTTGTTAGCTCTTAACCTCTGAGACCGGCTCCTACTCTCTACCAATGTGTGCTGAGGCTTATGTGGGCATTAAACTATTTAGAGTCATATCTGCCAGGGAAAACAAAATATTCTCATTTGGAATAATTAACACAGATGACAATAATATAAACATTCCGGACACTTGTGTTTCTACAATATGTTGAAGAAACATTGCGGAGGTTATCAACAAACAAATTCTGAAATCACAAGCTCTGTATTGTTTAAATTTCAAAGTCAATGCTGTGTAACTTAAACAGAATTTTATTCTCCACTGCAGTGTGGTCTCAAACTTCCTCACATTTTACCACAGGTAGACAAGGACAATACAACCTATAACATATTTTTTTATTCATTTAAAATATCTGAATATTAAACCTTACATCATGGGTTAGTTTACATCTCCATTAATATAGGAATCACGCACACACAATGATTAAAGTGTTTGCTGATTCTCAATGACAAACCAAGTACCCAATTATTTTCTTTCTTAAATTCACACATTTTGTATTTGTTAAATCTTTGGATTATTTTGATGAATTGAATGTTTGTTGGATATTATTTTCAGTTTTCTCCTCTAATGCCAGTTGTAGGCTGCACAATAATTTTCTATATTAAAGATGCAACTAACGGTCTGCAGAATATTAACATAGCAACACACATCTTTTTGCTGTATAAAAATACACAGTAAAGTGATGTTGACATGAGCAGAGAATGAAACCAATTTCCATCTGTGTGCGTTGTTATTAGAGCTTCTCTTTGTTAACGTAGCCGGGTCGGCCGTGCATGCCTTTGTGGCATATTGGTGCATGTGTCACAGTGGTTGGCTCTGCACTGCGCCAATACTGCGCTTCCATCCGATTACGATTAGCGATGTCATAGAAGCGTAGCTCCGCCTTCTGGCGCCTCCTGAGGTTTTGGCCCTGTAAACACTTCGCCCTCACAAACTAGCAGAGAGTCAATAGAAAATTCCCCCAATGTGGAATAAAGCACCTTGAGACAGTCACTTCGTCAAACTAACTGAAGTCATAAAATTGTGGACCGTGATTCAAAACAAGTTGAGTAATGTCACCGGTAGAGACGTGCTTGATACTGACCTCTGAGAACAAGAATGAAAAGGTTGGTTTGAGACTGGATTGATGTTGAGTTTAGAAGAGTAAAAAAACAAAACATTCCTGACCTATTTTTCACAATTGGCCTGAATAAACCCAACATTATCCCTCTTCCCCATGTTTTCAGTTGTGAGCACCCATTGGTCCACATGGTAACACGTGGAATCTTTTTGTCAGGACCTCGTGAGGCCTCACAGATGCAGTGTCAGTTGTCATGGACTGCAAGGTACAGAACCTCTGCATTCTGTTGGCTTCAATAGTAAGTTGCTGAGTAGTGGGTTACTGAGGGGGAGGAGTCAGTGACTCTTTCCCATGGTCAGGTATAAAAGGAAAGGGTTAAACCAGGTAGGTACACAGTTCAGGAGCAACAGCCCATCTACAACCAACATGAGCAACTCCGGCATGAACATGAGGGGAAAGGTACTGTCTAAAAGATTTTTTTTTAATAAGCAGGAATGAATGGAACCATCACCACCGTGCTGCTCTATTCCTAAACATTACAATTTACTTGTTTTTCAGATCATCTTCTACGAGGAGAAGAACTTCCAGGGTCGCTCTTATGAGTGCATGAGCGACTGCTCCGACATGTCCTCCTACCTGAGCAGGTGTCACTCCTGCAGGGTGGAGAGTGGCTGCTTCATGGGCTACGACCGCACCAACTACATGGGAAGCCAGTACTTCATGAGGAGGGGCGAGTACTCTGACTGCATGGGCATGATGGGCATGAGCGGTGGCATCAGGTCTTGCCGTATGATCCCCATGGTAGGTTTAAAACAGAGATTTAAAGGTAGTCTTTGAGCGATACCTTTTTTCCTCGGAAATAATTCACATTGCCGTCTTGTTTCTTCAAAACAGCACAGGGGACAGTTCAGGATGAAGATCTACGAGAGGGAGAACTTCGGCGGTCAGAGCCACGAGCTGATGGACGACTGTGACAACATCATGGACCGTTACCGCATGAACGACTGCCAGTCCTGCCACGTGATGGACGGCCACTGGCTGATGTACGAGCAGCCCCAGTTCAGGGGCAAGATGATGTACATGAGGCCCGGAGAGTACAGGAGCTTCAGGGACATGGGCATGAGCGGCATGAGGTTCATGAGCATGAGGCGCATCATGGACTCCTTCAACTAAATGTTCAATAAATCAAATGCCGTTCAATAAAACATTTTTGGAAATTAACAATTGCCTCACTGCCTCAATGAAATACAAAATATATATATTTATACATCTGATATATTTCACCTTCTCAGACAGTACATACTTTTTCCCCGGCTGTTTTAAATATTGTAAAAAATTTAGATTTTTATTATTAATCTAGACAGCAAAAGGCATGTAACACTGATGTTGAAAGAAGGATATATATTCTGGCTATATAGAAAATTTAAATAATACACGCTACAGAAAATCTTATTAAGCCCGAAAGAAAGAAAGAAAGAAAAAGTTTTTGGGGTATTAAATAATCAGGGGACACACACCTCTTTAACAAATGATGGCCATGATGCAGGTTACAAAGACATGTAAAACATCCCCCTACATTCTTTTTGTTTTATCCGTTATTCATTTTATGTTCTTTATCTACCATACATAATAAAATCTGTGCAATAGCCCCATAAGTAAAGAATTGTCTGGAAGACAATGAAAGAACCATTGAAATAAAATATCTTCAAAACAGAATTGCAGCAGTCTGACATCTTTCCTTTGCTTTTTTGGGCCATCCCCCGCTACCTGCACGCCAAGCCTGACCATATGACTCCACCATAATGTACCCAGAAGAATGCTTATTCGGCCAGCAGGTTGTTTGTGCTGACTTTCATGACTTATAACCTTTTGTGCACCCACGGTTTCGTAAAGGGAAGAGTCATGTGCAAGGTTTCTCCGAGGCATTGATTTGCAAAACTTGATGCCTGGGTGGGAAGAGGACTGTTTTTTGTACTTCAGCAATCTGGTCTACCAGCCCTTCTAGCTCGCTCTCAAGTTAGCTGAGCTCCATTCTGCACTTAAGCCTGTTACAAACCCGCCTGCGATCCTCGACCCTCCTTCACCCGGAACTGTTAGCTCTTAGTCTGCTTTCCAGTCTGCTCACCTCCAGTCTTCTGATGACCAGCCTTCACTCTGGCCTTCTGGCCTTTGTTGTCGGCATCCAGAGCGGTCCTTCCCCTACTAAGTGACGTCCCAACTGTCACAAGCACAATTATGAATTAGCTAAAAAACCTGCTCTTCAATGTCCGTAGTTAAATGGTTTCCAACCTTGAGCGAAAATCTGTACAATGAAGTTGCTTTGAACTTCGGATTTTATAAAACATTTCAACGGTAAGTGTTAACTCAACCATTGATGTATCTAATGTTTGTTTATAATACAATATAGTAATAATCTTAAGACATAAAATAAAGCACCAATAAAACTATGCCATAGTTGTTGGTTTTCATGCCTACGACTCCCAAGAGTTCAGTGAACTGAATGCTGTTTTGTACACGTTTACAGCAAGATTACTTTACCGTTACCTACAATTTAAGTCAATCCCATTAGGTAAATATTGGACTATATAAGTCCAATATTTGTCAGTTGATTGATCAAATGATTGTTACTTTGATACGTTTCGCGGTAAAAAAAAAAAGATCAATTGTCGGGGCCAAAAGGGGAACATTTCTAAAGTCTTCCAGGGGTCTGTGACGGGGTAATGCAACGCAGTAACACAGGCCTGTACAGAGCTCTATACCATGTTGCTGGGTCAGGGTTTTGAACAATGAGGGGCCACTGACCGTAGGGTTTGGTCGGCTATAAAAGCAAGGGTTAAACCCAACAGGACAGCAGTGCAGCAGTAGCAACAGCAGCATCTCATCTACAAATATGACCACCACTGACATGAGCATGGGCAAGGTAAGCACCTGGATCATTTTAAACACAAATCTGAATCTTTGCTGAAACAAATAATTTCCATGCTTTTACCGACAATCAAAAAAACGAACTAACGCATCCCTTGTTTTCAGATCATCTTCTACGAGGAGAAGAACTTCCAGGGTCGCTCCTATGAGTGCATGAGCGACTGCTCCGACATGTCCTCCTACCTGAACAGGTGCCAGTCCTGCAGGGTGGAGAGTGGCTGCTTCATGGTCTACGACCGTCCCAACTACATGGGAAGCCAGTACTTCATGAGGAGGGGCGAGTACTCTGACTACATGAGCATGATGGGCATGAGCGGTAGCATCAGGTCTTGCCGTATGATCCCCATGGTAGGTTTAAAGCAGCATCCATCAAACTCTGATTCTACTTAAGGTCAGACCCTCCACAAGACTTGATGTTAATACATTTATTTTGAAATTTATCTTTGTAAAAACAGCACAGGGGACAGTACAGGATGAAGATCTACGAGAGGGAGAACTTCGGCGGTCAGAGCCACGAGATGATGGAGGACTGCGACAACATTATGGACCGTTACCGCATGAACGACTGCCAGTCCTGCCACGTGATGGACGGCCACTGGCTGATGTACGAGCAGCCCCAGTTCAGGGGCAAGATGATGTACATGAGGCCCGGAGAGTACAGGAGCTTCAGGGACATGGGCATGAGCGGCATGAGGTTCATGAGCATGAGGCGCATCACTGACATGTGCTAGACATTTTGAAATAAAATATGAAAGATAAAACAAAAACTTGAGCTTGTGACTTTTTTTTCTCTGGTTCTACTGATGGTGATTAATGAGAGTACGAATACAAAAAAGGTACTCACAACAAGCATATTCACAACTTCACTTTTAGAAACATAAAGGAAATTATGAATGAAGGGAAAAGATTATTATTTTATTGACACAACACTGCATAAACCATCACCAGATAAACCTTGAGTTTAGAGAGTAAAAAACATCAAATTAAAAAAAATCATCTATAAATACAATTCATATATATACATATTCTGCAACAGAAAATGCAAAAAACATTTGTTTAGCAAATAAAGATAAGAATACAATCTCAGTTCTGTGAAATATTATTACAAATAATGATGTTATATAGTTGTACATATAGTACAAGATTTATTAAATGTATTTTCTTTCGCCTAAGTATAAGGTAGAACAATTTTTGAGATTTCTCAATATTTAATATTCCATATTATCATTATTTACCCTCATTACTGTATCATTTCATTTTCATTTATTTACCCAGGTCAAAGTCTCATTCTGACTGAAATATTGTTTCTAGACCGATTTGGCCAAGAACAACAGTTTAGATCAAATAAAGAGTATAATGAATATCCACTTAAGAGGCTGTAACTAAAATACATATTAAAATACAGCATAGATCACTATTGACTGGGTTTCCATCTTTGTAGTGATGTATAACCCATATTCCACTCTTTACTCCAACATGTAATATACAAAGTACATGTCAATTGCAATTGCAAATGTTGAATACTACTGTAATTATTTAAACAACTGATAACATAATGCCCCGCGACCCTGCGTGCAGGATAAGCGGTTTGACAATGGATGGATGGATGGATGGATAACATAATGCATTAGTTATTTGTGTACATTGTGACAGTATGATGAAAGAAATCATAAAGGTTTGTTACAATCACATATTTGCTGCACCCTTTGTAAAATTCATGCACATAAACCTAGCACCTTTGTGTGAGAACTTGAGATTATTTGCACTTTTACTTGTAAATAAAAATATATTGCTGAATACTCTAATGCAGTAATCACAAAAAATGAACCAGCAGATGCAGAAGCATTTGGTCCAGAATGATGAGCCCATGTGAGGACCCTTTCCCATCAGCATTCACAGAGGGTCCGGCGTTGCATGCCGCTGACTGCTCACTTTCATACAATGGTGCCATTGATTGTTTGGATGCCACGTTGGCTATAAAAAAGCCTTAAATCCGGGATAGGATTGCTATAGCATCACTCAATCTATCAGCCACCATGCACGGCAGGGTGAGTGTATCGTGGATGCTCCACTGGAGTTGTTGTGTTTTCCGTCTCAACCTTTCTGTATTTACATGTTGTGCGTATAACCTTTTTGGATGCTGTTACCTCAACATATATATATATATGTTATATATATATATATATATATATATATATATATATATATTTGGTGTCCGTTCCATCCCAATGTGTGACGTGGTCCCTCTGTCGGATTCTAGATCATCTTCTACGAGGACAAGAACTTCCAGGGTCGCTCCTATGAGACCAACAGCGACTGCGCTGACATGGCCTCCCACCTGAGCAGGTGCCATTCCTGCAAGGTGGAGAGCGGCTGCTTCATGGTGTACGACCGCACCAACTTCATGGGTCAGCAGTACTTCCTGAGGAGGGGCGAGTACTCCGACTACCAGCGTATGATGGGTTTCGGTGACTGCATCAGGTCCTGTCGCAACATCCCCATGGTACGACGACACAGAAGAGCACTGCAGACATCGAATGGCTTCTAATCCGAGTTTTCCTTCTAAAATGACCAATCGCTATGTATGTTTTTTTTTAACAGCACAAAGGGTCTTACAAAGTGAGGCTCTACGAGAAGGAGAACTTCGGCGGTCAGATGAACGAGATGATGGAGGACTGCGACAACATCCAGGACCGCACACGCATGTCCGACTGCCAGTCCTGCAACGTGATGGACGGCCACTGGCTGATGTACGAGCAGCCGCAGTTCAGGGGCAAGATGATGTACCTGAGGCCCGGAGAGCACAAGAGCTTCAGGGAGATGGGCTACGACGGAATGAGATTCAGCTCCATCAGACGCATCACTGACTCCTGCTAACTTTACCGACTGATGCTTTAAAACACAACCTCGAAAATAAATGAATAAATCCCATTTATTATGTGGTGTATTTCATCCTAATGATTGTTTTTTTATGAGTTAGATTGAATTGTTTTTTGCTTCATTAAAATGCAACATTTAAGGGGAAACATCCTTGATGATAAAATATGTTTTATCAGAAGATGTTTAGGGGAATGCCTCTATTTCTCATATGTAAATTAAAGTTACAGAAGTGTAGGTACCACATTTCAAATTAAGTTAAAACAAATTAACTGTTGTAGTTGTTACAGATTTTAAGAATAAATACAAAATGAAAAGAGTAGCTTTGAGTATAATGGGTAAAAACTAGGGCTGTCAACATAAACACGTTAATCTATGCGATTAATGTAGCCGAAATGAATGCGACAAAATATTTTAGCGCAGTTAGCAGCCGCTAGCTGCAGTCAGTTACATCAGAGAAAGCAAGACAGTAGCTCAAGATAAAGAGAGCTTTTTGCATTGGAAGTGAAAACAAAGAGCGGCGTGACATACAGCAGAGAACTGTGCTGAGGAATTCCTCCACGTGTCAAACAAAAGCGGGTTGCGTGGCAAACGGATCCGTTAAGCTAAGCTAGCTGCTAGCCTAAACTAGCTGGAAGAGTTGCCTGATCAACATGTTCCACGCGGTGGAATTCTGCCTCTAAGATGATCAAATGTGTGTAGTTTTGTGTTTAACTTTAACAATTAAACAACAGTGTAAAATACATGTGATTACTTATTACTTGTCAAATTTAGTCTTTAGAAGAAAAACAAACATTCATTAAAAAACGAATTGTAACAACAACATTTATTAATCGCCATTAATCAAGATTAATTAATTTCAAAATATGTGATTAATTAGTTAATTTTTTTAAATCTATTGACAGCCCTGGTAAACACCCAAGGTGTAGAGAAGCATTGTGGGTCCGTATCAGGCGCTGAAGGTCTCGGGCCGGGCTGTTGAGTAGACCTGTTCCTCTGTCGGTTTCTCTCGCTCCATCATCTGCTTTGTAATTTACAGCCTGCACATTAAATCATTGTGTTGTTAATGTCTAAATAGAATATGGCTCTGAATCTTGTGAGTTCTTCCTTCTTCAGCAGCTCAGTGACTCCGGTCTGTGATACTAACAATTAATCACTGAAGCTACTTTGCTGCCTAAACAATGTATTCTTTTTAAATATTAGAGATGCCATACACAGACTGTATTTTCACAAACTTATCAGGTTACTTGTACGTGTATATCATATCATTTAAGGCCACAAGTCAATTTGTAGTTTTACTATTATTATTTATCCAATGTATTTCCAATTGTATGCCAGATTTGAAGCTGTTTTAACTTATTACATTTTGGCTGTCTGTGTGAAACGTATTCATTTCTATATTATTTAAGATTGTAATTAACAATAAATAAAAGAGACTTTTAAAAAAAACTGTGAGCTAGTTTTGTTCGCTATTTAGTATTCAATGCATAGACTTTATTGTCATCAGTCACTAGTCTCATTGAGGGAAATACAGTACAAAGTAGTATTAATCTAATCATGAAGAGGTATATCAGATACAAGAAATAAAGGGGAACAGTAAACATTGAACAAGCTGTATACAAGCTAAATAAATAGTTCATGTTTGGTGGTTGATAGAGGGAAACCAGCATGAGGATCTACCACTTTCCATAGCTTGAATATTAACATTTAGTAATACTGAGTTTATGTGACAATGTTTATCACATAAATTCTCATAATGTAGAAAACAAAAGCCAAAAATTAACGGCTACAAGGTACTTTAATCTGTAAAAAATATAAAAACAATAAGATATTTCCTGTCGTAATGACTATTTGAAATCTGTTCAATGGTTCAGTAATAGAAATCAAAAAAGATTTAATGTCGCTCTAAAATTCTAGTTTTTAGTTTTCATTTAATGTACGTTTCAATGTTTATTTTGCTTCAGGAGACTGTATTTATTTATTGCTAACAAAACCATATCCTCTAATCTATTTTATTTTGCTCATCCATTAGAAGCAACATATCTAATGGCGGTACGGTATGTTTTTTGGGGAAAACAAGTCCTCTGTTGTTCATCAGCGCAGACAATGCTCCGCGGGGCCTCCTTTTTAAAAATGCAACCACCGCAAATCACCGCCCGCCGAAGGTCACGTTGCATTGAGCTGCACCCGGGGGCCTCGGCAGCGCGGTGCTCCGTCAGGAATTTGAACAATGGGAGTCATGTAACGTTTGGGTAGGAGGTCAGGTATAAAAACCACCGGGGGACATCGAGAAAAGCGTGCAGTCCCTTTGAGCTGAAACCGCAACAACCGCAGTCATGACCATGGGCAAGGTGTGTACATCTGTAATCTAATGAAAGCTGACGACACATTACAAAAAAATCTACACTGTCATCAATGTGGTTTCTGCTTTCCTAGATCATCTTCTACGAGGACAGGAACTTCCAGGGTCGTTCCTATGAGACCAGCAGCGACTGTTCCGACATGTCCTCCTACCTGAGCAGGTGCCACTCCTGCAGGGTGGAGAGCGGCTGCTTCATGGTGTACGACCGCCCCAACTACATGGGCAACCAGTACTTTGTCAGGAGGGGCGAGTACTCCGACTACCAGCGCATGGGAATGAGCGACTGCATCAGGTCCTCCCGCATGATCCCCATGGTACTGTAGCTCATCACTTCTCCTTCGTTTGACACCACACATTGACGTTGTTTGAAGGAGGATTCCAGTGACTCACGCTCACTTGAATTTACAGCACAAGGGACAGTTCAGGATGAAGATCTACGAGAAGGAGAACTTCGGCGGTCAGAGCCACGAGCTGATGGACGACTGCGACAACATGATGGACCGTTACCGCATGAACGACTGCCAGTCCTGCCACGTGATGGACGGCCACTGGCTGATGTACGAGCAGCCCCAGTTCAGGGGCAAGATGATGTACATGAGGCCCGGAGAGTACAGGAGCTTCAGGGACATGGGCATGAGCGGCATGAAGTTCATGAGCATGAAGCGCATCATGGACTCCTGTTATTAGGTCGCAAATGTACAGAACCAAGATTTTAAATAAAATCCAGTGATTCTCTTTTAAATGAAGTCCTCGGTTACTTTTTAATGAGTGATCCAAAACGCATGCAACATGTTAAAGCGATTAACACAAAATAATACAATAAATGGGCACACCATCAGATAGCAGCACTACTAGTAAATAATCGAAATACTATTTATCCATATGAATCATTCTTTGTCATTCCTTTCAAGAGTAAAGGGCATAAAGTATGGAATTGATTGGTATTGGTTGGGGGAATTTATTAATATATCAGTATCAGTATTAATATCAGTATTTATCATTGATAGTGCACCCTTATTCTGTTTGTAGTAAAAATAAATGTAGGTGGGGAAATCTTCACATACTTTCAATTGAAGTCTTATATGCCATTCGCATAAAAACATATCATTTTTTTGTCTTTTGTGTCTATTACACTATTATCTTATAAAACCAAAATCACACGCCTTATTGTACCTAAAATACACTTCTACCATGCGTCAATGTAAAAGATTTGCGTACAGCACATTTATTAATAGTTTACATAATGAAAAAAGATCATAGAGGACCATAGATGTTATTGACAGTCTTTTCCACAGTTGTTTTACAATACTCACACTGCACAGTAGTTTCCATTAATGACAGAATGAACATCTATTCGTTACTTCTTTTAACTTCAGAGAAACTTTTTTTTAACTTTATGTCATGAAAGCTTATTTCGTAATATGCCCTGAAAACAGTTAATTAAAGTTGAGTGGTTCAAAAGACAAGCGGCATGACGACCAATAAGTAATAAAACATATTGGTTGGATGTTTCGGACACGGTACTTAACACAGGAGACCTCTGCCCGAGTCCTTTGGAAACAAAAAGAAAAGGTTCAACCGTTATTTTTATATGTCAGTCACGTTCATGTGTTTCATTGTCATAGTTACTATTTACACAATAATTTCATTGATCTTTTCTCCAACCCAACCTCATTTCACAGGTAGCGGGGAATGAGAGGTGTATGTTACAAGCTGTCACTAGGCAGCGTGGCGTCATAGCGCAGCGCTTTAGCATCTATGAATGAAAACGGGATTCTGAACAACTTGCTGGAAGCCAACAGGCGATTATCATGTCTGAACTAACAGAGGCTCCTTTCCAGAGATGGACCATCCCAATGCGGACGGAGAGCGTGGGTGATGCGTTGTAGAAACCTCATTGAAAGAGGCCTCCACCAGCAGCTAGCGTAACAGCTAACAGTGTGCTAACAATAGCCATGTTTGTTGTTTACGTCGATGGCGAAGATTTGGGGGACTGGCTTTGTGAGAAGGACTAAAGGAACTAAAGTTTGCTACTAACACCTGAAAAAGACTGAGCTGTGTTTTAACGTTGGCTATTTTTATTTTATCCAGCGTACTCTTAGTTTCTCCTGTACTAACGTTTACAGCTTTGAGCGGCAAAAAGTTACCAAGTGACATACAAAGTTATGTATTTAACCAAAATGTTAGAAGAGCTGATATTTTTGAACAAACGCGTAATACCTCTCCTTTTTGCGGCCATTATTATAGTTAATTTCTTATTTATTTGTTTGTATCTTTGTTGCATTTAATGTAGTCTTGCATCTATTTCACTGCTCCTTGAGTGGACCTTTTGAATCTTTCAACACTGTTCAACATTACTTAATAAAGCAGCTATGAATGTTGCATAGTTGAAGAAGACAAACCACTAAAAGGAGGCATGCTCGCAACACGGCCATAGTATGTATTACACGGTGTTTTTATTTACTGAAGTCAAATACAGAAGTCTAGCACATGTCGGTGATGCGCCTCATGCTCATGAACCTCATGCCGCTCATGCCCATGTCCCTGAAGCTCCTGTACTCTCCGGGCCTCATGTACATCATCTTGCCCCTGAACTGGGGCTGCTCGTACATCAGCCAGTGGCCGTCCATCACGTGGCAGGACTGGCACTCGTTCATGCGGTAACGGTCCATGATGTTGTCGCAGTCGTCCATCATCTCGTTCATCTGACCGCCGAAGTTCTCCCTCTCGTAGATCTTCATCCTGAACTGTCCCCTGTGCTGTAACGCAATACAGTAGAGATGTAAGTACGGGCCCACATGCAACTAAAAAAAGTAAAGTTTAAATGTATGAGATATTTAAGGGATGTGCTGAGGTGCCGTACATGGGGGATCATCCTGCAGGATCTGATGGAGTCGAACATCATTCCCATGCTCATCATGCGCTGCATATCATGGTACTCGCCCCTCCTCATGAAGAACTGCTGACCCATGTAGTTTGGGCGCTCGTAGACCATGAAGCAGCCGCTCTCCACCCTGCAGGACTGGCACCTGCTCAGGTAGGAGGACATGTCGGAGCAGTCGCTCATGCACTCATAGGAGCGACCCTGGAAGTTCTTCTCCTCGTAAAAGACGATCTGAAATGGAGAACAGAGGGGAGATTCGGAATAAGATCTTTGTGCATCCTACGTACTTTGATGTTTTTTTTGTTATTTGTGAAGTAAACACCCCATTACCTTGCCCATGATGGTGGTTTAGGTGGTTCCCAGAGGATGGTTCAACTTGCTCTGCTAGCTCCACGAATCCAGGGCCTTTTTATACAAAACCCTGGGGGCCATGATGTGTTGTTATTCAAATGTGCAAAGCTGATGAACTAGCAGTATGACTTTTGCTGAACAGGGTCTATAAATGTGTAACAATGGTTCTCCATCCATACATTTCTGGCAGCCGTCATCTCCATTGTCTATTATAAGCAGGGGTTTTGTTTGTGTACTATTCTCAGTCAGAAGGTTCTCCACATACGGTCAGATCACCGCTGATGGAAAAAATAGACTGTGTCAAACCTACGAGAAACCCAGAGCCAGTACACCGTCAGTGGGAAAACTTTGTTATATTGCACAAAGTTGACAAATAACAAATACTGTGTTACTTATATCAATTTATTTAATAATTAATTTACTGCACTTATCCAAACGAATGCACATGACCTTAAACATAATAGATGAAAACACAACATTTGAAAACAGCACTGAATTAATATAAAATATTCATCTCAGTGTACCTTATTATTCTTATTACTAATTGGTAAACGAGTAGAAGGTACATTTACAGGTACAGGGGTCGACGCAGGGGTAGAGAGGGCGTGAGCTGGGAACCACGAGGTTTGTGGTTCGAGTCCTGGCTTCCCCATGTCAAAGTGTCCCTGAGCAAGACGCCTAACCCCTAATTGCTCCCCGGGCAAAATGTAAAAAAGCCATGGGTTAAAAATGTAAGTCGCTTTGGATAAAAGCGTCAGCTAAATGACCTGTAATGTAATTTATGAGAATACCGTAATTATATTCATATTTATATATGAATGTACAGAATAATGTCTTCTTTTTTCTGTCTAAATGTCTGAAATTAATATTTGAAACAAAGTTAAAATAAAAGGAGGAAAGGTTGGCGCCTCAATAAAAGCAAAATGAAATACGACATAAGAAGAAACAGAAACATAAACCTTGCTCACATGGATACATGAAAGTCCCATCATGTTTTCCATAGTGTTTATATTTATTTGTGGATTTTTACTCATGATTAGTCTCGTTCTGTTCCTCTGTTTGTTCAAATTACATGTTTGGTTCAGCAAGATAATCTCCTTTGGAAGCGTTAATGTCGTCGCCAGCTGACGAGCTTCACCACAGCTAAGCTAACGGTGGACTACGGCTCGAGTGATGACGTTTAGTCGTCTCATTTAGACGCTTGTGTGAAGGAACATCAGAGCTTCAAAACTCATGATTACTGATGGAATTTATGTAGTACAGTATACCAAATATCTCATTTCTGGAACCAAAAAGCCATTAAAACCCCCGATTGACCTCAGTGCAAAAATGTGGACTCATTATTTGGAGTATTTGGACCCATTGGAGAGAGACGATCGGGGGAGAAAATCGCTGGAATAACAATCTGCAATGTTGAATGTTATTGTAGGAATTAAGAATTTAGAATAGCACATCCTATCCTGATATGATTCAAATGTTTTAATTGTGTTATTCTAAGGAGTAGAACAGTGAACATAAGTGAGTTTGCGAAAGCACGTCACAGAAGTAAAGATTTAACAAGTATTGTCCACTGGTGGGTAGTTTATTTGCTTTGGAGCAGCTTTAGTACATTTATGTAACTGCTGTTGTTATATTGAAGGAACAAACACAATTAACAACAATCACAAAATACGTACAACATCTGCAAACTACACAGTTGAAAGCTGCCGCAGCGCTCTTATTGTCTTCATGAAGCTCTGTCTACTTACTCAGAATCCATAATTTTGACAAATCAATGAAAACACATTCACCAGGGAGATTAAAAATCCAACGTCTTTAATTAACAAAGTGCTTGATATTTACAGCAAGGTTTTGCTCGATGGCTAAAATTCGTTGACCCTCCTGAAGGAGCCGACGATGGCGCAGGTGGCGCACCAGTCGCGGTACCTCCTGTACTCGCCGGGCCTCAGGAAGTACTGCCTGCCTCGGTAGTTGGGGTACTCGTAGAAGATCCAGAAGCCGTTCATGACGTTGCTGGAGTAGACGTGGCGGTGGTGGAAGCGGTCGGACACGCAGGGACAGTCGTCCATGAACTCCATCACGTGGCCGCTGAAGTCGGGCTTCTCGTAGATGCGCAATCTGTAGGAGCCTCGGTACTGCGGGTGCACAGGAGAACCCGGCGGCTAGTGTCCAGAGCAACCACAAACGCACGCTCCCCCTCTTTGCTAAGCTAACCTGACCCCGTTTAAACCGTCACACTCTGCTGTCTCCTCACCAGTGGGATCATCCGGCACGAGCGGATGCAGCTGCTGAAGCCCATCCACCGCTGGTAGTCGGGGTACTCGCCCCTCCTCATGAAGTACTGGTGGCCCATGAAGTTGGGCCGCTCGTAGATCATGAAGCAGCCGCTCTCCACCCGGATGGAGTTGCAGCGGCTGAAGTACGAGTGAAGGTCCGTGCAGTCGTTGCCGCACTCATAGCTCCGACCCAGGAAGTTCTTGTCCTCGTAAAAGATGATCTGTGAGGGGATAGAAGCAGTCAGTGGGAACCACGTTAAAGAAATATATATATATATATATATATATATATTGTTGTGTATTTGAATTTGGTTCAACATTAAACAAGCTGAGAGCAAATTGAAAAGAGAGAGGACAAACAGTACATACCTTCCCCATGGTCTCCGTTGGAGAGACTCCCCATGTTTTCGGGGCTTTTTATACTACCTCTTGACAAACAAAGTATTGTTATTCAAATTCTCTGAGAGCAATAATTGAAGGCCACTGGCACATGTTTACCTTTTTGTCGGGTTAGAAATATGGATTTGTACTTGGGGAGAAAAAGGAAAAGGATAAATAATTACGCGGTTGTGTGTTTTTGACAGGCACGGACAAAGGAAAAGACTAGTGTGGTATCCACACGTCCAGTGGACAATGGCTGCAGAACAATATGGAACAGCCCCTTTCGCATTAAATATGTTGCACAGCGGAGCAGGACGCCGTTGGCTTTCCCTGACGCTCCACCTGAGCGACCCGCTGGGTGCAAATGAGAACGCGTTCGCCAGGTTGCCGTCGCTCTGCGTGAGGTTCAGTGTTGTAACTTGTGTACTAATGGCACCTTTACTCACAGATTCGGTTGTAGTACAGCATGTTTCTGACTGTATTATACTATCACACCGCAAAATGAGTGTGTGGTCTTAGTCTTTGTTCCAGATTTAGCAACACGGGACTTTTATTTTATTTAAGGCCATTTGTGTTCTGGACAGGTTGTGTTTATTGTTTGTTTAACTACGTATAATTATCCACGTACATCCATATCGTGGAGGATTTTCTGTTATTGTAAATATTCCGTTGTGTTCTGATTAACAACTTAAATGAATATATTGATATATTTCACAATTTAGTATCTGAGGATTATCCCCGTGACAAGGATCATGTTTATAATGGCAGAGACTGTAGAGGAGATGTAGGAAGCTTCCTGTTTCAGCATCCACACTGTAAAATAAACTAACACCCGGATTGTAGTGTTAATTCTGAAAATTGTTAAAGTTATCAAGTATGTCGCTGATGTTTATTGATACGCTTTTTAAAATATCATAAAGTGTGACACAGGGAGAGATACTTTATGCAAAACCCATGAAATGTGTGAAGTTCTTTTTGTGAAAATGAATGTTTTTCCCAGAACTATTGTGTCTGTTTCTATTTCTTAATATAGAGACAAAACTGAAGTGAACGTGTAGGATTCTCATCGCTTGAGTGTATAAAAGATATCTTAAAGATCCGGCATGTTGTTGTCTGACAATCATCCCATGAGCTGATTTGTGTCTGTTTGGATCTATCAAGTATAATGAGTGTTTTAATTTACCGTTTTCGTGCTGTGCATTCACAAATGTGCGCTACGCCGTTTGTTAAATATAACTTTGCCATGCTGGGTAAATCAATCAGTCAGACAGTGTTTTTTCTTTGAGGAAATGAATAATTATTAAAGTGCCATACAGAGAGTGTTTTATGAAGCAGTTTATTGTTCCAGCAGAAAAATGCATTGAAGCGAAGCGGGACTTCAGTTCAGGTCAGTGATCCTTCTGATGGAGCCGACCCTCGGGCTGACGCCTCCCCAGTCGCTGTACCTCCTGTACTCTCCGGGCCTCAGGTAGTACGCCTTGCCCTTGTAGTTGGGCTGGTCGTACAGCAGCCACTGGCCGTCCATCACGTTGCAGGAGTTGAAGTCGGACATGCTGAGGCGGTCCTGGACGTTTGGGCAGTCGTCCACCAGCTCGTGCATTTGGCCGGACATGTCGGAGCGCTCGTAGAGCCTCATCCGGTAGGAGCCCCGGTGCTGGCGACAGGATTGGGGAAGCTGTGTTACTGCGTGCAGCAGAGTAATGCATCTAACTGGTGTCTTTTAAGAGCATCTCGAGTGTCTGGATAGTGTTGGTGTCACTGCTGAGTGACGCCGCCATTTATCAGCAAAAGAACGAAAAGAGCAACGGCCTGTCGGGGGGTTATTTTTCGCCACAACAAAAACTCAAGCAAATGTCCTCCTGCCGTACCTGAGGGATCATCCGGCAGGATCGGACGCAGTCGTTCATGCCAATCACGCGCTGGTTGTCGGCGTACTCGCCCCTCCGCAGGTAGTACTGGTTGCCCATGAAGTTGGGCCTCTCGTAGACCATGAAGCAGCCGTTCTCCACCCGGATGGAGTTGCACCTGTTGAAGTAGGAGTGGAGGTCGGCGCTGTCGCTGCTGCACTCGTGGGAGCGCCCCTGGAAGTTCCTGTCCTCGTAAAATATGATCTTTGGGGGGAGAAAAAAAAAAGGCGGTGGTGGGATTTAACGTCAAAGAGTGGTCGGGCGGAATAGAGGTTGTCGGTGAAAGCCGCTTCCTTACCTTCCCCATGGTCATGCTGGCATCAGACTGGATTACAGCTCAATGCTGCCCCCCGAGCCAAGCCGCTGTGCTTTATAAAAAAAAAAAGAGAAGCAGCTGTATGATTGCACAGCACAAAGTATTGTCATTCAAATATATCCCTCACTGTGGTGGTGGATCAGGGAGCGGCGCGTCGAGGGGGTGGATCCGTTTATGTATAGATGACTCTTGCTGTGTGATGAATAATTGTTCTTTCTCCATGTTCATCACAATTTCGCCCCCGGAAAAATACCCCCTGTACAAAGGACCGACAGACTGCACGGCGTCAGCAAGATTTAATTTATATTTAATCGTACAATCCTTCAGAAAATGATTGCGTTATAACATAACACCTGAGTAAAGTTCAGAGTATTCAGAACTCATACAGTGTTTTTTTCCAAAAAGTCCTGTTCACAAGTGAAAGGAAAATAATCCACTTTACAGTTTCTTTTTTACGCTGACAGGTCACAAAAACATTTTGCTGTTGCTCTCTGTGCTCCCGGTGTGCTTTGCAATAATGTCACCAGCATCTCATTTGGATTAATTAACTGTCAAACCGAGCGCCCCTTTTTTTGGGATTCTAAATATTCTTTGTCACGATCGGAGCATGAAGAAGCCGGGGGGGGGCTTCCGGTGACCTCCGTGGGGTCGTCTGGACACAGATCACGAGGCCAGGATGCGTCGGATGGAGCCGACCCTGGCGCTCCGGCCGCCCCACTCGCTGAACCTCGTGTAATCCCCGGGCCGGATCAGGTACATCCGGCCCCGGTAGTCCGGCTGCTCGTAGAAGAGCCAGTTGCCGTCGGTGACGTTGCAGGAGAAGATGCCGTTGACGTGGAAGCGGTCCATGACGCTGGGGCAGTCGTCCTCCAGGTCCATCATCTGACCCCCGAACTCGATGCGCTCGTACAGGCGCATGCTGAACGAACCGGGCTCCTGCTTTCAAATGAGAGAACCGTCAGGAAAGCGTTTGGAAAACAGAAACAATGTACAATGTGTGTGTATGTGGACGAACCATTGATATATGAATAAAAATGTTGGTCAATAGTTTATACTGGTTTAGTGCTCCTGTTAGCATTTAGCTTGAATTGCTGTTGCTATAGCAACATCTAGCCGCTAGCATGGTTGTAACATTGACTGTGGTTCGCCTTTATTTTTTGTCATTTTTGATTTTCATGCCAAAATGTATTTATTTTGTCATTGTTTCCCTCAGAAATTTTATTCTTAAAAAACAAAAAAGCAGAAATGACAGAGTAGGCTCATGTGGACGACGAAAATAACTTTTTTGTGGAAATATCCACCTGATTTTATCTCTGCGCATTAAGAACAGTACACATTCTGGGATAAAAACATGCCAAAATTATTTTTATGTTTAGGTTGAAAGGTTGTTATATTGTTAAATTAAAATGTAACAAAGTGCAACTAAACAATCCTGACATTAATGGAGAATGTGGCTTGAACCACTGAAGATAAGTTTTCTGCACTCCGTGTTCTCTTGACTCAAATTCAATGGGTCCTTATAATGGGTTTTAAATTATTATAACTTTATGCCTGCAACACGGTGGTCAACATAAGCATTTTAACGATTTGTCAGTATCAGTATACTGTATTCCTGCATTTTGAAGTGCATCCCTAAAACACAAGCGAGCGTGGTCAGGTTCATTTGTAGTTATCTGCCGGAATGGCCCACAAAATTAGAAATTAAGTGACGTATAAATTACTTTTACGCCTTTTAAGCCATATACAAAAAATGTTAATCCCAGTGTCGCCGGGGTCTATTTGACCATAATTCACAGAATGAACGGCGTGCTCCATTACAGAAGACTTGGAACTAAAAATTGAGACCATAGAATCATGTTTACAATGTTAATTGGGGGAATAAATCTAGATGGAGCGCAAGTTGCCAGAAACAGGAGCTGACCATGTGGATGAGGCGACAAGAGCAGACGCGGTCGCCGACACCCATCCAGTCATGACAGTCGGGGTACTCTCCTCTCCTCAGGCAGTACTGGTTCCCGTTAAAGTTGGACTTTTCATACACCATGAAGCAGCCGCTCTCCACCCTGATGGAGTTGCAGCAATTGAGGAGGCACGTCAGGTCCGCGGAGTCATTGCTGCACTCAATGCAGCGCCCGGAGAAGTTCTTGTCCTCATAGAAGATAATCTACAGATGGAAATGACATCAGTATCAGTAATCGACAGAAATACATCTCATCTAGTACAAAAAACCTGTCGACAACAGAAGCATTTCACATCCCTGATCGACACGAACGGGGGGGGGACGGGCTGGAATGTTTACCTTCCCCATGTGGCCCCCGTTGTATGCGTTTCCCCCCGTGTGCTCCATGCAGCCCTCTGAAGACTCCCACCTGTCACATATATAGTGTGTGTGAAATGCAGACTCTGCAGGTGTCATTCATATTGTAATGTGCAGGAATCTTTGGTTTCAGGAATCAGGAATCAAGAAAGATTTATTGCCAAAATATGTCAAACATACAAGGAATTTGTCTTGGCGGTTGGTGCGCGACAGTAGACAGTGTGACAACAAGACAGCAGTGCACAAGTAATAAAATAAAGTAAAATGCGCCCACTGAGACAGGTGAGCGCTGCCAGGTGCTTCGGGGTCGATGGCCCTTCGGATTATCCTTTGTTTCAGGTTTCAGAGTAATATGAAAAATGCAATATTACTTAAAGTTCCTACATATTTTTTTTTATTTTTTGATGGTCTTTCACAGCAAACATACCAATTATATTTCAATGTTTGAAGATTATTGTTCTGCCAAATATAATTCTCATATCGTTAGAGTAGTTGTGTTTCTTTTTTGTCAATAGCTATTTTGATTTTCTCTCATCCACAAGTTCAACTCTCTGCTACTGCCCTCTAGAGGACAGGTTCATTTCTGTCTGAACAAATAAACAACACACCGCTTAATTGGGGGGGGGGGATTAATTCTAAAATGTTAAGATGATTCCATGGTCATTTAAAGCAAGGTTTTGGTATATTTCTCAAAGCACAATTAGGAGGTTGAGTTTTCCCAGTTGTTAGAGGAAAACAGATGTTCTAATATACTTTTTTACTATTTTTTTAACAGGGCAAACTGTCTGCTGATGAAGATCATGTGCGACGATCAAAGCGTCCACAACAGCTGCTATATGGTGAGGTCATTTTAGTGTGAAATAAAAGTGTGAGAGGAGGCCGGGCCGCAGACGTCCCTTCAGCTCTATTACATCTACCACAGATTACGCTCCAGTATCAGCACTCGCAGGATTTTATTCAGGCCTCTGATGAGAGTCAGGAGGTCAGGCCATGACCCCGACGTTCCCTGGCGGGAAAACAAGCCCCCCAAACGCAGAGAGCAAGAACAAAAGTCAACGCCATTCAGCCCCGACGCCATTTTGTTCAGCGCGTGACACAAGGCAGAGCCGAGGCACCTCCCGAGGAACGTCCCCGCCGTCTTTCAGAGATCCGTGAGCCGCCTGACGGAGCCGAGCCGCGAGTTGCCGGCGCTCCACTCGCCGAAGCTCTTGTACTGGCCGGGCCTCACGTAGAAGTGACGGCCCCGGTAGTTGGCCTGCTCGTACATGAGCCAGTGGCCGTCCACCACGTTGCAGGAGTTGAAGTTGGACGCGCGGAAGCGCTCCGAGAGGTTGGGGCAGTTGTCGGTCAGCTCCACCATCTCACCTCTCATGTCGAAATGCTCGTACAGCCTCATTTTGTAGCCGCCGCCGTGCTGCAAAAAGGGAAGGAAGGTTGTTGTTTTGTTGCATTTTGTTTTAAAGCACTTTGATGATGCCACACGTATGTAGTGCATGCAGCTAGTTAGCTTAGCTTAGCAGGAAAGCTAGCCCGGCTCTCCCAAAGGCAGTTTTCGCTAATCATTTCCCCCGTTTCCAGTCTTTATGCTAAGCTAAGCTAAAAGACTGCTAGCTTCATATTTATCCCACAGCCATGAAAGGGATGTTTTAATCTTCAAATCTAATGCTCTAAAGTAGAGGGCCGTGTTTTTAAATGTCGTGCATTAAAATATACAACACATTTTAATTTGAGTTGAAATCGGAGAAAACATTTGTGTGGTTTATTATATATAAATACGTGTGTGTAATTTTACGCCGCGTCACTGAGAGCCTCACCGCGGGGATCACGCGGCAGGACCTGACACAGTCAGTCATGCCCGTCATGCCCGTGTAGTCGGAGTACTCCCCCCTCCTCATGAGGTGCTGGGTTCCCGTGTAGCCGGGCCGGTCGTACACCACGAACACGCCGCTCTCCACCCGGACGGAGCGGCAGCGGTCGAACGCGGAGTGCAGGTCGGCGCAGTCGCTCGTGCACTCGTGGTGCCGGCCCCCGAAGTTCCTGTCCTCGTAGAAGATGATCTGGCGGAGCAGATGAAAATCACAGTCATTTGTGTCCCCCGGCCCCGAGGGGCCACTTGTTGGACCGCCGTAAAGCGAACACAAACCTTCCCCATGACGGCCGCCGCTTTCGGTCAAACTGCCTCCTGTGTTGTTGTTGTTGTTGTTTTCTGGCTACCGGAGGGAGAGGTCTTTATACGCGTTGCCCCGTCAGAGCACCTGCGTGTGTTGTTGTTGTTGTTGTTGTTGTTGTTGGAATGGAGGCCTCGTGTCAGCAGAGACCCGGCGGGACTCTTCCTCGCTCCTGTTTGTCCAGTCCTCTGTCGGCGTGACGCTTCTAGCGAGAGCCGCGGCTCGGACAGGCGCTGGAAGCGTCACTGCTGAGCTCCCGTCTGTTTGACTCAAACGGGCCAGTGTACTCACACAGTTCATAAGAATCTATACGACACCGCATGGATGGAATGGAGGGAACAGACTGGACTTATTCTAATGTTGCACAATGGGAATCTCATAACCCGATGACAAAAACCCGGCCTTTTGCCATCAGCCGAGACAGTTGAAATTCGCGATGGCGGTGTTCGATAAATAAGCCGTATGCCTCACTGGCATCGCGCTCGACCCGAACATTCACAGCACAATCGACCCGGCTCCTTGAGTCATGCGCCGTGAGGATATCAGTAGCTGATGAGTGCGTCCCTGCTTTTGGTTTTGCTCAATGATCCGTGCTAGTGTGGGTCGAGAGACAACAACAAAATATGGTACATATTGTACATACATATTGCATTTCCAAAGATGTGTTTTACTTTCTTCCCCAAATGGCTTCCTCGGGAGCCGGTAGGTTAAATCAGTCATCACCAAAATAATTATTCCAAGCACGGAAAAAATAGATTCATATCTTTATTTTATTTTATTTTTTCAATCACGACAAACCCCGTCGACACGCCGGATCGACCTCTTCATCGTAGAGGAGGAAACAGCTCCTTTTCTTTTTAGATGGAATTAAAATGTGAACGGGATCGACGGCAGAGACTGAGATGCCCGATTAAAACTCGGTGACCCTGCGGAAGGACCCGGTGGTGGCGCAGGTGGCCCCCCAGTCGCTGAACTTGCGGTACTCGCCGGGCCGCATGAAGTACTGCCGGCCGCGGTAGTTGGGGTGCTCGTGGAGGGTCCAGTAGCCCTCCACCACGTTGCAGGAGTAGACGTCGCGGCTGCGGAAGTGTTCCTGCACCGAATCGCAGTCGTCGCTGAACTCCATCATCTGGCCCTGGAAGTTGGGGCGCTCGTAGATGCGCAGGCGGTAGGGCCCCTCGCCGGTCTGGAGGGACGCGGTGGCGTTAGAGCAGGAGGTGGATGAGGGCCGGGAGCCCCCACGTGGGTCAGAGACATCGTAGTGTTTGCCAAATCTACATATGATTACACTTCATTCTTTAGCCTAAAATGTACTTTCGAGTTTGGAATTTGATGCTCGCGGACAATCTCTCTTTTAGTGAGTTATTTTAATTTAATTCTGCAAATGGGGAAATGCGGGGCAAATAACTCATCTCAAGTAAAGTCCTTCGAGCTTAGTGTCTTGTGAAATGTGTTTGGTGAGGAGGAAACATTGTTAATTATTTGCCCGATGCAGAAAAGAACACAGATTTAGCCACATAAAAACAAGCAATGTGAAGCAAGTTGCTTCTCAAGCGAAAACTGTGTTTTCATGTATGGTAACAAAACACATCTAAATCCCATAATATCTATATTCAAATGAACATTGCTACGGTTTGGAGAGCTCCCATGAAAGAGCAGTGAGGAGCATTCATTCCCCTCCACCGTGGTCCATGGGCTCCTCACAGGAACTAAACGTGTGGCCCACACGCGTCTACTCACGTAGGAGAAGGTCCGGCAGGAGCGGATGGTGTCATTGTAGCCCATCCAGCGCTGGTAGTCCGGGTACTCCCCCCTGGTCAGCACGTACTGGTAGCCGCTGTAGTTGGGCTTCTCGTACAGCACCCAGCAGCCGCTCTCCACCTTGATGGAGTTGCAGCGGCTGAAGTGGGGGTGCATGTCGGGACAGTCGGCGTCGCACTCATGGGAGCGGCCCTGGAAGTTTCTGTCCTCATAAAAAGTGATCTGTGTCCGGGGGAGAGAGACGAACCGAGGGGGGGAGGAGGGGGGGGGGGAGGGAGAGATCATTCCCATCATCACATCTTATATTTACATCATAAACTCGCAGGCCGTGGCAATAAGGGACACGCATTCTGAATATGTCGTTGTTGAATCTTGTCCCTTCATTACCCTCTGCAGACTCACCTTACTACTCATCCTGCAAAGAGTGCTGGAGCTGCTCACCCACGGGGAAATGATGGTCTCATAAAGCAGCAGCCGGGCGCCGCTATATAAACCCCAATCAAAGAGTTGGCAGATCCCACTTGAGCTGTTTTTTCAATGAGCAGGGATTTAACGCGCTGGCATCGCTGCCAACGCGTCTCGATCCCGGGCATAGAGCCGAAAACCCTGAATCATCAACGGAAAACTCCTACCAGGCAAATTACTGACCCACTGTGCCCTTTTTATTGATATGCACATCAGCATGGAGACTTTGAATCCCCCTGATCCATCATCGAATGAATTAATCTTTCCACGGGGAATGTCAGAGGTCATCACAAAACAACACGGCCTTTGTTAGAGTGAGAAACTGCTAACATGTACTCACATGTACATATCACAGACAAATAGTCCACTATTCGTATTACTTCAGTTTGATCTGCATTAATAATGCACAGATCTATGATTTATTCACTGAATAAGGTTACAGCACCAAAATGTAAGAATGTCAGAAAATCAGAAATGCAGAAAATCAGAATACTTATAAAGTATGTGTTAGTTATTTATTCATTTAGTAAAAGGTTGTTGTTTGTAATTACAGATATTTATGCGGCTCATGTCAGATGTGTTGACCGTACTTCATATAACATCTTTCGCTGCTCTTAATGGGTATTAGCATTTATTAGCTTCCACTGATTATCATTCACAACCAACATTTCAATGTCACGATTAAGAGGATTTGTTTATCAAATGCTGAAGCTTTTAATCAATCTGCAAAGAAACGACAACAGTGAGAAACTCAAACACTAGTGGAGGTAAAGTCCATCATGAGGACCAGATCACACTGCAGGAAGGTGACTTCAGTCGTCCAGAGACTCCAGTGAACCTTCATAGTGCTCAGCTGTCTTCTCCTGACGACCACTGTTGTCCTGAGAGACAGAGACAAAGACAGAGACACAGGCCTGTTTATGTCCAAACTGCATTTTGTTTTCATCACAACATCCAGAATCACGTTCCAACCAAGCTCTTTTTCAGATGTTCCCTCTGAAACAGTTTAGGTTGAAATGATACCCGACAGAGATGCAGGATGAAGAAGGAGGCCGCTGCGTCCACTCACACTGAGGAAGGAGTGAGACAAGGAGGAAGATGACGAAGACTGCGGTCTAGGCGGGTCAGTCGCCCTCCTCCTCTCAGACAGCCATTTCTTCAACTTTTGACCTAGAAGAGATTTTTTAACTATTGGCATTAGACAAAAAGAGACAAAAAAGCACTGTGCATTTATACAATAAAACATGCAGGAAGACACTCTGCTCCTCATCTCGGTCTTTGTCAGCACACGAGTAAGCGAGCACACACACACACACACACACACACACTTACTGTGCTTCTTTGACTGGTACGCAGCCTTGTAAGAGCCGAGCATTGCAAACGGATGGTAGGACAGGGTGAAGGGATACACGATCGCGCCCTAGGATTAAAAAGGTAAGACATTTCCAACCACGGAAATGATGAAACACCACTGGATACGATATATTCATGTGTGGGCTTTTGTCTAACGATGAGTGTTAAATATCCTATATAGACACCGGCACCTTGGACGGCTGGTTTGGGTATGAAGCAGCCGGTCTACACCTGTACAGAGCCAGGATCTCCTCCACTGGAAGGCTACTCTGGAGCGGGAAAAGGCTGCAAAAGGTTAGCAACTAGCAAAATGGGCATTTTATCATTTCTCCTCTGAAGGTATTTTGGTCTGAATGGGAGACGCCTGCACACCACCCTGCAATTCGACCTCCGTGTCGTGTTTTTGTTAGCTTAAAGGAGCGTTATCACGGTGTGTGGGTCGACCAGAGGATCACGTTAGCACAATCGCGTGAGAGCAGGAAGCGAGCTCACTGAACGCCACGCTGTCCCTTTAGTGACGGCCGCGCTCGTGCGTTAGCGACACCTCGTCGTACCATGACGATCCCGGCAAAGGACGACAGGATCATGGCCTCCCGTTCCAAGCGGTCGGGATACCGAGCGCCTCCCGAGCTGCTCGTTGTTCCACTGGAGAGGAAAGCTTCGTTTAAGCAGGCGGTCAGGTATTAATATCCAGGAGCCCTCAGGAGACGAAGGGGCCCTCGACCCCTCGTGCCCGAGCTGAAATACAGCTGGTCCACTTGACACAGTATGACATCGTTCCAACACATCTTATATTCAGAAGATCATTCCTGAACAGTGTGATTTTTAAACTGATATATTCTAGATGTATTAAGCAGCAACAGATATATTTCTCCTAAAATAAATGGTAGCTTTGCAAACTGTTTTATTGCACATTTGTAAAGATTTACCGACCCGTTAGAGGTAAACTGAAAGTTCCAAAACAATAACTAAACTCTATGACTTTAGTTTTTAGTCCAAAACACTTCCTTAAGTATAGTTTTTTAAATATGATTTACAGGTACTTGTACGTTAGTACATTATTTCCACTTTAATTTGGATCTGTGGGCGTAAATGTGAGTGACTAATGCTTAAACAATAATTATAAAGCTATAATATGCATAATTCTGATGTGGTTGCGCCAACTCGCCCACATTCAGACGCCAACACTTTACATCTTTACCGTTGAATGCGGAGCTTCTACTATTTCCACACTGAGGGAATCTACCGTTACATAAAGGAGTGGTCCCCCCGACTCTGCGTTATTCTAACTTTAGCTAATAAAACCTTACATGATGTCTCCGTCCAGCACATCGCGTCCCTGGTCTTTGTCCAACCACCAGAGGGCGACGCTGATAGCCAGGTCGTAGTGAGCCTGCAACACAGCCAACGCACAGCGACTCAATTCCGGAACTGTCGAAAGAGGAAGTAGCGTTTGTTTGAAGCTCCGCCCCTCAATACAGCGTCGTCTACCAGGTCATCCAGCATTGTGGAGGTGCCTTTCCCCTTTGGATCAAAGGATTTTTCCCTGAGTTTCTGCCCAATGTAATCACCTCTGAGCCGATAAGAAAAAGCAGAACAAAAAGAATCAGTTGGGTGTGAAGTTTCCTTTTCAACAATCTGAGCTTTTAAATCCACTCACATGAGCGCTTCAACGTCTCTCCTCAGCTGCCTCGCCTCCATTTTCTGAAGCAAAATCCTTCCCCGAACTACTGCGGTCAAACACTGGCGAGCGTCAACGCAGTATACGATTAACCACGATGGCGACTAGAAGGAGCGAAGTGCAAAACAAAGTGACAGGGAATAAAGAGCTGCGTAGTCGGGCCGTGAACCCGACACCTGTGCAGTGAGTGGGGCTCTGTGACCAAACGCCACCACAGGGGGAAGAGAAGCAAGCATTTAATGCGCAGGACAAGAACCACCACAAACTGGACACACGAGCGCCAGGACTCACCGCGCGGAAACCTCCGGGGTCACATGGCGGTGCCAAAGCTTCCACGCGACGCTGCTGCTGCTGCTGCTTGGAATACGGAAACCTTTGTGGCGAACAGAAGCCTTCAACCGCGACGTGGTAGAGACTTCTCAGATGAACCGCCGGCGATGAATCATTGATGACCACCAAACCCCCCCCCACCCCCCCAGGACATTACCAGCCAGAGATTACAGAGGCTAGAAGGTTCTTTATTAAGCTTCAGCTAATCAGCAACTTCAAATACAGTAAACGTTAAAAAAACAAAACAAGAACAACAAAAAAAATCTTCAGTCGGTTGGAAAGTGCACAAAAATGGATGTTTCCAGCTACGGTTTGATCTTCTTCCTCTTCTTCATGTCCTTGAAGATGGGAGCGTTCAGAAACTCGATGTCTGTGAATCGATCGCCGCGCCTCATTTTGCTGTCGCAAAATAAACACATAGAAAAATCCTCATTTCAAATGCATCCGATTACCCGTTTAGCTTTTTCTGGTGAAACCGAATGCTGTGATGATCATGGTTGCGGCCGAGGTCACAGACCAGGTGTCCTCACCTGTTGAGGGTCGGCTCCTTATAACTGACGACCTTTTTGCCCCGCCTGGTCCTGCCTCCGTCCTCGCTGCCCGGGCTTTGAATGGTGTTGGTCAGCGACGTAAAGACTCTTCCCGCTACAACACAAATACGTCACAATTAAGAGGTTTGAGGTTCGAAATTAAAAAAAAGAAGCAGGAACATCTGTTTTATATTACAACAAACGCTAACGGAATACAAATCTAACTTCATTTTTACAAAAGGAAATATGTTCACAGAGTTCTTGTCTGCTGCAGCTTTTTGTTTGTAGCCAAAAGTAATACATGGCTATAATGTGACGTAATAAATGCATGCAGGCCTTCCCGTGTTGAACAGTGCGTGCAGAGACAGCGTTATCAGAACATGCAAGGAACTCTTGGGTGATAAAAAAGGAGTGAAAACAATTCAATCAGACTCTGTAACTGGATTCCGGAGCTGCGACCAACAACTAAAGCAATTTGACATCAGAAGACGAACCTTTTTAGTCATTTAAGACAACAATGAACACCACACCTGGAGAGGCCTCCGCCGTGACATCGGGGGACTCCTGGACCACCGGCGTCTCCCTCCCGGGGGCCGCCAGTAAAGAATCCGCCTCGCTGTCGGCGACGCTGCCGTCCAAGTCCAGCCACGGGGGCATCTCGTCCGTCAGCAGGGTCCCCAGAGTGCGGTGTCTCGCCTCATCACGGGCGTCCCCCGCGTGTCCCCGTGGCACGCCGGACGTCCTCGAGTGGATTCGTGCAACGTGGTCTCGGGTCTTCCGCCTGTAGACAACGAATGTCTCTCTGGCGTTTCTGCCGCCTGTGGTCGCCTGCGGACCGGGCGCCTTGCCGCTCCGCTTCGGACCGCGAGCCGCGCACGACCCGGAGGCTTTGGAGCCAAATAGGTGTTCGTAGATGTCCTCCTTTTCAGAATGTGGGTCGGCCATCCTGGAATCCTCCAACGGCTCTTCGGTTCTTTCAGAACTGCCGCCGTCCTCGGCGTAACGCGCTTCGTCCTCGACGTAACGCGCTTCGTCCTCGGCGTAACGCGCTTTGTCCTCGGCGTAACGCGCTTTGTCCTCGACGTAACACGCTTTGTCCTCGACGTAACGCGCTTCGTCCTCGGATCCCAACCTGCTGCTGCTTCGGCTGCTCTTCTTTTTCCTGTCGTTCGCACGATCGGCACCCTCCTCCCTCTCAGCGGCCGTCTTCTTGCGGGGTCGACTCCTTTCGTCCTTCCGGGCTTTCTCAGGCGTCTGGAACTCGGCCCCCGAGGCGCCGCCCTGATCCGGCGGCGACGCGTCGGGGGTGCAACTCAAACCCCCGACCGGCCGAGGAGGCTCCGCGGAGCCGGGCGTTCCCCCGCTGGCGCTGCCTGGGTTTGACCCCCGCGGCTTCGGCGAGACGCCTGCGCCCACGACCGCCGGCGGTTCTGCTTCCTCGCGTTTCGAGGATCTCGTGGGAGGCTTCGGGTCGTGCTCCACTTGGGGCGACGCGCTGGTTGCCGGGGAGCTTTCGTCGGCCACTGACACTACAAACGTCCTTCTGCATCGCGGCTTGTGACTTCCCCTGGAATGGGCCTTCATTCTGCGCTGTGGTTTGTCGCCCGCGTGTTCCGGACCCGGATGGGTGACCTCGTCCGCGCAGGACGCAGCCTCTCGGGGGGGTCCTCGGCCTTCGCCTGCTCCGACTTCGCCGTCCGCTTCACCGTAGGCCGGTTCCAAGTTGGACCCGCTCGTCTCGCTGTCACACGGAAGCGGCGGCAAAGAGACAAGCGTGTTGCGGGAGACCGAGGAGGCGCTCCCGGCTTTGGTCCGGGACGTCCTGCATGTGACCTTGGACCAGGCTTCTGATGAATCAATCTCTGTTGCCAATTTCAAATATTTGCTGGATTTGGAATCCATGAAATAATCGTCCAGGTCCGGTGTGGCGATGTCTGTTTTTGACTTGCCGTGGTCCTTCAATTGCTCCCTCTGCCTTTTCCGCCACTTGACAGCTGCAGTCTCGACCAACTTGGGAATGTGGGAGGGAGCAACACTCCTACTCTGGCCTTTGGCAGGCGGAAGCTCTGGGCCTCGAACATCCTCCGATGCATCACATGCGTGTGACAGAGTGCCGGTGGGAGAGCTCGGAACCTCAGTCGCCCCACAATCTACCAAGTTCCTTACTTCTGGATTCTCAGCTTCACTTGAGCCACAGGCGTGTTTCTTATTGATCTTTCTCCTCAGCTTGCCAGTGCGGCCGGTATGTTTGGCCGTGGTCTCCACATTGACTATCTCGGGGGCATGGCTCAGCGTCATCTCCATCGTGGTGTTCAGAAGCAACGTCTTCTCTTCTTTCTTCTCGTGTTCCGGTTGAGCTTCCTTGACGGAGCTACGTGGAGGGGAGACGTCCTCAGACGGAGATGGTTTAGGTTTTTCACACGGGCGGGAAAAACAAGCCTTCTGGAGGTCGGGAAGAGACTTATTTTCACACCCAGATTGAGAGAAGATCATGGACAGCCTCTCCACTTCCTCGCTCAGGCTGCTGGAGGGACGGGACATTCTCGCCTGGATGGACTGGCTTGAAGGCGTTTTCTCAGCATCTAAGTTGTCTGTGAAAAAGAAGGAACGGAAAACACACAAACGCCTTAATTCCAAGGAATCAGTGTCTCGGAGAAGTAAAAAGCAAATTCTAAGTACCACCAAAGAAATCTAAAAATCACTACCATTGAAAAAGTCAGTGGGCACTCTGAGTCCGTCCGGAACACTGAAGACATTTGCTGAGATCTTCTTTTCAGGCGAGTCTACCGGTGCTTTCGGTTCCGGTAACAAATGCCCCGCTACTTCCAAAGGAGGAAGTAATTGATCAGTGAGACTGCCAATGGGAGCCAAGCAGGGCGAGTGTGTGGGGGGGAGAAATAAATAAATAAATATCAGATATCATTCACAGCTGTTCAAGAAAAGACAAAAACGTTTCAGCATCAAGCAGAATCCAGTATTTGCTCACCTTCCCACCGCAATATATTCCTTGATGACATCACCAGACGAGGCCGTGTTTTCCTCAGATAGTTTGGGAAGACCCTGTTTGTATCACAGAGAAACAATCCCAAATTAGGTCTGATAAGGTTTGACAATAACAGTCATAGCACTGTCTTATATACATGTGCAAATTAAAAACATGGTCTGACCATCAATCATCACATCCCAGATGTTATCATGAAAATTTCAATATTGAAAGTCTACACATTCTAAGTCTGTAAAGTATTAATATACATTTAATGAACCTATCTTGTGTGTAACTTTGTTCAAACCTACACACCACAGACGTAACATATAAAACCGCAACTGTTAGTACTTCTTCAGAGGAATCCTTACGCTGTCAGGGAACAGGTCGGCCAGCATGTCCAACTGCTGCACAGTGTTGCTGTGCATAGATTTAAAGATGAGGAGCTGTGACAGAAAAAAAAAAAAAAAAAAGATGTACTGCCGACAAATGAAACAAAGAGCAAACCTTCGACATTGTGATGCGTACGCGGCCTTGGTGTTGGCGGCTGCTGCAGAGTAATCGTAAGCAAACAAACCAACCAGTTTCCTGTGCTTGTAGTTCTTGGCGGCCAGCTCGAAGCACAGAGCCTTCACTTGTTTCTGGAGGTACACGACCTGCACCTCCAGCTGCCTGCTTCTCTCCTTCTGCGCCTGCAGACCCAGAGCCAAGGCCTTGTTGTTGGTCTTCAAAGAGACCTTGAAGAAGGAGGAGGTGTCTGGTGTGGTCATGAAAAAAAAAAAAAATTAAATAAGAGTCTCATCAATTCGACGTAGTCGCCTTCCCTCAGTGACACAAAGCTCGTAGTACAGCAGGTTATTGAAAGACTCACTGAGGATCTTGTTTTTGATCTTGGATGCTGTGGCGTTGACGTTAGTCTGCTTGGAGGACTTTAAAGTCGCCATCGTCTTCCTGTTTAACATAGTTGGATGGACGAGAAGATGCCTGCGTGACACAAATCTAGAAGCTGAGAGAAAACAAACGTGTTATTGATCTAACCTGAACATACTGAAAAAATAGAGTTAATGTCAGCTATTCTGCATCCAGGGCTGAGTATACAGACACACTTTTTAAAGTAAAAGAACAGCTTTTTCGATCAACTTTAGCTAACGTTAATATGTACATTTTTTACATTTAGCCAACTAACTTTAATGATATATTTAGGAAAAAGATCCACCCTTTCCTCAATTATAAACTGAACATGGCAAACATCACGATTGCCTTGACAACCTCCTAAAGAGTTGTCCTATATTGACTTCAACACGTTGGTTCACCAACCGTAACATCGGGGTAAGCTAACCTGTTTAACTTATGATACACGTTAGCATAGCCGGCCTATGCTAACGTGCTGTACCGTTAACTACAGACCGACGAGCTACTTACTCCACAGACAGTTTGGACCAAACACGCACCGTTAAAGAGCGTCAGCCAGCACTGGATTTCAGCCGCAAAACAGACGTCTTTGCTGGCGACTTTGAAATGGTCAAGTGGGTCATTACATTAAAACGCTAAAAGCGTTTGAAACGCTGCTGTCTGATTCAATTTTGAACCTAAACAAAAAAGGTCCGCCGCATTGGTACGCATGCGCGTTGAGATAGTTCTTAGCCAATCACGGACGTATAAGCAGAACAAAAGAGCCAATCAGGAACGAGATACTTCAGACAAGTCCTGCCTCTGCTTCGTCCTCTTCTTCTTACTCCTCAGTGCCTCCTCCAGCGAACACTTGGGATTGAAAGCGTCCGAATAAAATACATTTTATTCATGCGCTGACTTCTTCCTGATTTCTGATTAGATTGTAGTGGCAGAGGGCAATAAGCTAATGTATCATCACAATATTAGCAGACAACGTCAGAGTGCAGCACAGACGTCATTGGGACATTCTGCTGTAGGATTTAAAAAGTAAAGCCTTTTAAAATGTCGTTCATGAGTTCCATTTATCTACCAAATAATGGCAATTTTTTATTTAACCAGGTAAAAGTCCCGTTGAGATCTCATTTTCAAGGGCGACCTGGCCAACGCACACGTCGTTAAAAACAGCCATAAAATACATATACATGACATGAATAAAACCACAATACAAATTAAGTTAAAAACAAAATACAAATAAAAAATGGTCAAAAGCAGAGGCACCGTTCAATAGATTTTTGTTCAGACAATTTCAGTTCAGCCTGGAGATTGTTCCATGTTGATGGTTATAGTTTATTTGTACATTTAAGTGATATTCTGGATTCGATATATTTACTTTTTACACTATAGTGTGGCACATTTTTACTTCAGCAGCTAAAAGATCTGAGTACAGCATTTTATCCTGAGAACAGAATTCCAATCGATTGTTCTGAGCGCGATCTCCTCTGCCTTTTCTCTTGATCACAACACTTCCATTCAGTGCAGCTGTTGATTCGTCGGGGCTGCCTGTGTACGGGAGTCGGCTTTTTTCCCCCAACTATTTTACAGATGTCTTCGAGGTCGGACGCCTTCGTACATTGATGTCAAATTCCCACAGTCGAAGGGTAATAACACGTCTTGTTTGCCAACACGGAGGTTTAATCCCATTTCAGGCGTCAACTGTTACAAGAAAGAGGCCGCTGCTGCCTACCGGCTAGGTAACATAAGAGGCTAATACTAGCCAACTTTGCTAACCTAACGTTGAATACAGATGGGACATTAGCTACTGTACGGTTCAAGCTAGTTAGCTTAGCTAATCCTAGCTAACACTAACTATAGTTGTTTGGCAGTTTTTGCTATATGCTCTAACTGTTGCCATTTCCAAACACGACGTCACATTCCCTGAATTATACGATGTGCAATTGTTAAATCAGTCAGCCGAGTTGACGGTTGATCATCATTGAACACAGTCGCTGGCTAGATGGAAACTTGGGGGGAAATGTTGAAACTGTGTCTGCGGGCTGAACATTATCGTGTGCGCATTAACAGCTAATATATAGGAAATGCAATGAGGTGGAGGGCTCGGACCTTTAGCTGTCAAACCAGCAGGAAACGGTAACGCTACGGCCCGTTATGGTCACGTGAGGAGGCGCTACTTCTGCTTTAACCCCCGCGCGCCTCAGACGAGCCAAAATGTCACGCGTTGCCTCCTCAACGTCCGTAGCGTTGTTCACCGGGTAAGTAGAGGAGATCTGAGCAGCGGTTACTGTGCTATACACAGTTAGTAAATGAGCAAGATGCGCGCATTAAAGTAACGGCTGTAGGATAAAATTAGAAAAAACCCGTCAATATACTAAATTCATCCGAACTAATCAATAAACCGTTCATAGTTGGACAATCAAGCGATGGTGGAGAAAGAATTTATATTATATATTTTTTTGGAAAATCAAAACTCGCATCCTCAAATTTCGAAAAATATGATTAATATGAATTAATTCAAATAACAAACTGTTGTTATAAAGTAAGTATACTAAACAAATGTGTAGTATGTATTGTTTAGTAGTTTAATTTTTTATTTAAGATATTTTTTCTGCAGTAATCTTGATCTGTAAAGTAACTAAAGCTTTTAAGTGTATGTGGTGGGTTAAAAAGAACAATAGTAACAAAAGAAATGTAGTAGTAGCAGTAGTAGAAAGTACACCTAAGTACAGTATTTAGTAAATGTACTTCACAAACACTGCAATCCAGGTACCCAATATTAGGAGTTTGGATTAAAAGAAACAGAATCTCATAATAATGTTCAGATTCTACTAATAAGATCTCAGATCTCCTGAAGAGCGATTGTCTCATGTTTTAAATGTGTTATTGTACAAGGTGTTATTATTGGAAAAGTCACTCAACATGTTGCACGTTAATGCTGATTCCCCCTCAATAAATTGTTGTATTTTGTCACATTGTTGGTTAATGGTATAACGACTATAACATTTGTTACACTGAGACTTAGATTTATTCGTTAAGCGTCCTACAGTAAACGTTTTTTGTATTTGAAGACCGTTTGAGTAATATAATGGTAAGTATGTGGTACGGTGGAGTCTGGCTTGTGATTAACACACTGCCAGGTCAGTGATCTGCGGTGGCTGCTTTGATCAGCAGTGTAGATTTAGATACACCTGCATGTATTTCCGCCTATTCTAAAGTGAATGATCAACATCAGAAAATGATTATCTATCAGTTGCAAGAATACAGCTGGAGTCGAGCACCACAGCAGTGAGCAGTCAAAAGCAAGTGAGATCAAACAAATTCAATGCTGATTATGAGAAGATGAGCATCTGAGAACTCTGCTCAAGAATTCTCTTGTTGCGTCTCCAGCAGGACCAGCAGTGTCATGGCTGCAGATGACAAGTCCTCGTCCTCATCCTCAGCGGACTGGAGCGTCGAGCCGCCCGTCTCTTCGCCGGCGAGCCCCTCCCACCTGACGCACTTCAAACCACTGACTCCGGAGCAGGATGACCCCCCCCTCCGCTCCGCCTACAGCTCGTTTGTCAACCTGTTTCGTTTCAACAACAAAGGTCAGGCCCACAAAAATGTGGAGGAAGTTATGGGCAAAGCCCCGTTATATGGCCTCTTGTTGTGACCTTTGTTTGTGATGCTCGGGTGTGCTTTAAAGTGGATTATGTTCCTATTTCGGAGGACTTTGCTGTACAGTATTTTCTAATCTTGTTATGGGACAGCTCGGTGACTTTCTCAGTTTCTTCTCTTTATTTGTTTTTTTTATTGGGTCCTTTTACGCCCTTTTAGATTACAGAAGTCAGCAATTAACCAAAGTCTTGTGAGGTCATGTGATTGACCTCGCCTGCCAGGAACCGGTGGAACATGTGATTCATTCTTTTTCCCCCCAAAGATGTAGAAAGCAGTAGTAGCTCCAAAGGTCGCTAACTTTGTTAAGACGCTAAGTCAGGAAAACTGGCTCATCCATTAAGGCTTTGTTAAATTAAACTTTAACAAAAGATAACAATCTATGACAAAGACATTACAAAAAAGAACAAAATAAAATTACGTTGAAAGCAACATCTTCAACTAGCTTTTTTGTATTGACCACAACTTCCTCTTCATTTCATCTCTGCTGTGTGTGTGTGTCTGTGTGTAGAGGATGGACGTTCTCCCTCAACGGTGTCGGAGAAGCCGGACGCTCCATCCCCTTCGCCTCAATCAGAGCGGAGGAGCTGGTCCACAAGTCCAACCCAGTCCCTCTACAGTTCCAGGGGGCACCGAAAACAGCAGCCAGACCTCCTCCGACGTACCTCAACTGCCTCAGGTAAAACAAACACACACACACACGCACGCACGCACACACACACACACCTTCCACTGGTACATTAGCACAGATTTACATGTACGCGGATTACGTTTACGTAGGACTTTTCTCTACATTGTGGTCTAAGCGATGCTTTTATTCAACATTGTTTTTGTTTATTATCTGCAGTCTGAAGCTCTTTGTAAGCAGATCCGGAGCCTCTGATTGTAACCTGTGAACTGATCAGGGGGGCACTGATAACGGACCACCTCTTTTCTTACATTAGATTACAGTTGTAGAGCTGCATGGGCCGAAGAGAAGAGCTTTATTTGTGCTCTTTATCCCGAGGTTCACTACTCAACCACTTCAATTAAACCGAACAAACAAACTCAAAGACGGAGGTTTGCTCTTCCTATTCAGAACAGCTTCCAGCCTTTGTGTTTTTTTGTGAGTTGTCACATATTCTTAATTTAAATGTTGGCGTTCACCCACAAAGACATTAAATTCCGTTTGGATTTTATATTCCCAGATGAATCGGCAGAGGAAAAACTAAATCCGACGTGTCGTAGTTAAACCACGTTTAGAACGCTGACTGAATGTCCAGGTTGTAACACCCGCTCTCATGTCTTTTGTGATTGCAGTGGATTGGCCAGGTGAGGGGTCTTCTGCACCGTGTGATTAACCTAAAGACGCCTTTAGCTTGACCTTAACTCGCTCCGAGTGGCCTTACGCAAACCTGTGTGTGTGTGTGTGTGTGTGACTGCATGCCAGTGCCCTTTGGTTGATATTTGCATTTTTCAATGAAGCGCTTTCTGTTGACCTTTGGTTTGCCCTCATGTTTTACCCCCGGGTACTAATAAGGACGAGTGGAATGGTGTTTCTGACCAATGACACAAACACTGTTTTATTCAACATGCTTTTTTTCTCTTTTTTGTTCTCTTACACACATTTGCAACCCTTAAGGAAGTTATTCATAAAGTTATTCAGATGTGCATTGTCAAATGTTGGCCACGTAGTGTTTAAACGCACTGTGATGAAGAGGCTTTGAATCATAATCACCTGACATTGAATATAAAAAAAGGCATATTTGACAATGCATCAGGATGGATCGTAAAGAGCTCATTGACTCTTGGTTCTCGTGCTTATTCGCGTTGTGTGTCTCTGTCCACGTGCATTGTTGTAGACGGCAGCAGGAAGTCCGACACCCCCCTCAGTAATCATGACCCTCGCACAGCTGTGCAACTCCGCACCGCGCTGAAGAGGTTGAAAGAGATAATGGAGGGAAGGAGCCAGGTACTCGCACACAACCTTCACCTCCACACGTCTCTGCTTCCTCTGCACATTCGGAAGTGTGTCGACCCGGCTGTAAACACACTTTTCTTCTGCAGATATTTTAAATGCGTATATTTTGAAAGCGTGCGCTGCGGTTGTCGTCCTCCTGCAGGACAGCGATCTGAAGCAGTACTGGATGCCGGACAGCCAGTGCAAGGAGTGCTACGACTGCAACGAGAAGTTCACCACCTTCCGCCGCCGCCACCACTGCCGTCTGTGCGGACAGATCTTCTGCAGCCGCTGCTGCAACCAGGAAATCCCCGGGAAGTTCATGGGCTACACCGGTAGGGGTCATATTACCGTGCCATGCAGAGTAGTTGGCTCCAGGTGCTATTCATATAATGCGTATGCCAGTCCGCTTTAATGAAGTAGAATAAAAGTAACGAAAGAAACTAACTCTAGTTGTGAATGTACTATAACAGTTTGATTATCTTCATCTTCCACTATTTCTGTGTCGTCTCTCCTTCAGGAGATCTTCGTGCCTGTACGTACTGCCGAAAGATCGCCCTGAGCTACGCTCACTCGACCGACTCGTGCTCCATCGGAGAAGACCTGAGCGCCTTGTCCGACTCCACCTGCTCTGTGTGTGTGTTGGAGCCCAGCGAGCCTCGGACCCCCGTGGGTGGACGGAAGTCCAGCAGGAACATCTTCCTCGAAGAAGACCTGACCTGGCAGAGGTGATCTCCCACACCCACACACTGAAAACGGCGGTACCAAATCAAATCTGATCGAAATGATCTTTTATCACCACATGTATTAAATTCAGCGTGACTCCTAATCGTCTCCCATTGTTTTTTTTGTATATTTGATAAACTAGCAATTTGATTTTGCCCAATGAAATCAGCAGGCCCGATGCCTTCAGTGTCAGCTCTGATTTTATGCCTCATTCAGCCTCACCTGTATCCCAACCCAACACTCATCTGCATGTGAATGCAGAAGCCGTAGGAGCCGGGACCAGAGTTTGGTCCCGCAAGGCTTCTGTTTGCGGACCTCGTCTGGTCGTAAATATAAATAAAGTCTATAAAATATTATTTTTTCTTTCTAAAATAAGTTCATATTCATTCACCTTTCAACTTCAGTTTATTTTTTTGTAATTATTTGACAAATAAAATATATTTATTTATTTATCACGCATATTTTTCTCTTTCTGTGTCGCTGTGTGTGTGTCTCTCTCTCTCTCTCTGTGTGTCGTTCTCTCGAGAACACACATGTTTTATACCCTCATGCTTGTGTTGCTCAGGGACGCACGCCCTCTTTGGATCAGATAGCGAGACCCGGGCTTTTTGGGCCGGGTCTGTTTCTGACGTACAAGAACAGAACAAATCGCAGGAGTTGTTGTTTTGGGGTCAGTAGACATGCCAGATATCCAAAGTAACATGTAGAAGCACTAAGTAGAATTTTCATAATATGTCCCCTTTAAGCAGGCATTCAATTTCCAGCTTATAATGCGAATAGGATATAAACATTGGGTTGAATTGGATAGATTGCCACTGATATCGATCCAGCGGTCAGAGTATCGGCCTGATATCTGATATCGGTGCATCCCTACTTTGGCTGCTGTCGTTTTTATAACTGGTGTGCTTCCTGCTTATCTTATCTATCTACCTGCCTCTCTTTCCTCTCTTTCTCTCCTGGCATAGAAAAACTCCTATTGGGATGAGAAAGAAGTGAGTCATGCGGTTTGTTTCATTCATATTTCATCTGTTTGAGCTTTAACCGTCTAAGTCTTCCAGCTCTATAACAGCATTGAGCCTTCTTGCTCGAATTCAGTGATCATGAATAACTCTGGTTAACATGGAGGAAGTGTGTAAAGATACACTGAGCGATCCTAAATCTGAGTGTGTGTGTGTGTGTGTGTGTTCATCAGCATGATTCATCAGGAGCAGCAGAACAGCGGTCTGACCTCCAGACTGACGGCGCGACAAGAAGACGTCGGCAAATCCCCGGCTCGGAAGAGGTGACTCCCGATGGACAAAGGTCCCCCCGGCTCCGTCCGGCACACTCCCAGTGGAGCCCGCGGTGTGAACTGCGTCTGCGTGTCTCTCCCACAGGTCCGCCAGCGTGACCAACCTGTCGCTGGACCGCGCCTCCATGGCGCCCTCTTACGACAGCGCAGTCAGCCCGCCGACCAGCCGAGGCATGTCGGGCACCAAGAGCGGCACCAAGCTGGACCACAGCGAGGAGGAGAGGAAGATCCTCCTGGTGCCTGCTTTAATCTTTTCTTTACGCAGTCATCTCTCACCGGCTTTAACTAATCCTTTTTTTATATATAGATGAAAAGTCAAGTGCATTTTCCATAACAATGTGGCTAATTAAACATATCGCTCTGCTGAGCCCGACTTAAACTCCACAGGGAGACTTCTTCACCAACACGATCCCTCCTTTACCTCAAAAGAGGAACAAAGCCAAACATTACTCACTCTTACGTACTGGCGCCCATGCAGGACTCCTCCCAGCTGAAGGACTTGTGGAAGAAGATCTGCCACAACAGCACAGGAATGGAGTTCCAGGACCACAGGTATTGGCTGAGGACCTACCCCAACTGCATTGTGGGAAAAGAGCTGGTCAACTGGCTGCTGAGGAACGGCACCATCTCCACCAGGTAGCGTCCCCTATGTTGTACAGTCTTTGGAGGGAGCCTCTTCCTGTTGAAGCTGCTCTTTGGTCTTGAGGGTTCACATCCTGGTGCCTCTGTCTTGCAGGGCACAGGCTATCGCCATAGGACAGGCTCTGGTGGACGGTCGCTGGCTGGACTGCGTCACGCACCACGACCAGCTGTTCAGGGACGAGTACGCCCTCTACCGCCCCCTGCAGGTAAAACCGCCCTCCCCAGAATTAAAAAAATGAATCATTAATAATCCAAAGTTTTTCACGTTTGCCCGGGATCATGTGTCGGTACTGACCGACTCGACGGAGTCTTCCGATAACAACGTCTCTCTCTGGCCTCCAGAGTACAGAGTTTTCGGAGACGCCGTCTCCAGACAGCGACAGCGTGAACTCCGTGGAGGGACATTCAGAGCCGTCCTGGTTCAAGGACATCAAGTTTGATGACAGCGACACGGAGCAGCTGGCGGACGAGAGCGAGTACGCCATGCCGAGTACGTATCACGCGCGATGCTTTCTTTTCTGCACCTGCAGACCTGTCGGTTGGATCATTGCTCTTTGCACAGGTGGCTTTGGTTTGGTTTCCTGTACCTACTGTACAGTACGAATGGGTGTTACTTGTACTTGAGTGTTTAAGCATGAATCCTGCAGCTCACTCGCGCGTCTGTCCGTCCAGACTCAGCCAGTCCCAGCAAGAGAACATCCGTCAGCAGCTCCCAGTCAGTGGTGGACAGTGACTCCGCCGCCTCCATCAACCTCAACATGGAGCAGAACAATGTCAACTTCCACATCAAGAAACAGTCCAAGTACCCACATGTACCTTCTGCAGCTGAGCAGAAAGGTAAATATTACTGAAGGCACATTTAATATGAAATGTTTCACATATTTCTTCATGCCGTTGTTTCTTTTTCCCGTGAAAGCTGAATTCCATCTGTCCGAGGATGGAGGACAGAATATCATCATAAGTGATGCCTTCATCAAAGGTAGGAACCCCACACTTCCTTATTGACTCAATCAGACGACATATCAACTCGCCTCTGCACTTGAGCTCAACCTGACCGGTCTCCCTGCAGAGTCTCTGTTCAACCGCCGCGTGGAGGAGAAGGCCAAAGAGATGCTGTTTACTCCGCTGGGTTGGCACCACAGCTCTCTGGATCAGCTGCGAGAGGAGAACGGAGAGAAGAAGGCCATGGAGAGGCTGCTGTGAGTAGAGAGGACCCCTCTGTTTGCGTCCACTGGGATTATGCGTCACGTAGAAGTCAAGAAGGGCAGCGAGAAGCGTTAATATACATATACATTTGTGTTCTTGTCATTTTCACTTTAAAAAAAAAAACGGTGTGCTTTAAGTTCTGTTTTGAACATTAAAGGGTCGGGATTAGTTCTGAGGCCTGATGTTGCCCTGGTTGTGACGGTTACTTGAGAATCAGACTGTATTTCGTCCCGTCCAACCCCCTGCCTCCCTTTTTGTTCAGCTCTGCCAACCACAGCCACATGATGGCGCTGCTGCAGCAGCTGCTCTACAGCGAGTCTCTGTCTCTGTCCTGGCGGGACATCATCGTCCCCGTGGTCCGACAGGTGGTCCAGACGGTGCGGCCCGACGTTCGCAACTGTGACGACGACATGGACATCCGCCAGCTGGTGCACATCAAGAAGGTCGGACGCCAACTCGTCGAATTAACGAGATGCGTTTCGCCGATTAGTCGTTCTGCTTCCGGGGGTTTTCAAAGTATCTTCGTTTGTGTTTCAGATCTCTGGAGGCAGGAAGTTTGACTCGAAGGTGGTAAACGGCTTTGTGTGCACCAAGAACATCGCCCACAAGAAGGTCGGATGGAGTTGATCCGTTTCCCATTCATTGTGTCTTTCAAATCAACATGCATATCCAGAAGTTAAGGAATGCATTGGCAGTTGAACTAATACTTGTTGTCACCTGTATTCAGATGAACTCTCACATCAAGAACCCCCAAATCCTGCTGCTGAAGTGCTCCATAGAGTATCTATACAGGGAGGAGTCCAAGTTTTCCTGCATCGACCCCATTGTGCTGCAGGTCAGTAACTGCAGTTTTTACCCCGGTTAGCACTCGCATTCGCCTCCTTTTGCGGAAAATAAATGCCGTTTTTTTCCTTGTCTGTCCCTCAGGAACGAGAGTTTTTGAAGAACTACGTGCAGCGGATAGTAGACGTCCGCCCCACGCTGGTGTTGGTGGAGAGGACCGTGTCTCGCATTGCTCAGGACATGCTGCTGGAGCACGGCATCACCCTGGTCATCAACGTCAAAGCGGTCAGTCAAGTAGTCCTGTGACTAATGCTCTGTTGACGTTTCACCGTCCTCCCTGCATCCTGGCCTCCTCTGGGTTTGGTTTCGGACAAACAATCAGCAGAGGTTCTAACAACTTATGCGGGTAGTGGTCCGTGTTCACTTTTCAGTGTTCTCCTTGTTCCTTTCAGCAAGTCCTGGAGAGGGTGAGTCGTATGACCCAGGGAGACCTGGTGATGTCCATGGACCAGCTCCTCACCAAACCCCGTCTGGGAACCTGCCTCAAGTTCTTCATGCAGCCCTTCACGCTGGCCAACGGTTAGAAACACGCCTCCACTCTGCTTCTCCCTCTTCTATCGATACCGATGTCAGTTCGTAAAAAGACATGCTTTTGTTTCCGTCCCCCCCCCCCCCCCCAGACGAGGCGAAGACTCTGATGTTCTTTGAGGGCTGCCCTCCTCATCTGGGATGCTCGATAAAGCTGCGAGGAGCCTCGGACTACGAGCTGGCCCGCGTGAAGGAGATCATCATGCTGATGGTGTGCGTGGCCTACCACTCCCAGCTGGAGATCTCTTTCCTCATGGACGAGTTTGCCATGCCGCCCAGTTTGGCCCAGAGCACCTCATTCCCCTGCCTGCTGGAGGGCACGGCTGTGGAGGAGGAGGAGGAGGAGATGGAGGAGGAGGCGGCTGATGGAGAGACGAGCGAAGAGAGCTTGGAGAAAACCGTAGTGCCCGAAGACTCGGCGCAGGGAGGAGGAACTGAGGAGGAGGGCCTTCCCCTCGAGTCTTCCCCGAAAACCGGAGACGTTGACTCTTTTAAAGAGAAGCATTTTGCCGACTCGTCGTCCCCCGTACGGCACGAGGAGGCCGGCAACGTGGAGAAAATGACCTCCACGCCTTTCTCCAGTCCCATGACAATGCCTCTGTGCGTGCCGCCTCCCTTCCTCTTGGAGGAAGACCAGGAGATGGACTCGGACACTCTCATCATGGCGCCTGGCGGGGAGGCGGAGGAGGAGGAGGAGGGAAGCCCAGGAGCCAAGGGGGATTCACACGACAGGGATGAAGGGGACGGCGCTCCCGCCACCCGGTCTTTCCGAGACCCCCTGCAGGATGACACGGGCATGTTCGTGGCCGAGCAGGTGGATTCATCCGACGATCGTCTGAAGTCCATCTCCGCTGGCTTCAAGCAGGAGCTCAAAGAGATCATCCTGTGCATCTCCCCCTTCATCACCTTCAGAGAGCCGTTCCTCCTCACGCCCGCCGGCATGCACTGCCCCAGCAGGGATTACTTTCCAGAGCAGGTACCTCGCTTTAGTTCTTCATTTCTGTTCCGTTTACTGCAAACTAAAGATTTTCTTGATAATTAATACATTTTTTTAGTCCATAAAATGTTTTTAAAATAGAGAAAAGTCCTAAATCTTGATATATTTACGTTTTCAGGCTTCAGCTCCAGACCGTTAAACATTGCCGCTTCCTTTGCTTCTTCCGATTTGAACTGCACTCACCTGTGTTTTTCCCCGTCATCTAGGTCTACCTGTCTCCCCTCCTCAACAAGGACTACAAGGAACTGGACGGACGCCGTAAGCGGCAGCTCCTCAAAGACTCCGCCCCCTCCGCTCTGGTTAGCGCGCAGACCAACGGCGCCCTCCAGCCGAAACCCATCAACGTGCTGCCCTCGCACAGTCTCACCAGCACCCGCATCGTAGAGCAGCTGAGCGGCAGCCAGGACCTGGCCAAGATGCTGGCCGACTACAGGGCGCAGGGGGGGCGTATCCGCCAGAGGGACGCCACCGACCCCTTCTGCGCCGCGACTCCCGTCAGCGTGCAGAGCAAGGCGCCGGACGGCCCGCCGAGGCCGCCGGCGAGGGCCGACAGCGAGGAGGAGAGGCCGAGCAGACAGACCGATGTGAGCTTGGCCCCCAAGGTGAGCGCTTATTGATCGTTGTTATGAGCAAACATTCACATTCAGCACCTTTTATTTGTTACCTACGTAAACTCTTAAAGGTGAAACGGCCGCCGAACTTTGATGTCTTCATTTGTCTTTAGCCATCTAAAGAAAAATCTGTACTCAAAGCAAAGTCGATCAAGTCAAGTGTTTTTTTTTATTGTCGTTCAACCATATACAGTGATTACAATACAGAGCCAAACGAGGTCCTCCGGGACCACGGTGCTACATAAAAACCACATAGGACAAGCACAGGGCTAGACAACTAAATAAAATACATACCATATGTGCGGACAAGTGCAAAAAGATGACAGTTTCCCATTTCCGATATCTTCGCTTCTGCTGAATCCGTCCGGATGGTAAAAGTCACTTCTCACGGGAAGTTTCTCGCCTGTGTTCCCTCCGCTTTTTCTTTTTTAACCCGGCACTGGTTTCCGAATTTTTTGATGTTCTGGACCAGGATAATAATTCAGGCAGAGACACCAGGCCATTCTCCACACATTCTGGACCATGTTTACTGAAACTCCAATTATTCTGTTCCAGGGACACAAAAGCTCCTCAGTTAATGGCTGTTCCATTATTAAAGCTACAAGAATAATTATGCGCACATACATTTAAATAAAAGTATACATCATTTAGGTGTGTTTGTTTTGCACCTGTCATTTCCTCAGCGCTCTGACTGGACTTGTGTTGATCATCACGAGGCTCTGGTTGCTCTGAGTAACTGGAGCTACTTCCACCTGAAAGAAAAGAGTGTCCAGGTCTTTATTTTCACTATTATCTCTCTGCATACGTATCTCCTGCTTTCCTACGGAGCATGAATAAGTGCTGCCTTCTTCTCCTCTTCTTTTTGAGTAGAATTAACTTCCTAACTAACTTCATGACCCGTGTGTGAAAATCCTTTTTGCTGCGTGGCTCTTCTCCTTTTTTAATGCGCTCTCCCTCCCACCTTTTCTTTTTACCGGCGCTCGCCAGTTATTTCTAAAAAAAAACAAAAAAACGTTGTCTCAAAGGACATGTGTGTGGATGCGCATGTGCATGCGCGTCATCACACGCGATGTCAGGCGGGGGTCGTACCGTCAGGTCCACGATGGCGGCGGGGGCGGGGCAACAGTTCTGAGTGACTCTTCATTTAGTTTCCCTGTCTAACACTGGAATTCTGCCGGTGTTCCCGATGGCCCGTCCGGACCCGGCATCCTAAAGCCGCCATCGTCTGCGGCTCCGCTTCCATCGTACTCCGCTGAGGTTTTGTTGCGTTTCTCCTCAGCTGGACTGTCTGAACCCCGTCAACCACCAGAGACTGTGCGTGCTCTTCAGCAGCTCATCCGCTCAGTCCAGCAACGCGCCCAACCCCTGCGTCAGCCCCTGGTAAACGCCGCTCACCGGCCGCCGGTCCGTGAGGAGTCTCGCGCCTCGCTTCTGATGACGTTGTGGCCGTTTGGTTTTGTTGTCAGCAGGATCGTCACCATGGACTTTTATGGCAAGAACGACCTCTCCCTTGGTGTGTTCTTGGAGCGATACTGTTTCCGGTGAGATCAAAATGCACCGTGGATTTAATGCAACGACCTGGATTCTGAATTCAGATTGTAAAATGTTGATGTAATTAACTGTTCTCAGTAGAGGAGTTCAGAAGCCGCCTCCTCTTTGAATCGTAAAGCGGTGTGTGTGTGTGTGTGCGTGCGTTCGCTCCAGGCCGTCCTACCATTGCCCCAGCATGTTCTGCGAGACTCCCATGGTGCACCACATCCGCCGGTTTGTGCACGGCAGCGGCTGCGTGCAGATCGTGTTGAAGGAGCTGGACTCCCCCGTGCCCGGTTACCAGCACACGATTCTCAACTACTCGTGGTGCCGCGTCTGCAAACAGGTCAGCGCCGCCTCCCCCCTCCTCATAGAACAGCCTTCCAGCTGAATGAATCGGGCTCCACTTCTCTCACCGACGCTCCGCCTCTCGCTTCAAGGTGACGCCCGTGGTGCCGCTGTCCAACGACTCGTGGTCCATGTCTTTCGCCAAGTACCTGGAGCTCCGCTTCTACGGGCACCAGTACTCCCGCAGGGCCAACGCGGAGCCCTGCGGACACTCCATCCACAAGGACTACCACCAGTACTTCTCGTACAACCAGATGGTGGCTTCCTTCAGGTGGGTCCGCTGGGCTCCACTCGCCTAACGAGACGTATTACAGGCATCAAGCGACTAAAGGGCGGCGTAACGGAGTTGAAACCTCCAACGCTGCAGGGTAAAAACGAGGTGGCAGAGTGGATCAAAGCGTCAATCATAGGCCGAGTAAGGAGGATTGTACTTGATGTGTTAAGCAGCTAGCGTTAGCGGGATAGCCAGCGAGCTAACGATGATGTTACATTGATTCAGTTCCTTCTGGAGGTTGAGAGATAGATCCTCGTTGCGCACAGTACAAATAAATATGTTAAATGATATATTATTATAAGTGGACCTAAAGTAATTCCAATGAGCCCAAATTAAAGTGATGACCACATTGATGAATCAATAATTCTTATGCATCAATTCATAGATATTATTCATTGATTATTACTGAGGTGGATCCTTCTGCATCATGAGCACTTTTACGTTTTTATACCTCAGCTACACGTCCGTACGACTGTTGGAGATTTGTCTTCCTCGACCCAAGATCTTCATCAGGAACCTGGGACCTTCTAAGACCAACCTGCAGCAGGACCTGAAGGACTTCACTCACAAGTAAAGAGCCAAACTCGTCACCCTGCGTTCATTTAGATTGAACTGTAGCAACAGAATGTTAAAGAAGAAAAGATAACATCAAAAGGGTTTTTTCACTTCATTTTATGGTTTTGTTGTATATTGAGTTAACATTTTGGCCCCATGGGGCCCCTGATAGAGTTGGTTCATCCTCTGTGGAGCATAAATGTGCTCAGCATGTTTTGTGACCTTCTTTTTTTTTTTTTGCCTGAAAAGGACTTAAAGGGATAATCACAATATTTAGGGATGATTGACATTTTAAAATCTGTGATCAGATTTAGGTGACTTGATGTCTAACCAACGTTTATTTACTGGATCAGATGACAAAATCTAGTGAGGGACCATTTCTAGTAGCAGAAGAAATTAGAAAAAAACACAGAACTACATTACAAATATGTAAATTAACTTCTGTCTAAAAAAAAAAACTCATTTCAATACTTTCCACTCCAGATGAATTCTCCCTCTTCTTTCCTTTCAAAGCACTTTCTTTGCGTGGATTGAGTGTCTTATATTGCCCGACCTCCTCCTGCTCTCTCCTCAGAGTGACTCAGGTGTACCTGGCCATAGACGACCGCCTCACCTCCCTCAAGACCGACACCTTCAGTAAGACGCGGGAGGAAAAGATGGAGGACCTCTTTGCTCAGAAAGACGTAGGGTTCTTATTCCCTTCCCCCTTGTCTGGGTTCTCTCTGGTTTCACTGGCCTCACCGGTGGTTCTGTCCCGCGCGGCGGCGTCTCTCTGTGTGCAGATGGAGGAGGCGGAGCTTCGGAGCTGGATCGATAAACTACAGGTGCGACTGCAGGCCTGCGCGCTGGACTCCCCTCAGCAGGTGCAGGCGGTGCTGGAGTCGCTGGTGATGAAGAAACAGGGTCTGTGCGAGATGCTGCAGTCCTGGAACGGCAGGTCAGAGCCACTGAGGACTCTTAACATGTCTCATGAGTCTCTTTAAAGAGACACGGCTAGTTTGTTTACACATCTATATTTCTGCAATGCGTATATTTGGGTTTTGCAACTTTGTTAATATTCTATATTTGCATTTGAACTCTTTGCAAATTCTGCACGACAACTTGGAGAAGGAAGTTCTACCTCGTGCTGTCTCACCAAAGACACAGAAGAAATATTTAGAAATATTTATACTATGAGGTGGTCAGTGGGAATACTCGTTAAGAGGATACTAAACCTTCTTCTTCGAGTACATGAGAAGATGTGGATCCGTCCTTCAGGCTGCAGGAGTTGTTCCAGCAGGAGAAAGGCAGGAAGCGTCTGTCCGTCCCTCCGAGCCCGGGGCGCCACCGGCAGACGGCCGCCGACGACAGCAAGGTCGGTGGCGTCGTAGATGTGATTGGTCACGCGTTTTAAATACTTGACTAACGTCACGGTTATGTATTTCAAATATGCTGCATTTAAATGTTTCACAGTCACCAAGGTTAGAAACCAGTTAATCGTCATTTAAATGGCAAAATGCTTCGGTTCCGGTTTCTTAAATGTGAAGATGTGACGCTTTTGTGTCTCTCGCGTCCCAGTAAAATGAGTTTTGGGGACTTTTGAAAAACAAGTCATTGGGGAAGTTGATGATCAACACGGCTGACTTTGTCTTTATTTCTACCTCCGCTCGTTTGACGTAATTGTTCCTTTATTTGTTTACTCGTCAGTGCGCCCTGGACTCCTCCCCCCGCAACCCCTCGCCGGTGGTGCAGAACGGGGACAAAGGTCGGTCCGCCTTCTCCGACCTGAATCCACCCCGCGTTCCCTGAGTGACGAGTCGACTCTAGTTGTGTGTTTTGTGTGTTGTTCACCAACAGAGGACCGACATCTCTGCATTCTGCCCTCCTCGTCCTCCTCCTCCTCCTCCATGCTGCCGTCACCAGGAGAACCTGCAGTCGAAGCCTTCACCCCGGTGCCGTCCTTCACTGAGCAGGACTCGCTCAGCATCCCAGAGGGTATCAGCGCACACACACACACACACACACGCGCACACACACACACCTTCTCCTGTGGCTTCTGCATTCTTTGCTTGCTTGTTGTCAGATGTGTTTGATGGACACTTGCTGGGCTCCACGGACAGCCAGGTGAAGGAGAAATCCACCATGAAGGCCATCCTCGCCAACTTCCTGCCCGGCAACAGCTACAACCCCATCCCCTTCCCCTTGTGAGTGACGCCCTCAAGCCGGCTCAAATGATACAAACGTATTCTACAAAACACTCCAGATTCAAACGTTTAACACAACGAAAAAAAACACAAGAACTTTCCCACAACATGAAAAGGATGCTGGTGAATCCGTAGACCAGGTGCCACCAATAGTAAAGATCACGAGACGTAACGTTGCGGCTTGTGTGGTCTCTCTCTCTGGTGCGTGTTGACAGCGACCCGGACAAACACTACCTGATGTCCGAGCACGAGCGGGTTCCCATCGCCGTGTGCGAGCGAGAGCCCAGCTCCATCATCGCCTTCGCTCTCAGGTGACGACGACGCCGCCGCCGCCGCCGCAGCCGCCGCAGCTTCAAAAAGGAAACGCTCCTCTTTTTTGTCTTGTGTGGAAACGTGATGGTGTGTTTTTGCCTCCCAGCTGTAAGGAGTACAAAACGTCGCTGGACGATCTGTCGAAGACGTCCAACGCGGGCGGGGACGAGACTCCGCAGGCCGCCAGGTACCAGAGAGAAAATAGGTCATTCATTTAAAATACCGACGAAAAAAAGTCAGAAGTTGTTTCAAAGAGACTTTGAGAGGAAAAAGGAATAAATGGCTCCGGTCGCTGTATTTAAAACGCCTCCCAACCGGTCAGCTGACCTGCTTCCTGCGGTCCGTTCTCCTCCTCAGCGCCGGGGAGAGTCGGACTAAGAGCAGCCCGGCTCGGCCCAGTGAGTCGGCCTCGTCCCAGCAGAGCCGCACCAGCATGGAGACGGATCCCCTCAGTACGTGTGAGACGTCTGCGTCACTCCAGCGGGATTTCAAAGCATCCGGATGTGAAACGCTTCACTTTTCCTTCTTTGCGTTGTGTGCAGAGGACGCAGAGCTGGGAGACAAACAGAAGAAGCAGACGCTGAATCCACACGTCGAGCTACGTGAGTACATTCATTTATACCCTCAGAGAGGTATTTACATCCATACCAGTACTAATACTACTACTAATACATTCAAAGTCTCATTAGGACGTAGTAGAAAAGTCCCCTTGTAATATCATTTGATTATTATTACCCACGATTCTGGCAAAAGCAACATTTAATTGCTGATGTTTTTTGTTTGGAGGTTAAAGCAACATCTTAAAATGTGTTTACAGTACAAGCCTTTTATAAATTAAAGTGATTTATTTGGTCAAAGACAATTCTTTAAATTATGAATAATAACAATCAAGGTAGCTGCCGACGGTTCTTGTATGAACCGTTTGGTAGTTTAATTTAGTTCTTTATATTCTTTTGTATTCAGAAATATTACAGCTGTCTGATTAATAGTCAAGTATTTCCCTTTGAGATGAAGCTGTGTAGTATTCGTGTGTAGTAGAAGTATTGAGTAAAATCTGTACTCCCACACACTACTGGAGTACCGCGAAACCTTCGTCTCTTGTGGTTTTTGTAGAATTCTCTGACGCCAACGCCCGGTTTTACTGTCGCATCTACTACGCCGAGGAGTTCCACAAGATGCGAGAGGAGATCATGGAGAGCACGGAGGAGGACTTCGTCCGCTCGCTGTCCCACTGCGTCAACTGGCAGGCTCGCGGAGGAAAGTCTGGAGCGGTGTTCTACGCAACAGAAGGTTGGATGTGTGTGTGTGTGTGTGTGTGTGTGTGTGTGTGTGAGAGAGACACATGCATACATATATATATATATATATATATATATAAATATAAATATAAATATAAATATAAATATATATATATATATATATATATATATATATTTATATATATATATATATATATATATATATAAATATATATATATATATATAAATAATATGTCACAGTCAAAGAAGACAAAGTCTTAAGCTTCAGTAACGTGTCATTTCTCTGGTTATAGTGTAAATACTAATAAAGGTTCATCTTAGATTGCTCTGCTACATGTACAGAGATACGGGGTAAGTTCTTTACAAAAAGGAAAGAAGATGGAATTTAAATATAAAAGTAATAATGGAATAAATACTTCATGATGTGCACCAACCGACATGAAAAAAAATGTTTTTCATCCTTCAAATGTTTTATTGAATTTGTATTCTAGCGTTTGTGACTCTTCTCAGCCTACAATCATAATTTGTATCATTTGTATATTTAAATTAAAAAGAGCAATGTTTAAGCCGAAGAGGATCACAGAGAACGAGTGAAATGAGTGTTCACGTGACGCATTGAGCGAGCCGTTTACCTCCACAAAACATACTTCAATTTCCACCCGGGACTCTGGGTTTTGGGCCATAACTCAAGAATTCAAACGCCAGTGAGGACATTTTGGACGGACATGGATGTAATCTAAACCAGAGGCTTTCCTCTGAATCCATTTTTTTCTTCATTTTCCGTTGTGTTCATTGCTTAAAAGCGTCTTAATGAGCGGATGTATCTGCTCCTCTGTGCCAGACGACCGGTTCATCCTGAAGCAGATGCCCCGACTGGAGGTCCAGTCCTTCCTGGACTTTGCTCCTCACTACTTCACCTACATCACCGGAGCCGTGCAGCAGAAAGTGAGCACATTAAAGGGGCCGTCTTCTTTTGGGGTCAAGTAGCTGAGTTTAAAAGAATAACGAAGGTGTTTCTGCGACGCAGCGGCCCACGGCGCTGGCGAAGATCCTGGGAGTTTACAGGATCGGATACAAGAACTCTCAGAACAACACGGAGAAGAAGCTGGACCTGCTGGTGATGGAGAATCTCTTCTATGGACGCAAGATGGCTCAGGTGAGCAAAAGCACTCGCATCGATCACAAACCTGCTAGAACCCAAGAACCCAAACTCGTGAGCATAAACGGGATCGGGTCCGTCTTAAATGTCACTTCCTGTAAGGTCTCTTTCCCTGAACTCCCTCAGAGTTGAATGACCTTCTGCCACGTCTTCCTCCGCAGGTGTTTGACCTCAAAGGCTCCCTGAGGAACCGCAACGTGAAGACGGACTCGGGGAAGGAGAGCTGCGAGGTGGTGCTGCTGGACGAGAACCTCCTGAAGCTGATCCACGACAACCCGCTGTACATCCGCTCCCACTGCAAGGCCATCCTGCGCGCCGCCATACACAGCGACGCCTACTTCCTGTCCAGCCACCTCATCATCGACTACTCGCTGCTGGTGGGGCGCGACGACGCCACCGACCAGCTGGTGGTCGGCATCATCGGTGAGAGGAGGAGGAGGAGGAGGAGGAGGAGGAGGAAGGAGAGGCTTCTATTGGCAGCACCGGTTTGTTTCAATGATTTTCATGTATTCATCTACGCTGCAGATTACATCAGGACGTTTACGTGGGACAAGAGGCTGGAGATGGTTGTCAAATCCACCGGAATCCTGGGGGGTCAAGGTGAGTCTTAAAGGGACGGTTTTGAAGGTAATGCACAGAAATCTGAGACACTAGAAAGGTGCCAATATTCTCCTCTCTGTATTGCGCGTATCGCCATGCGAGCGCGTGTGTCGTCTGCTGCTGGTCTTCAGCGGTTCCGGCTCTGGTCCACCACAGCTGACTGAGTCTCTCCCCCCGTCTCTCACGCCGCTGTCCTCTCATGCAGGCAAGATGCCCACCGTGGTCTCTCCCGAGCTCTACAGGTCCCGCTTCTGCGAGGCCATGGACAAGTACTTCCTCATGGTGCCGGACCACTGGACCGGCCTGGGGGTCAACTGCTGAGCGGTGTGTGCGAGTACACACACACACAGATACTCCTGAACACACGCACACTGGACGTTGTAGAAGTGTGTGCGGCCCGGTGTCGTTCCACAAAGACAATTCTAATCATTTTTTATCCTTTCAGTAATATCAGATCTTATTTTATCGCCCTGCGAGGTGCCGACGTGTTGCATGGAAGGTTTTATTCAAGAGGACGTGCTGAGAACATTCCGTGTAACCAAACAATGTCATTTAATGTAAATGTACAGAGATTATGTAGCTATTAAAGAGTATTAACTATGGTTTATTAAAGGATCTGTGTGTTGGGTTTTTTTTGTTGATGAAGTGATCAGATTAGGCTCACGATGCGTAGCCCTTTACTTCCATCCCCTCATTCCAGATGTTAACATCATTCCAGCAGGTGGACGGGTTGAAGATGATCCGCTGGAGGTCAGAACGAGATTCACGGGACTGTCAACTATAAATGTTATAATATATTACGTTGTAGAAACATAACTTCACACACGGGAAAAACATTAAATTTCCAACCTTTTATACTGAAAAATAAAACAAATTGCCTGAAAGAGGAAAAAAAAACACACAACTGTAACTTCAAACTTTTTTTTTTTTAATTGTACAATTTATATAAAACAGAAGGTGGCTGACAAACAGCCCTCCGCATGTCGTACTGCATCAGGAACTGGAATGAGAATCAGTCCGGTGAAGTTCATTTCCTGTTAGAATAATAATAATAACACCGTGCGCCACCTTTTCAATCTTAACTGCAGCTAAAAAGGTCCTCAATTAAAAATAAGCTCATTAATTTTCAAACTTTTAGTCTGGAGAGAAACTTGAATACAAACTCTAGAATGGAGGAAGTCCTCAGCGATGGACGTCCGTTTTCATACAAAGCAAACATCGACATTATGTACAAGATTCGTTTCCATTTCATATCGGTACCTAAGACACACACACACACACACACACACAACCTAAAGGAAAAAAATGTTCTATCATTTTTTCACTGTCCAAAGACCGAAGCTTATGAACCCCAGAGCAGAATATTAAACACACATCAGCGAGCTGTTGTGATGGTTTCCTTCATTATCAGGAACAAACACGCAGAATTCATCTGCTGGCAAAAAATAAGCCACGAAAAATGCACCATTTCCCCCATTTGAGTGACTTTAGCTGTTGCAGCTGCTTATTTTAGCCTTATTTATTTTATTTTTTTTAATGAAGCACAGTAATCTTTGGATTTGTGAGTTCGGTGCTTCACAAACGCTCAGGTTGATGGTTTCGGTCTTCGGGGGTTTGTTGACAATGAGAAAAATACAGATTGTCAGCAAGAGAGAACATGAGGAGACATAGTGCACCAAATTAAGTAACGAAACTAAAACACCAGGCCTGCGTACCGAGTGCCCCCCCCCCCACCCTCATTGGACGAGACAGAACCCCCCTCATCAAAGACTCCGTTCACCCAAAAGGAGCTTTTGGTTTGTATTTGTCGGGTTCAGATTTCTGTCTCCATGATCAACGAGTAAAACACAAACCAGAAAAGAATCAAAGATACACAACAACCTCGTCCTGAACACTGACCTGAGAACAGTTGCTCTGCAGCTACTAAATTCTTTATCTGCATCATTGATTGACCTGGCAATTAGTAAATTATATTTTTTATTTTTTGGGCAAAAGTGAAACCAACTAGGAATTAGAATTCAAAACTAAAGATTCTTTATGAGAGGAATCGACATCAGTACGGGACACGGGACACGGGACTCGGGGGGGACCCCGGGACAGCGGGGGGGGGGGGGGGACACGGGGGGGGCTATTAGGATTAAGTGCCGGCAGTATTTGTACCTTCATGTAATTGATCTGGGGGGGGGCGGGATCAGCGAGTCCACCCCCCCTCGCTCAGATGTCCTCGATCAATCATGTTATTTCTTATTCACAAGCATTTAATTGGAGATGCGTTTTAGGAAAAGTGGCGGCTTTTAAATATAAGACATTAAGACTTTTTTTAATAATTAATTTCCGCACATTAGAAAGCGCTCGCATCTCTTCCTGAATCTCTCCTCGTGCAAATGAGAGACGAGTGGATGCGATCCGGGGAGCAGAGACGCACCCAGTGCGTCTTATTCTACCTTCTGTGACGACTATTTGAACTACTGAACATCTTTGAACACCAAAATGTGCTTGTGTTGTTCTACTCAACAGTAAGTTCTAAGTACCGATCATCAGTACGTTCATTATTTCCATGTCGAAGACGAATGTTTGGTACAAAAACAACCCAAAGATCACGATCATCAAGTTAGAATAACATTGATTACTTGTGACCTTTGACATTTCCTCCAAACAGGTTAAAAAAAAAGAAAAAAGCTTCTTTCACAGGTGAGCTGCTACGCCATGCAGAGACTAAAGTACCGAACAAACTGGTGTGCGCTAACACGAGCATGCAGACCCGTACCAGAACTGGTCCGGACCGGATTCTTCGCCTTTGACTCATTGACTGATCCTTTCGCTCATCGTCTTCACTCTTCTGGGCTTCAAGCAAACGTGTTCCGGGCTTCTGGTGTCACTGCAGAAACGTCCACGCTGTGTCACCGCCGAGTCTCTGCCCGCCTCCCTCGAGGTGCACTGAAAGGACTGAAACACTGCGGCGGTCCTGGGGGGGTCGGAGGGTGAGGGGGGGTCAGGGGGGGGGGGGGGAGTCACGTGTTTGGGCGCACGGCTCGAGGTAGGAGGAGGCCGGAGACGCGGCCCGGAGGGGTCAGAAGGTTTCCGAGTCCTCCGAGTCGTTCTCGGTGGTCCCCTCGCTGGAGGGTCCGGAGGGGTTCCTGGGGCCGCGTGGCCCCCGGGGGCCGGCGCCCGGGACTTTGGCCCCCTGGTGGGGCAGCTGCCTCAGCAAGGAGCCTGGGGAGGGAGCCCCGGAGCTGCAAGGGGAGCAGAAAGGCATCATGGTAGCCAGAATGAGAGCCAGACAGTCAGCCACCTCTCTGCTAGGAGCGCAAGCTAGAGCAGGCGTCAGACCTGAGAGAGAGAGACAGGGGGAGAAAAGAGAGGGGGGGTGGGGGGGGGGGAGACGTAGACATGGAGGACGCGAGGAAGGCGAAGCAGAAACAGGAGCAGAAAACAAAGGAGGGACGGAGCAGCATTTCATTAGTGTTCAGCCAGCTGACAAAGTACACACACACACACACACACACTAGAAGAGTGTACACACACACACTAGAAGGAGCAGAGTACACACACACAGACACACACTAGATGGAGCAGAGTACACACACACACACACTAGAAGGAGCAGAGTACACACACACAGACACACACTAGAAGGAGCAGAGTACACACACACACACACTAGAAGGAGCAGAGTACACACACACAGACACACACTAGAAGGAGCAGAGTACACACACACACACTAGAAGGAGCAGAGTACACACACACAGACACACACTAGAAGGAGCAGAGTACACACACACACACAAACCACAGCTGACGCGCGTCGCTCCAAAGCGACTCAAACGTCCCATAAAAAGCAGAGAAGCAGCTTCTTCTGCAGCTGCAGTTTAAGTCGGGGTTCCCGCCGCCATCGTCTTACTTTCATGAGACTTATAGACATTCTGAAAATACGTCTCCGCTGAGGACACTTGAGGACACCGTTCAAGACCGACCGCAGGGACCATTTTACTCCTGTGTGTCAGTGTCCCAGTGGGAACCCCCCCTTTAAAGACGCCTCCATCAGGACGCCTGCATGCAGCTCGGCCTATAAAGTGCCTCAGGGGAGATGAAGGGGGGTGCAGAGGGGGGGGGGGGGGGTGGGGGGTCCCGTCCTACCGTTCTCGTCCACCGTCTGGACGCTGGCCCCTCGGGACAGCAGCTCCTGAACCGCCTTCTTCAGGCCGCTGCGCGCCGCCAGGTGGAGGGGCCTGGAAGAGGAGCCCAGGTTCAGTTCACAATGTGTGTCGCGCACAAAAGGAGCGAGGGGTGGGGGGGGGGGGGGCGGCGCGGCGCGTTTCGCATGTTCACTCACGTCTGCAGCGCTGCGTTCGTGGCGTTTATAAGCGCCGCGTCGGAGAGCTTCTCCAGGATCAACATCACGCAGTCCTCCTTCCCCTGGAGACACAAGTCAGACTCACGGTTCATTCACCGACTCACTAATTCGGTCACTCGATGACCAGAGATCTCGATGTGAGAGGCGACGCGCCGCACGAACGAAGCTGGAGCAGCTTACGTTGCAGCAGGCCCAGGTGCAGGGCGGTGTTTCCGTCTCTGTCCGTCAGGCGAGGTCGGCGCCGGTCAACAGCACCTCTGGGACAGAATCACAGCCGCAGGTTACCAATCAAGGACTCTGGACTCTGGAGAAGATACCGGGCGGACGCCGCGGCGCCGTCCGTACCCAGCGCTCCGGCTCGGCCCTTCTCGGACGCCATCATCAGCGCGCTGCGGCCCGATTGGTCCACGCAGTCGACAGCGGCGTCGTGGGACAGCAGCAGCTGGACGCAGTCGACGTGGCCGGAGAACGCCGCGGCGTGCAGCGGCGTCCTGCGGGGCGGAGGGAGGGAGGGGGGGCGGAGCTTAGGGTTAGGTACAGCACTTAGTGTGGTGCTCGTCACGTGCACAGGCCAGTGGCGCGGCCTCACCGGTCTTTGGCGTCTCTGCAGCCGGCGATGTCCGACCCCATCGCCTCCATCAGCAGCGCCGCACACGGCTCGTGGTCGTTGACCCTGAGAGGTCGAGGGATCAATGGGAGGAGTCAGGGAACTTTTTCAATGATGCTTAAGGTTAATTCATGTTAATTATAATTATCATTGACTTGGTAATCAAGCAAAAAATAGAAAACGTTTGATTGTGAGTGTTTTATATCCTGTGGATGAAATCGACAGGGAATAAAGACAATTTGCTCAAATGAAACAATAATTACATGAAGCTCTGGTGTGAATATTAAAACGACTCCATCTAAACCCTGTAAGAAAAGCATCATCTTAGAGAACGCAGGATGCGAGTGACGTACACGGCACAGTGCAGCGGAGTGAACGGGTTCCCGTCGATGCAGCGACACCCCTTCTGCTCCAGCAGGACCTCCACACAGCCCTCGTGCCCTGCACGCACACGCACACGCACACACACACACACACACACACCTTTAGTAGGTGAAATAAATACATAATCACTCATTTACATCTCACATCAGGAGGAGAACCGACCGTAGTAGCAGGCCCAGTGCAGCGGCGTGTAGCCGCTGTGGTCTCTCAGCGGGGGGAGGGCCGGCGGCTCCGAGCAGGCGATGCTCAGCAGCTCGCACAGCCAGGAGGCGTGGCCTCGGGCGGCGGCCAGGTGGATGGCGGTCCGACCTCGAGAGTCGCCGAGCAGCACGGAGGCCTCCTGCTCCAGCAGGCACTGGATGCACTCCTCCTGGCCACACAGCAGCTACACGGAGCCCAGAGGAACACGCAGAGGGGCAGCGGCTTTAACACGTAACACGTATGTCCTGGTGTCTTTATTCACACGACGCTTCTTAAAGCAAAGCAAAGTTCTTTACATGGCTGAAGCTGAAAGCAGACGATTTAATTCCAAACTGTAATTCTTTTTGGAATAGTAATATCAAATAGTTAATTAATTTCATAATGGAAATTTGACTGAATTCAGTTCATGTTGAGGATTATGTTGTTGGCGATTTTATTTTGAAAGGAAAACCTTCCCCGATGTGCACATGTGCATTGAGACGCTGCTAAAGCCTCTGATGGCTCGGGGGGGGGCTACAGAAAGGGGGCGAGGGGGTGGGGTGGGGGCGGTGCTCACCCCGAGGTGCAGCGCGGTGAGGCCGTGGTGACTCGCCAGGTTCACGCTGGCGTCCCGCTCCAGCAGCAACGACACGGCGTCCACGTGACCTCCGGCCACCGCCAGCATCAGAGGGGTCCTGCAGGGGGAGGAGAGGAAGGGGGGGGCACGGTAAGAATAATAAAAAAAAAAAAAAGGAAACACTTAAATGGGGGAGGAAATCACTGACTGTCCCTGAGAGTCGGCGGCGTCCACCAGTCTGCACTGTCCGATTCATCCAGCAGAGGCGCACACACGTGGTGTGACCGTTCATCACTGCAGGAAGACAGAGGGTGAGACAGGAAGACAGAGGGTGAGACAGAAATGCTTATTAATAGTCGGTTAGCTGACGAGTCGGGTCTGACGGTGCCGCCGCGTCACCGATGCAGGAAGCAGGAAATAGCACATTAAGTGGTGTGATGAACAAATGCAAACGAATACGCTAAAAGAATCCTCAGGGATATTATGTGAATCAAAGATTTAACCCTCACTGTTTATATGCATACATTTGAATCTCCAATCACCACGCATATGTCATATAAACACATGCATGTGGGCTGTTTGAACAAAACATTAGAGTTGTACTTGCATGTGCATCTGCTGCTGCAAATCAGGGAGGTGTTGCATTTGAAGTCAGAAACAAAGGAGGAAGGCTGAAGGTTTCGTCCACATCATTTAAATCCAGATAAAAGGGAATGAACATAAAACGCGTATATTCGGATCCAACAGCGAGGAGAACTTGAACATTTTACTGCGGATTTGAGGTCAGTGAAACGCTCAGTGCCGTGACGCTACTCCGGCTGAGGTTGGGGGTTCGGGTCCCGGAGCCGGTTGGACCTGAAGGTCTTGGGTGGAGGTCAGGAATGTGCAAACCGGCTCTACTTGTTTGGCCGGCTTCGTGTTCGCAGCCTCAACGGATCAAATAAAGCTGGACGCACGGCGTTCTTTGAATGGACCAGAGAGCCTCACGCATCTGGATCCAGATGTTGACGCGGCAGAGAGAGGCAGGAGGAGGGGAAGAAGAGGGGGGGGGGGGGGGGAGGTGGAAACTGAACCCACCTGCCAGGTGGACCGCGTTGCGGCCGTACTGGGTGTCGGTGGAGCGCGGCGACGCCCCCTTGCCGAGGAGGGTGTGGACGCACTCGGCGTGGCCCCGCAGGGCGGCGAGCGCCAGCGGGGTCCTCCCCGCCTCGTCCCCCTGGTCCACCTCCCTCTCCCTCTGCAGCAGCACCTCCAGGGCCTGAGGGTGGCCGTGGTACGCCTGCAGAGACGCCAAGTCAGAGTCAGAGGCTGTTGCCATGACAACAGGTCTTTACAACCTTTCTATGGGAGATACATTTATTGACCTTTTTTAGGCAATATTGGATGAATCTTGTCAGAAATGAGGAATCAAAAGATTATTCTTATTTTAACTTCTTATCACTGTATCTCATTTTATCCTCTAATATGATTATTTAAATCATAGTTGGAGATTAAACGTCCAGTAGAACTGTGTGCAGACAACATTTAACAATGAACAAAGTCTTCTTTTACAAAAACAAAAGAAGGAAAAAAAGAATTCGGTAAATATTTATTCCACGTTAACTAAATCAGTGAAAGAAGGTCCTTTGTCTTTTGTACAATGAGCCTACAGATGTTTTGGTCTTTGCTTAATTTAGTCTCCTTTTGTGTTTCCTGCAAAACATTTAAGAACTTTTACAAAGATGGTTCTACGGTGCATTGTCATTCTTTTATAAGTAGTATTGTTTTGGCACCTAAAGCAGCTGTATTGTATCAGTGGCCAAAGAGAACATCTGTCTGTGCAGGAGACTCACGGCGAGGTGCAGCGGGCTCCTCGCGTTGGGAGATTTGGGGTCGTCTTGGTGAACGTCGTCTCTGTCCAGCAGCTGGAGGTCACAGCGACAACGTTCACGTCAGGTTCACTTGCTGCGTTCAATTAAACTCAACTTATTAAACTGGCACTTTAAGCGCATGAGACGAGCGGAATGTCACGCAGAGGAAACACGATCGGCCTGCAGATGGAGAAAACGCCTCGAGCCGCCGCATAACCATTTCCTCCCTGTGTGTGTGTGTGTGTGTGTGCGCGTTTACCAGCTCCAGACAGTGGCGGTGTCCGTAGGCGGCGGCGTAGTGCACGGGGCTGTAGCCCTGTTTGTCCTTCAGAGAGGCCGTGGCTCCGCTCTGAAGCAGGAACTCCAAACATCTGGAACACAGAACATCCGCAGTTGTCATTCCAGACGCCAGCGTGGGGAACACGGGACATCATATATATATATATATATATATATATATATATATATATATATATATTTCATTTCTCTTTGCAGTAATTAAATAATAAAAACAAAAACATTTAATAATTTAAATCATCTTTTTCCCTTTCTGTGAGTTTTGAACTTTAAACGTGTTCTGTATTTCTCTTTGGACTTACAGCGCCGCTTCCTTCTCCCTCTCCGCCTGGACGCCTTCGCTCTCCGGCTCCAGAGCCACGCGGCGCCTGCAGAGGGGGGGAGGGAGGGGGGGAGACACACGGGTGAGATAAAAGAGGACACAGCAGCCCTCAGGCGACTCTTCTAATGTGCTGCCGGGCTGCAGGTAAGGACGCCGCCTCACCGCCGTGGTTAGCGTGGAAACGGAAAAGGCGGTAAACGGCGGGCGGCCGGTGGCGCCAGGAGGCTCCAGAGCCTCCACCTCCCCTCCTGGCCGGCGACAAACAAATTCTTCCCCCGGGACCAGTAAACAAAAGAGCCGTCTCCCGGCAACCGGCCTCACCTGCGGTCCAGGTCGGAGGCGGCGGCGTAGTGCAGGGCGGAGCGCCCCCACTGGTCCGTGGCGTTGACGGCGGTGCCGCAGGCGACTAGAGTCTCCAGACACGGGTAGAGACGGCTGGCGGCGGCGTAGTGCAGGGGGGTTCTGGGAAATAAGAAACATTTACGCGTTCAGACTCAGATGTTTTTTCATACCAATTATAATGAATAAAGTCAGGATGAAGAAAGAGACAAACTGGTTTACTCCCATTTACCAGTTTATTTTAATCTATATGTTTTAAAACTCAAATAATTATCTAATTGACAAAAAGGTAATGACGCAGAATTTGTAACCTAGCAACCTGACTAAGAATTATTTGTATTATTGATTTAATTCTGCCACAGAAGCTTCAATCGGCCGCCGATATTTGGAGACAAACCCGAGAAAACAAACTTTTGTCATTGAGTTGTCCAGCAGAAACAGAGGGACGTCCTCCAATTTGTCTCCACAAGGTTGGAATTATCAACTGGAACCGAAGGGCCAAAACAAAGACGCCGTGGACACGGTGTCTCTGAGCAAATATTAATTACGTTGTCCAAAGATGTTGACGCGGTGTAACAAAAGATCAATTGTGGTGCCAGAGAGGTGAAAGGGGGTCGGTCTCATATCAATTATTAGGATGGGAACCAACACGCTGAAAAAACCGAACACACACACAAGAAAGGACTTCACCCGACACAGACAAACAGACATTTTCATTATGAATAAACCTGTCAAACTGAATAAAATTGAAGTCCCTAAACAAACACATAATACATTATTCATCAAACTATATAATGTGTTTGTGTGGAGCTGTAACAACAGATGTTGGTGTATGTTGACGTGTGATATTTGAGATGTCTTTATATTATATGTGTTGTGTAAACTCACATTTAAATCACAGTAGCTCATGAACGTTGTATTAAATGCTTCCATGAGCTAAAGTTTGGACTCTCACCTGCCGCACTTGTCCCTCCGGTTGTGGTCTCCTCCGCTGCTCAGCAGCAGCTTCACACACTCCACGTTCCTGCAGAGATGGAAGGTGTGTGTGTGTGTGTGTGTGTGTGTGGGGGGGGGGCAATCAGTTAAACGTGTGCAGAGAAATAGATTCATTGCTTTGCTTCTCTTTGATCAACGGGAGGATTCCGATGTCACCGTGGTGCTATTTGCAGAGGGAATGTGGCAACTTCACTAAGAAGAAGTCAGTTGAAGTTTCAGTTCAGTTTCATCGGTTCAAAATGACGGTCAAGCTTCCTTCTCGCCTTATTTGAGCGTGTTCAGTGTTTATGTGAAATCTCCTCCAATCAAATGACTCGTTCCCAGAGACTCATTTAGCAGAACTTCTACCTTCAGCTTTTATTTGACATTCATGATCTGCAGTGCACCTCTGAACCACGTGATTATTCCTATTGTGCTGCTAATCTAATCTAAGGCGAGTGTATATTCTGCTTGTTTGCATTGAATGACACAAAGCTGTGATTCACCAAACACGTATTGTCCACTTTACCTCCTCGGGATATTAAAGGCTATGAGATGGCGCGCTCATTTGTGCTCACATTTGCGCTTCTGATTATTTGAATAAACGCCGTGTCTCACCCTCCGGCGGCGGCGGCGTGCAGGCAGGTCCTGCCCATGCTGTCCGGAGTGTCTATCTGGAAGCCTGCAGAGAGGGGGAGGGGGGAGAAGGACAGGTGTGAGGGGGGGAGGAGGAGGAGGGCGTGATGCAAATACCCGCGGGCGACATGTGACACAGACGGGGAGGGGGGGGGAGGAGCTGGGGACCAGGTGGCGTTTTTGTTCCTCCCAGGCTGATAATCGCTTCCACGTGGTCGACGCGCTGAATCATGACGACAGGCGGGGAAACAGTCCACGGGTCTCGCGTACTTTGCAGACGGGCGCTTGGTTGTCTGCAAACGTCCCTCCAAGACCACAAGTTCCAGACTGCAACGCGATTCGCCCGTCAGCATCCTCCTTCTGCTCGGGTTCCTGCGGCTTCTGTCTCCCGGGTTCTGCAGCGTTTGAAACCTTTGCATTGATGGAAACCGTCTGAACCAGACCGCCGCGGCGCCGCGGAAACGTTTCCTCTCGGGCAGAGAAACGATTTCCCCGGCAAGAAGCGACGAGTACAAACAAGATACCAACCGCCGGTGTTACCAGAGAGGCCGCGTCTTGTTCCTGCAGCATCGTGACTTGAATTTGTCCGGCGGGGAGTGAGATTGCTTCAGGGAGGAATTCGCCACTGGGAGCCAGAAAAACAACCCGGGGGACAAACGACGCCTCCGAGGCCGAAGAATGACGTGAGACTAAAATGTCTCTGATTTGCACGTAGCGATTTTTAACTGTGATATTTAAGATAAAAGTTATGCTTTTAGAAATAGCGACAAACAAAAGTCGCAGGTTTGGCCGGTGAGGTTCGTCTACTCGGCGCCGGCTCACCTGAGGACAGCAGCTTCCTGCAGCAGTCGGCGTGAGCGTTCAGGGCCGCCAGGTGGAGGGGGAACATGTCGTGGACTCCTCGCCTTCGGGGGGGAGACGCAAAAACAAGGGTTCTGTTTGAGCGGAGACCGTCGCCGCGCCGCAAAACTCTGAAGAGGTGTCGGGCGGGCGGGCGGGCGGGCGGACGCACCTGGTGCAGTCGGCTCCGCTGGTGATGAGCGTGTTGATGAGGAGCTCGTGGCCGTAGCGGGCGGCGATGTGGAGGGGCGTGTTCCCGTCCTTGTCCACGCTGTCGATCTCGCCGCCTGGAAGCAAGCGTTTGATTGGTTCACGTTTTGTTCACAGGTGGACTGAGCAGCATTCGGGGGAGGGGGGGGGAGTGGGGGGGAGGGGCACGAGGACGCCTCACCGTTCTGGATGAGCGTCTGCGAGCGCGTGAAGCGCCCGTGCACCGCCGTCATGTGGAGAGGACTCTTCCCGTCGCGACTCTGGAGAAACAATGAAATAATCCCCCTCGGAAAGTTCCGTGACAGAAACTCGGCCACCGCTTCGCCCCGGTGTGTCTCGCCGCGTGCGTTCGTACCTGCGCGTTGACGTCCGCCCCGTTGTTCACCAGGAACTCCAGGCAGAGCGCTCCGTGCGTGGAGGCGGCGGCGAAGTGCAGCGGCGTGAAGCCCTTGTTGTTGGCCTGCCCGACGTTGGCGCCGTAGTCGATCAGCTCGCTGACGACGGCGTCCTGGCCGTTGTAGCAGGCCACGTGGAGCGCCGTGTTCCCGAACGCGTTGCACTCGTCGATCTGTTGCCAGGGTGACAGACGACGACAAAAAAGGCGAGACCTGCTGTTACGGCCGAGAAAAGACGCACGGGTGTGTGTGTGTGTGTGTGTGTGTGTGTGTGTGTGTGTGTGCGCGCTGACCTCCACCGTCAGGTTCAGCAGGTGTTTGACCACGGCGATCTTCCCGCTGGAGGACGCCGCGTGGAGGGGAGTGTACCCCCGCTTGTCCTTGCAGCTGACCTCGGCGCCCTGGCTCACCAACAGACACGCCACGTCCAAATGACCTGCAGGGGGCGCAGCGGGAACAACGGAAGCCCGCGTTTCCTTTTTTTTTTAGAAGGCCCGAAAAAAAAGACGCGTGTGTGACGCGCGGTCGACAAACTCGTCTCTTACCCATGAAAGCCGCCCAGTGCAGCGCGCGGCCGTCTTTCTTATCGAAGGCGTTGATGTTGGCCCCTTTAGCGAGGAGGAGGTTCACCATCTGCAAACGGCGGGCGAGACACGTTTATATGCGCGTGAGTGACGTGTCTTTTACATAAATACAGCAACGCAAACGCCATCGCCGAGCCCGGCTGTTGCGTAACGGAAGAAGCCGCTCATTCAGGTTCGGCTTTGGGAGAATCGTGCCGCCTCTCATTGTTCGTTTTAGATTCGGCATAATGGCGAATGTGAGGAAAAAAGGGAGCGTTTCAGAACGCTCAACCCACTCAACGGCCCCGATGACGCAGCTGCAGCCGCCCACCTGTTCCCTTCAACCCCCCCCCCCCCCGCCGCGCCAAAAATAGCACAAAGGGCCCCGGCCGCGTCGCAGCCCGTTTGATGGGGAGGGGGGAGGAGGGCGGCTCGTTCTGAGAGGTCGGCGGTACCTCGGTGTGGCCGTTGAGGGCGGCGTGGTGCAGGGCGGTGCGTCCGCCGCGGTCCGACACGTTGACGCTGCTCAGCAGCGGGATGATGACCTCGGCGCAGCGCAGCGCGTTGTTGGCCGCGGCGACGTGCAGCGGCGTCTGCCAGTTCTTGTCCCGCGCGTTCACGTCGGCCGAGTGGCGGATCAGAACCCGCACGGCGTCCTGGGGGCGGGCGAGAAGAGGAGAGGAGGTCCGATGAGTCGTGGAGCAGTTTGTGGTACTTTGATGAGTTGCGCAGCTTCTATTCTGCACACACTCAATAGAGAAAACTGACGTAAATCCTACAAATCTTATAAATTAGGATATAATATATATATACATATATATATATATATGTGTATATTTGAGGAAAAAACGCACCTTACGGTATGTCTTATTAAAACTAATTCAAGAGGGTACTGACTTCATATTTCCCTACAAAGCAAAGTCACTCGTAAAAGAAATCCTCGGCACGCCTCTAACATTCCTGCTGCAGCGATTCCAGCCACGTCGAACGACTTGTTCGGGCCCCGGGGGCGACGCGGCCCGATTAACTGCTCCGCAGCCGCATTCCTGGCGCGTGCTGAGGCCGCGTCGGCCCGACGTGTGCGAGCACTTTTTACCTCGCAGCTCGTCTCCCTGACACCTGTTTTCACACGGCGGGTCATTCTCGCTGCACTGCTGCTGTTTGGGGAAGAAAAGTGTGTGTGTGTGTGTGTGTGTGTGTGTGTGTGTGTCTGTGTGTGTGTGTGTGTGCGTGTGTGGTCACCTCGCTCCGGGAGGCCACGGCGCGATGGAGGGGGGTGAGCCACATGTTGTCTTTGGCGTTGACCCGCGCCCCTGCAGGAGGAGGTAACGTCGAAGTTTATGAACAAGCGCCCGTCACCTCGTGCACGTTAGCGGCCCGATAGGAGTCACATCTACTAACAATTAGGAGCTTTTTAAACGTGGACATCACAGTGGAACGAGTGAAGAGGTCATTGCTGACACATTAGGAGGCCTGTGGAGAAATGCTCCAATGGTTAAAACACTTATAAGACTGGATGACATGTTGTTTAATATGTGTAATAATATTACAGAGCCGAGATCTTCCTCACTGTCAGTGTTTTGCTTAATTTTGTAAAAATAAGGAAATGAGTTTATTGAAATCTTAAGTGAAGAGATAAAACGGCATCTGCGTCTCACCAGAGAGGATGAGGAGCTCCGTGATCTCGGCGTCGCCCAGGAAGGCGGCTGCGTGCAGCGGCGTGCGCTTCTCTGCATCCTGCCGGGGGGAAGGGGCGGTTGGTACTTTCATCATTTCTCATTTATGGTTGAGAAAAGGTGGGGGGGGGGGGTGGAACATGATAAAAACAGACAGAGGGTGGTGCACTCCGCGGTTTGACTGTGGCCTTTTGCACGTTAGCACATTTTTTTTTATAGTAGCGGTTATATGATCGGCCAGCAAAGAGACACATTTAGATTTCACAATAAGAGCTCCAGCTCTTATTGTGAAATCTAAAGAACAGCAGGCGGCAGGTCAGGCCGCTGTGCAGCGTCGCTCGCTCTCTCCCACATCAATCACAAGCAGATAACAGCAGCTAAAGACGAACTACTGAAGGGTGACACGTCAGTAAACAGCAGCGAGACAGACGAGGGGCCGTCGGGTGTCTAAGCGGCCTTTGTCCCCCCTCGGCCCGCCGCCCCCGCGTCCACGTGACTTGGCCCGAGTGCGTCCCGGCACCAGACGCAGGAGACCAAACGCATCCCGTGCTGCCCGGCAAACAGGCACGTGGGATGCACTCTGTGTCTGTGTGTTGTCGACGAATGCGCAATCTGAACTTCGGCTTCGCTGACTCTTAACCTGCAGGCCGTCGCCCCCCCCACTCGGGGGACGGCTGCTACAGGAAGTGGGGCCTGAAGACTTTGCTGAAGTCCGTGCGTGTGCGTCTGTGTGTGTGTGTGCGTGCGTGCGTGCGTGTCCTTACCAGAGCGTTGATGTCTTCGGACTTGTATATGAGCATTCGAATCTCTTCGGGGTCTCCGCTGAAGATCGCCTGGATGAGCGGAGGCTGAGGGGACAGAAGGTTCAACACATGACCAGAGGAGCGTGGACACCACGGGCACGGTCCTTCCCACGGTGTATCACTGAGCGTGTGCGTGTGCGTGCGCGTGTGGGGGAGCAGCTGCTTGACTTTAAGCTGCAGTGTTTACAAAATCCGGAGCTGCTTCTAGACTGCGGCCCACTAGGAGCTGCACACAAAAACCTTCTTTCATCCCAACTCTTCTCCTTCACAGTTACTCCCTCCTTATTTTAAGATCGGCCCGGAATGCCAGCAGAGGATCCGTCGCCGTGGGAGACACTTAAAAAGTGGACATGTCTGCGGCGGACAAAGGGCGGTTGTGAAGGTCGCGTCTGTGAAGCCCTTATTTTCTCGGGCAGATCACAGATAGGAGGTAAACACACACAGATACCAGCGTGCTGCTGGTTTTACAGGAACACAGGAGATAAAACAGTGCAACACGAGGGAGACAACCGCATGACGCGTCTACTCAAATACTGCACTCAGCCTTGGGACAAATGAGGTATTTGTACTTGTAAACCCTTTCTCTGCATGCACTGCATTGGTCAAATGAAACCAGAATAAATAAAGATTTCACCACTGATGTGCGGAGAGATAATTGAATGGATACATTTAAAAATCACGCATACCTGTTCAGATTACTATTCTGTTAGGTATTTATAAGTATACATGTGGAGTAGTCGTCATAAAATGATGTTTGTGTGTTTAGCTTAATCCTCTGATATAGAAGTAATAAATGTGCAATTAAAATAACAAGGCAAAAGTGGCAGCATTGTTATATGATTCATAGCAGCAGGCGGTGCATTTAGAATATGAAGAATGTACAGTATGTTTAACAACATGAGTGAGTTGCAATCATTGGTGTGTATTAATAAGAACATCTAATATGAACATAGTACAGTGTGCAATAAAAGGCGTTGTGCAGTATAGTGTGATATAGTACGCGATGTGAAAAGTGGAATATAGCAAAAACAACTTGATGCAAATCAACGATTACCAAGAGGTGCTACGGAGGAGTCCGCTCTAAAAAGAGATCGGCCTCGCTTCACTTCCTGCGCGCCTCCTGCCTCACTTCCTGTTGCACAGCGATCCTTCTCAGAAACCAGAGAGAGGAACCGCAGCGAGGCGTTCCACTTCTGCTTTCAGAGAACACACAGAGCGAGTACGCGGCCGTGGACGAGGTGATGCCACTTCCTCGTCCCCCCGACCCCCCGACCCCCCCACACACACACACACACCAGCGCACATCACCCATCACCCGGGCAACCGTTAGGGAATAGCTGTTTATATTTATATCCACTTGAGGCTTCCCTTTCTACTCCTTCCTTTACAGCCACTTTTACTGCTTACTTCCCGTTCATCTTCTTCTCCCGTCTAAGAGTCCAATCGTGTGTTGGTGCGACGCTGCTCGCCATGACCGCCACCACACACCTGAACGAGGAAGGCCGTGAAGGAGCGATCCAGGTCCAACCCTCCGGCCGGAGTCTCTTTACAGATGAGCATGAGCTTGGCCGCATACGGCCTCATGGGCTGGACGCACACTCACAGACGCACACTGGCGCCCGTGAGCGCAGTGCTGCGTCTGCGATCGCCATGGTGACCCGGGGAGGCGGGCCGGAGATTTAGGGAGAGCGAGCATGAATGAATTTCCTCAAACGCATACCAGCACCGAACGAAACCACGGAGGGGGGCGAGGGGGCGGGGGGGGGGTCCCAAGGCCAATATATATTTTAGAATAATAAGGAGCTGATACATGGGGGCGCTATTTGTTTTGGCGTGAAGGAAGATGGAAGACTCGACAGAAATATGCTCGTGGTCGGATTATTTACGAGGCGAGCAGTTGGCTTAATAATTAATAACACGACAGTAATTTGTCGTGAAAGCTTAATTACTAGTCTTCATGTGGAAAACTATCTGCGTATCCGTCCGTTCCAGCACTGACGCACTGATTCATTAGCGCGACGTTGAAGTTAACGTAGTAAAGTACTCGATGAGGATCTCAAAATGACAGTAAAGCGCTACAGTAAATGTACTTTCCTCCAGATTGACCCTTGACCTCTGCACAACACGTCAAACCAGCTGAGCATGAATGCATTTTTCCCCCCCCTTAAAGAGATTTCAGGACATGAAGAAACGACAGAAACAATCCGCCTCGCTCATCGAGTTATCGTCGTCGTCATCGGCATGTCGTCTGAAAACAGGAAGTGCCACAGTTCTGAGTTACATAACCAAGATACGGGCCTTCCCTTCCTCGGGGCCGACCACAGATCTGATGAGTTTCTACCCGCACGTTTTAGGCTCTTTAGATGCCAGAACAAGAACTGCACTTCAGTGCAATCAGGAGGTCCTTGTACTCTTTATACTCGTACTACAGCTCAGAGGAAAATCCTCCACTTTCTACCACACCGCATCTGACTGCTTTGGTTCCTTAATTTGAGTCGCAGTTGTTTTATCCCCCTCCTTTTCCAATGGAAGCTAAGTATCTCCAGATGTGTTGATGTTGAATGTTTGTGATAAAATAAAAGGTGAAGCGTTTCCTTCGTTGCGTTGAGAAAAAAAACGGACTTCTACTGCTAACAAACTTTGTAAAACTCATCGTCACAGAGCTGGAAACAGGCGGGTTTATTTGAGACGAGCTATAAACTCACGATCATACAAAAGGTGACGCGTGGATGTGGATTAAAGTAACCAGTGCAAATCCAACTACACTTTAACGCAGCAGTGAAATTAATATAGAAACATCAGCTATGATGACGATTGATGGTTTTAAATGCAGCGCATGTACTAGTACACCATTGTTACAGTGGAACATGTACTTTTACTTAGGAAGAGTACTTCTTCACTAAACCTAAACGTCATGATACGGCCTGATATTTCCTGACAACTCATTGAAAGAAATATACTAATTATTGGAGATTTGAGTGATTAGAGAAACTTAAGCTCACTCGACAACAAACGAGATTGACGCTCAAATCTCACTTCAAACAATCTGCCGACGAGCATCACGTGACAAGAACTAAATAGACCCCGAGGCGAGATTCTGCTTGTCATTAAATGTGATAAGAAGTAGCTTTTTGTCATCATTTAGAGGTTCTGTCAAACGCAACCCCCCTTTTTTGTTGTTGTTGATGCGAATGTGCTTTTAAGCAGTGACATAAAACCCGCGAGGCTTTGCGGAAGGAGACCGAGCAGGAAGTGCGAGTGAAGCGGCTGTTTAACGGAACACCGACGAATACAGAGAAACACGCGGACATTTGGACTGACGTGCAGTCCGCGCGTGTCGCTTCCTCTCGTTTCACGAGTGACATTAAAACACAAAAATAGTGTTGTTTTTGTGCCGCGGCGGACAGCGGAGGGCTGGACGCGTTGGCCGCGGTGCTAAGCTAACACGGCTAGCGGGGTCTACCTGCTCGGCCAGCTTGAGGACAGCCATCTCTTCTGGGTCCGCGCCGGCTCGTTCATCCACTGCCGCCGACCCCGCGGCACCATGCGCCGGGACTCCCCTCCTCTCCCTCTGTCTCTCTCTCCCTGGCTCCCCTGCGGGAGGAGGGGACGTGCGGGCGGGGGGCTCGTCGCGGACACCCAGGCGGGTGATGGTGACGAAGGCCGGGGGTTGCTGGGAAGGGGTGGGGGGGGGGGCGGCGTGCACAGGGGGCCAGCTGACCCGCGCCGACTCACGCTATCTGGGGCGAACGCCGCCGAGCCGAGGCGGCGTCTTGGAGGCGGAGGAGCGGGGAAGCAGGGACGGCTTGGCCCAAAATAATCCACATGTATGGCCCCGCTGCTGCTGCTGCTGCAGCTGCTGCTGCTGGTGGTGCTGGTGGTGGTGCACGGTGCTTCCCCCGATAGACCGGTCTGCAGAGACGCACGCAAGCCTCCCGGAGAGGCGGCCAGGCAGAACTCGGCTGAGGCGGAGGTCCGTGTCGCGCACACAGGAAGTTGGAGCTCGTCTCTCCTCCTCCTCCTCCTCCTCCTCTCAGATGCAGAAGTGGAGGAGCAGCTTCCTCAGCATCAACAGCAACCGGCGCCTCCTCGCTGCTGCCCTCCTCTGGACACGGAGGGAACGACACCCCGGAGTCACGCGCATGAACACTGATGTCTTGTTAGAGGGATTGTGTATGCATGACTGTTTGTGTGTATGTGTATGTATGTACATGTATGTATGTGTGTGTCTATGTGTGTATGCATGTATGTATGTGTGTATGTGTATGTATGTACATGTATGTATATGTGTATGTATATTTAGTCGAGACGCAAGGGGCTTCGTGCACTGATCAATTTCCTTCCATGTCATGTTTTCATCTAGTGGAGAGAACACATAAAAATACCCTTTTTTTATTCTAAAGATTTCTCATTTCTATTCTAATCACATATTTAATAAGCGAATGCCTCCTTGGCACGATTATTATATTATTTCCTGAACAAATGAAGCCACATGACATCACATTATTTTAACAAAACCTTCAACCCTTCTTATGAAATGATTGTGATTGACATCAGACATTGAAGTGGCTTCAATGTGCACAATGTTTCACTGAGGAAACATTTCTAATCAGTCTTCTCCCCCCTGGGGGCTGGTTACCTCCCAACACGCACGCCCGCATGCATTTTTTAGGTGTTCATGCATTCCAGGGGAAGGACACCAAAGAGGCTCCTTATTGTGTCTAAAAGATAAAAACATCCAAACCTTCCAGTTCCTTTAATCCTCACAAATATCTCAACTACTGTGTTGCTCTGTAAATGAGTCGCATGAGACACATTCATGATCCCCAGAGGATGCGTTCTTTTAAAATACCTGCAAAACTAATGACGCTCCCTTTGTTTTAAAGTGCTGATGCAGCGATGAAACCACGCTGAACAGTTTAGACGTGACTTAAGCGCTGTAACTGAACACATTACCACGCTATCGTTAGCGCTTAGCTCGGCCGGCACAGGGCCACAATCGAAGGCCGCAGGAACACGTGACCTCACATGCACTGCTGCTCAACCCAATGTGACTAATCCTGAGCTGTGAATAGGTTATAAAGACACAAGCTTGTGATTATCAAACACACACTATAAACAGATATTTGCAGTTGTTTTCTAGGGATATCCCTCTCCTGCTGCCTCTCTCTCTCTCTCACACACTTCCTCCTCCGATTAGCCGACCCAGATTGTGCCGGTGGTATCTGGGTCAGCGCACAGGGAGCTGCTCTGCAGCAGTGCTGAGTGAATGGGTGTGAGGGGGGGGGGGCAGTTTTCCTTCCATTGTGAGTCTGCGAGCGTTCATGCATGTTTGTTTTTTAGTTCCGAGTGAGTTCCCGATTTCTCCCTCAGCTGCGTGATGGAGGGGCGACGGCGCAATGATGGTAATTCCCCTTTAATGTGAAATGCTTTGTGGGTTTTTTACCCTACGTTCAGGAGGAAAGAGGAAACCGTTGCAGAGATGAATACAACAGACAGTAGTTCAATACTGAACGAGTACACTTCAATCCATGAATAAATAAGAACTAATTACACGTAAGAACGGTTTTAAAGGTACTTCTCACTTTTATGCCACTACAATTCAAATGGAATTAATATTTTAGTTGAGAATTTAATGTTTTAACAAAATAAATTGAGATATTTACATTCATTTAACCAACAGTAGTATTCAAAATATTCTTCCACCACCAGCTGACAGATTAGATTTCTGCCGGCATCCATTTGCAGAATTGGAACATAATATAACTTTTAGTTAATGTCTAATTGCAGTTTGTTGAAACCGGCCAACTCACCACCAGGTGCCACTAGACGGTCCTACAGAGTCCCTTTAATAGCGCAAGTGTTCTCTCTATGAAGGAGCCTTAATACTTTGAGATAAATCTATTGTTCTGACCGTAGTAGTACTTCCACTTATAAGAGTACTGTATTAGAGTTTAAATACAGCAAAAATATTTCAATACTGCTAGGTTGCTAACGGTACTCTATAATACATAATTAGTTTTTCTCATATACATTATTCAGCTAAAGTTAAACATGAATTAAATACTTATAATGGGTAAAAGGTTGTGCTCTGGTTCACTTAAAAGGCTCGAGAGCAGACCATGAAAAGAGGCCGCTGCCTCCCATGTAGCTCAAATTAGCAGAACAAAATAAACACGTTGACAAACAGAAATTTGATTTTTATACACAAACATTTTATTGGTTAAATAAAGCGACGACCTAATAAGAACAGAGGTGTGAAACTGGCAGAGGGTGTGTAAAGGGAGCAGCCGGTACACAGGCCTATAATTACACAAACAGAAAAATGATCCAAATATTTAAAAGGTGACGACTTGCTCTGCATTCTTTAAATCAAGGCTGGTCTCAACTCGGCCATTCCTTACAGCAAACACTCGGTATAAAAGAAAGAAAAGAAAAAAATACATCTACAATGTTCCTCTTACTTCTCCAAATATCATGCTTATTCTTTAATTCGGGTGCATTAAAGTGGCGTCAAACAGAGGCCGAATGCGGCCAGCGTTGGACTGTTGCACCCTGGGAAACATTACGGGCTGCTAAATAGAAACGGGGGCCTGCGGCCGACATCGGGGAGGACAGTGGAGAGCACGAGAGCAGGTATTTACAAGGCGTAGTCCAGCTCGTAGCGGACGTACATGTTCTTCTCGTCGTTGTAGACCTGTGGGTAGTGAGCGATGAGCGCGTCCTGCGAGCCGATGTAGATGGAGTTGTAAATCTTCCAGTAGACGTCTCGCACCTTCCTGGCCGGATGGAACAAACCCTGGAGAGATTATTTAGAGGGTGAAGATGTTATTTAAAAAAAAAAAAAAAGACAGGTTAAATGGTTCAATGCGAGCGCCGGGTCATCGTTACCTGTAAGCAGTACTGCAGCATGCGGCACGGCCCGATTGCGACCCGCAGGCCCTCCAGGGCGCCCATGACGGCCTGGATCACGTGAGGCGACGTCTCAAACACGTTGGGCCACACGTAGTTGAGCAAGTGGTTGAGGGAGTCCTCGCAGCCGAAACCGTAGACGCCCAGAGACATGTGCTGGACCACGGCGCTGGCGGTCTGTCGGTGGACCAGATCTCTGCAAGGGGACACCAGCAAGGCGTTGGTGGTTAACAGGCGTGAACAAGGTTTATCAAAGCCGTGGACTCAGCGGAAGCTCGAGGGCCCAGAGAGCCACCGGTCTTCACTCACCTGTCCATGAGCGCGTCCTCCAGCAGCGGCGTGACGGCGTAGATGTAGTCTTTGCCCATCTCTCCGATGTACTCGAACAGAAAGGAGAGGGACTTGAGCACGCCGTTCTGCACGTTGAGCTCCGGCACGCGGTACTCGTTCATGAGCGCCGGCAGCACCGTGAACGGGGAACAGGTCTCGGCGACGATGGCGATGGCCACGGTGGTGCAGACTCGGTTCTGACGCTCCTGGACCTTCAGGTTGTTGAGCAGAGTGGCCAAGACGTCGTGGGGTCTGGGGAGAGGAGGTTATTTAAATAACCCGTTAACTATCATCGAGCAAACCAGAAGCAAATCCTTCCTGGCTGTAAGCAGCTATGCATTTAGGACTGCATAAAATATATGTTAGGTATCCATGGCGATCGGCACTCACCCGATGGCTTTGGCGATGTAACCAAACGTGTTGACTGTAGCTCTGCGGATGGCTTTTTTGTGAGCCTTCAGCAGCTCCAGCAGCTCGAAACAGATCCTCATCCATTCCCTGGCCGACACATATTCAGCCCCCCTGAAATACACACGAGAGGTTAGGACCCACGTAATAAGAATAGATGCCATCCGATGCAACTTCAGCCCGAGGTGTTGCTCCACCGACCTGTCAGCGATGCGGCCCACCAGGTCGATGCAGTTCTCCTGCACCTTCTCGTGCCTGTTCTTCAGGATGGGGGTCAAACGAGGAAGCAGGTCTTTGATTGGTGGAGTCATCTTGTGCATACCTGCAAAAAACAAGATGTCCCACAACTATTCAGACGCTTCCTTTTAGACCCTGAAACCTGAATGAGACGGCAGACACAGTTGATGACGTACCGATGACGTTGACGATGGCCTTCAGCGCTCCCAGGATGCTACCCAACACCTCGGGGTACTCCTCTCCCAGGTACTCGTACAGCACCACCCCCAAGTGACCCATGAGCTTCTCCTGCAGGGACGGACAAACAGAACAGTGAGTTTCTGAGAGAAGTCACCTGATCACATGCCCTTTTGAGTCGCGTGGTCGTAGCTCACCTCTTGGCAGGTCTTCATCACCACGGCGGTACGGGAGATCAGGTCGGCGGCCTGCTGACGGACTTTGGCCGACTTGTTGTTGAGGCGCCAGAGCACCGTACCGCAGATCTGAGGCAGGTAGGGCTTCACGCGCTTCCCGAGGGCGTTGACCACCGTGCCGAAACCGTTGAGCATGACGGAGTCCTGTAGGACGAGAGGATGAACAAAGCGCTCTGTGAGGAAGGTTTCTCCCGCGAGGGGAGCGCCTCGACTCAAGCGTCCGCCACACTCACCTCGGTGGTCTGTTCCTGGAAGGCATACAGGATGCCGTCGATCAGCTGCTCCTCCAGCTTGTGGTCGATGTCGGCCGCGCCCAGGTTGCCCATGATTTTCTCGATGGTCTCCATCACCATCTTTCTGTACTGCTCCGCCTCGTCCTTCAGGTCGTCGACGATGCGAGAGATGATCTCTGCAGCTCCCACTTTGTTGGCCAACTCCACTGTGGTGTCCACCAACTGTTCAGGGAGGGAGCGGAAAGGCGGTTTGACGACATGTACTCACAAAAGGCTTCGAGATACCATGAACATCTAAAAGCAGTTTTTAGATACACAGCGTGTGTCATGACAAATCTTTGCACCAGCTCAAATCAAGCAAAGCCAGACACAACAAACTAGAAAAAATACAAACAATTATATACACACACACACACTTAAGAGGGAAATGTCTGTTATAACCATGGCAACAACTGGTTTCCATAAAGCTCATCAAAGTGTGGAGGTTCTGATTGTAACCAACGGGTGCAGGTTGAGAACAGAAGAGACATGGATGTCGGGTCTGATGGCTCTCGTGTTGGTGTTCATCTAGCGAACGACTAGCCCTGATACGAACCACGGACCGGCTGAACAGGCGAGAATAGTTCGCAGAATGCTTGTATCACATATAATTCTAAAGCCATGTGAAAAATATTCTTTTACGTTCCTAAACAAATCCTTCAGGTTTAAAGTGTGTTTTAGATCAATACATATACACTTAAGTAAACAGTTGCCCAAATAAGCGCTTTTCAAGAAAAGAGCAACACAAGATGTGAAGAAGTGAAAACAAGGGACCAACAGCCCATTTCTATTGATCTCAGCTTCAGCGTCTTGGTTTGTTTGCTCACCTGTCTGTAGTTGCGTCGGTCCAGAGCCATCCTGTGCTGCCAGAAGTGCTTGAAGAAGGGAGGCAGGATCTCCGTCTTGATGTAGTTTGCTTCCACACCATCGGTACCACAACACTGCTTCACCACCTACGAGACAAAACACACAAGACCGGCTCAGGGAAGGAACATCAACAAGGTTTAAGAGTCTCTTTGGACCTCTGGTGTCCGAGACAAAAACTAGATAGCGGAGGTGTGACCAACGGGTGCAGGGTGAGAACAGAGAGGACCATATTATCCCCTCCGCTAATTCTCGTGCTGGTGTTTCTATAGCGACGTACTAGCCCTGACGCAACCACGTGGCGGCTGAACAGGCGAGAATGAGTCGCAGGGAGTTGGCCGACATTCAGGGGGAGCTTGGAATTTGGCTCCAGAACTTAAGTAAACTAAACTTGTCATTACCTTGAGTACAATCTTCTTCATCTCCTCGTCGGGGGACTGGAACTCTCTGATGAGAATCAGCATCACCTCTCTGGTGTAGTAGTTCGCATACTCTGCGTCCATCAGTGGGATCAGGTAGCCGATAGCTTTGAGGAAAGCAGCCAGACCCTGGTGACAAAGAGGGGGAAATAGAACGTCAAGACAGACTGAGCTCAAGGATTGTTGCTTGTGGACTTCAATAATAATAAATCCGTGTTTGTGATCTCTATGGGCGGCTGCAGTAACGCCTTTAGGACTGTGGCCACGAGCAGGCTGTGCAAAAGCAGCTTACCTTTCCTCTGTGTTGTCTGATGCCCTTCCAGAGCGGCTTGAGGACGGAGTCGAAGGATTCGATACCGTAGGGCGTAGCAGCTTCAGCCAGGGCAGCTATAGCGAGGGCGCTGATGGTCCTCACCTTCTGCTGCTCGTCTACCAGACCTGTGGCAACGCAGTCAAACCCGACAATCAAAGCGGGAACACATTTTCAGTAGGGCCTTGTTTATGAAACACTTCAGGAACATTTTAGAAACCCCTTCATTACGCAACCCTGACTGACCGTGTTCGATGATCTCTACCAAGCTGCGAAGATGGGGCAGAATGGCGCAGCCCATGAGGATGGCGATCTGCTGCACGATCTTGATGCCCGTGTGCCGGGCCTGCCAGGACTTCTTGCTCTTACACACAGCTTTGAGAAAAGGCAGGAGGGAGGGAATGCCCAGGGCGGAGGCCACCACGGCAAAGGCTCGGGCCGTGGTGTTTCTGACGTACTCGTCCATGTTGTCGATATCGGGTCGCATCGTGGAGATCATGGTGGCCAAACCGGCAGCCTGGGGCGGACAGGAGGAGGAGGAGGAGGAATGTTAAATATCTGAACCAGATGTCATCTGGAGAAAGCGTTCTTTTTAAAGGAAACGTGTCAGAGCAATAAATAACTATGTGGAGGTTCTGATTGTAACCAACGGGTGCAGGTTGAGAACAGAAGAGACATGGATGTCGGGTCTGATGGCTCTCGTGTTGGTGTTCATCTAGCGAACGACTAGCCCTGATACGAACCACGGACTGGCTGAACAGGCGAGAATAGTTCGCATGGAGAAGAGTTTGGAATCTTAAAAAAAAAAAAAAAAAAGTACCTTTGCCAAGTTGGAAATGATTTCTCGGCCTTCTACTCTGGCGTAGTAGTCCTCATCAATCAGCAGGGGCTCAATCACCACAAGGATCTGGACACAAAGACAAGAGTTAGTTCATCTCTAAAGACACAAGACGAGGAAAAAAAAATAATCTGGACTGTTTTTCCCTTTAAGCCTACCTTGTGTACGTATGGTCGAACCAAGTCATCCAGTTTGTAGAGAATGCGGTCAATGACTTTAACCAGCAGATGGCGCTCCTGGTCCTCCAAGGTGGGCGACATGAGCAACGGCAGAATCTGATTGAACAGCGGGCCTGCTCCGAATTCACGGGCTTTATCTGTGATCTGACGCAGAGCGGCCTGGAGAAGAGAGACGAGCGTTAAGAGAGACGCAGATGGACAGACAGTCTTTAGTCTCAACACCAGTCGTGTTTTTTTGTCTGCCGCTCCCAGCGGAGCATGTTTGTCTACACTTCGACCTCCACTGAAAGCAGCAGCTCCTCAAGAGGAGATCATTTAGCAAGCAAATATTCACACTGCAGCCACATACAGGCTCAGTGCTGGGTGTGGATCTTGCGTCATGGCTACAGTTTATGGGGGATTTATGACGTGAAGGATCGCAACAAGTGGGGTACAGGTGGGGTACAAGAAGCAAATGAGACATCATGTGAGCACTCGAAGGAAGGATGACCAACCTTTCTCATGGGCGGTGTTCCATTCTTAATCTTAAGCAGCAGCTTCATAATCTTTCTCTCCTTCTGCTCCTCGGGGCTCAGCGTGGACTCGTCCACCTCCACCTAAAAACAGAAAAGCCATCAAAACACTTTGAACTTCAGACGGGACAAAGATCCAAGCTGAGGGTCTTAAAAAATGTTTAAAAAAAAAAATGATGCTCACCAGCAGTTTGTCAAAGTACTGGATGTCATCGGGTTTGAGGAAGGGCAGGTTTCCTGAGGGCTGGTCGTTCATCTGCTTGGTGGTGCGGTCCTCCACCTGCATGTGGAAGCCTGTCATGCCTCCAATGGGGGTCGGCGTGGCCGACAACTTACGGGCCGGAGTGCGGATCGGCACGTAGCCGGCTGGTGGAGGCAAAACCTATGAAGAACAATAAACTGTCAGTGAGGTGACTGCCCCCTTTTACTCACCAGAAAGTCCAACACAAAAAGGGGGACATGTACCTTGTATCCCTCTGGGAACATGGCATCGAGCTCATCGTCTGTGAGCGGCCGGTTCCTCTCATCGATCTCCCTCTCCCACCTCCACGCCTGCAGCTGCTCGGGAGTCATGCTCATCAGGTGACCTGAAGGAAACCAAATAGGAAGTAGATTGTAAAAAGACAGCAAAACCAGAAGACACATGCAATAAGACACTACAGCCTGTGGTAATGTATAAGAAAAAAAGGGGCAGAAATGAAAGGAGCAACGCGCAAGGACGAAACTTTGCGGTGTCGTTACCTGGCGTCGGTGTAGCCATGTTCATAGCTGGCGTTCCGATGGGAGTCTTTCCTGGGGTCAGCAGTGGCGTAGAGGATCCCATCTGACTGGCAGGGGTCTCATCCCACCGGGACTTCCTCTTACTGGCCCCCGGGGTTGGTGTCTCGCCCACCGACTCGTCCCCTCTGTCTGTGCGTGGCGTCTCAGCCCAGCCGCTCCCGTGTCCCGGGGTCTCCCTCTCAGTCTTCGGGGTTTCGTCCCAGCGGTTCTTGCGTACGCTCCCCGTGGCTCCACCATGGCCGGGCGTGGCGTGGCCCGGCGTATCCCCCCTGCCGGGGGTGGCTGCACCGGCGGGTGTGTGGCTGGGAGTGGGGTCCCACATGCGGGTGCTGGGAGTGGCCCCTGGGGTCTCGCTGCCCTTTGCGCGCCCGGGGGTTTCATCCCACCGGCTGTTTGAGGGGGTGTGCGCGGGGGTGTGTCCGGGGGTGTGTCCTGGAGTCTGCGTGGGGCCGGAAACAAAGAAACATGAGAATTCAAACATGGAGACAATAACACAACTTCCAAATAAGTCACATATTACTGGATTCTCGTATCACATTAAACCAGGCCTGCAGTTATTCTAAAAAGCAGTGAGGCTGAAAGTCGAGTGGCTCACCTCAGCAGAGGAGTCAGCCTGGTCCCAGCTGGACATCTTTTTGGGTGTGGTATTAGTGGGGGTTTGGTCTGCGGTTTGATCCCAGCGACGCTTGCGTTTCGCGGCAGCTGCGGAGGCAGCGGACCCGTTGACGACTTTCAGGTCCCCAGCTTTGGCCTTCTCTACCATCTGCAGGCGGATCTCCCTCTACAGGCAAAAAACAACCACCGTTAGGAGAGGAAAGACAAAAACTCTCTTGTTAAAAAAGGCAGGTGACTGCTCACCTCCTCTTTGGACAGGTTTTGCTCCAACATGACTTCCACGTACGACCTGCCCTGCAGCTTGGGGTCCGGCGTTTTGCCTCCTGCGCGAAAGAGCACCAACAAGAACAAAGGACACTGATCAGTATTCACTCTGGGGACCAGAGTTTTTACTACACAGCAAGCTCAAACACAGCCAGCTTATTCCTGACTCGCTTAACCAACAGATTAACTTACACTCCTGTTGTTATAAACAGCTGATTCACAAAGCATTCCTACATGTATACATTTGTCTTTTCCTACATACAGTCATAGCATTGTATTGAAAAACAAGCAGATACATAGAGAGAAGAGCTGTGGTTGTGGTGTTTTCTTTAAGTGGATTCAGAAGTTATAGCCATCACTGATGCAGGGGTCCTGGGCTGTGCTCTTCAGAATACGTACACTTTCAGTGCCATGGTCCTTCTGCAGTCAGACTTCAACCGGCAGAAAAGAGGCCTAGAAAATGTCTCTTTACCATTAGTAACACTTTGGAAAAGGGTTTGAACTCACACACAACAGTATACCACCTGCGATGCATTGATTTACGGAACTCAAAAAAAAAAAAAAAAAGTCTTGGGCCATAACCACAAAACTAGAAAAAGAAAATGATAGAGATCATGAGGTCCAGATTCCCAATGCTTCTTTATACTAGCATATAAAAATGAAGTCAAGATTTTGAGACTACATCTTGGAATGACATTACCATTAAATATACGAGAATCTATTCTGGCATTCTAATATAAAGATGAGGCAGAAATATAATGATGAATCTAACCCAACTATCAGAAATACAGGGATACAACATGCCAGAGCCCCATTGACATGTCATAACAGCCCTGGTAATTATCCAATGAGAATACATTTAGATCTTGACTTCCTTTGGGGAACAAGGTGACTGATGGGTAAAGATAAGTAGCCAAATATTTTGGGCAGTAGTTTTCCATTACAAATGCAAGGGGCGTTTATTCTAAATTTCTAAGAAATTGATAAGCCAAATAAAAACCAGCCACTGGACCCTGACCAAACTGATAAGTGCACAGTTCTGTGTTCCCCATAACCTACACAGGATGAGTTGCTGCACCCTTAACAGAGTGCAGTACAGGACTGGCAAAGCAGTACTGCTGTAGGAGAGAAATTAGGGACAGTTAGTATGGGCCTGTGGTATTGTGGTACACAATTTTCTTGATAACATATTTCTATTTTACAGAGAGAGTTGTAAAATAAAAATATATTTACACAACAACTTTGTACAATAACTCTCTCTACATGCAGGCTTTAGATAAGCCCTAACTATCAAACCAGAGGCACTCGGGCCATTTAATCTCAGATTGTCAGTCAATAAAAATTGAGAAATGATAATGGGAGGTGACTAGTTTAGGTTTTAACGCTTTACAAATTTGTAAAAATGGTTATTTACTTTTAACCCTGATATGTGTAGCTTGCTATTTCCTACGCTGAGGCCCAACGAGCTTTTTCTTCAAAAATGACCGGGCATCTTTCTGCCTGTCATGGGATTGGTGAAGCTCGGTCTTTAAATAAGAAGATTGTTGTTTGTCATCTGTTATTGAGCTCGGCTCAAGTTCATTGGCAGGTGATTTACACCAGAACTAACCCTCAAAACGTACTCTCAATCCTCACAGGCTACATACGACAAGGGGGCCACTGCCCTTTACCGGCTCAAATGGGAATGTTAACCCTTCGACTCACACACAACCCATCTGCAACCCACGTCTGTTATGGTAATTTGCCCTTTGAGAACAGCGAATACCTAACCACCTCTCCCACCAAAAAGCATGGTAACCCTGCAGTGGGCATCACTATTTTATTGCACGCACAAATAAAAATAAAAAAATCACGTTGCACATAATAATGGAAGTATTTTTCCAAACCAGAGTACTGAAGATAAAACTTTGAGCCCACAATGTTGTTGGCCGCAAGGTTGGAAGTTGATACGAATGTAGATTATATATATATATATATATATATGTATAAATGAGGAAGAAAACGTACAAAGACACAAAATGTTCTTGGACCACAGAGGATTGACCACCAGGAAGGCATCAAGTCTGGGAGGCAAGCTATTGCATTGTAGTCGAAGGGTTAAAACACAACAGCTACGAAACCATTGGCAGTCATGGGGGGGTCACAAAAAAGTGAGCCGTGAAAAGGGGGAGGAAATGGCGAAGGTGCAATGAAGTCAAAAATTGCTGAATTTACCATCTGCGAAGGGGTCGAGTCGCTCGGGTGAGATGATCATCTGTCTGCGTCGGGCTTTGTATTCATCTTCCCGCTCTGCAATCTTCGCTGGACGATGCTCTGCGAATGGGTCGTACTGCAAAACAAAGATGGGGTCTAAGTGTATGTGTATACCGAAAAGTAAGATGGCCCGTTCAAAGAACAGTTGAAAAAGATGCTTCTAAAACTCTTTTGTACTACTATATCAGAGCACATCAAAAATAATGTATTTGAAAGTAAGAACACAGATGAAAATGTGTTAGAATAAAATTAAGACTTACTTGCTCATCTGACTGAGGGATGGCATTGAGTATCGCCACCGGTGCATGGTACCCTGGCTTTTTTTGTCCCAACAAGCTTGTTGATGAATCCTCTTCATCATCCTGCAAAAGGAAAGAGAGGTCTAGTTAAATCTCAAAGTGGCAAGACTCTCCTAGCTCATATGCAAAAAGGAGCAGTCAAGGCCCCAAAAAAAACTGTGGGATGCATGTTAGCTAAGTACTTCAGTGCTCACTATTTCTTCCACAAAGGGCCCCGTGTATGAAAACACTTACATCTTCCTGTTCATTGGCAGCGATGGAAGTGACGTATCCATCGAAGCGGCTGTCGCTACCTCCGTAGATCTCCTGGTCAAAAAAGCCGGTGGAATCGAGGCCCACTCCCTGATCTCCTTCCTCCAGCAGGGTCGCCTTCATCCCCTGGATCTCCAGGATCTGGGCCTCGATATCTACAGGGAAACAAAAGCAAACAGCGGGTGAGGATTAACAAAATGCTAAAATCTCTGACCCCCAGAACATAACAATGATTATCTGTGCTGGAATGTACAGTAATGTAATGTACAGTAATGTACACGTTTGAAGGTATTTTTACTTCGTTCCACTTTCTATATCAGTTCTTCACTTATCTGATGGTTAGTTTTCAGATTGCTTGTAGACCAAAGAAATGAGCTCATAATATATAGTCTATTACACGTGGTCGGTTGATTGATGAATAAAAAAAATTAAAATGGTGCCATTTTAACCTCTGTGTTATCATGGTGGAATGCAGCACTCCTATTTTCAGAAATCCTACCAAACATAATCAGTAAATGAACGGAGCCAACAGACACGCTATTTTATTTGAAGTAGTAATTCGTTTCAATCGAAATACAAAATAGTTCCTTTAAAAAAAAGGCAGTTTTCTATCAGGCCAACGTCACGTTTCTCCGTTGATAACGTTACAACGGCTGACCGTTGTAATCGAACGTGATAAATTACATAAATAATCTGGCCACTTTCCCCGCCACTGACAACGAAACACGTTAAGTACATCGGCAAAAATGCTTAACGTAAGCCGAATAGCTAAGGTCACAGGTAATTGTTTAATTGAACTTAACCATTGTGTAACGTGTGGTGTTGTGTAAAATGACGCTATGCTAACAGGGATAGCTAACGTTAAATGATCCCCATAATATAATTTTAAAAATAGAGTGATTAACTCTAGGTGGTACTGTACTTAAACATAGGATTGATTAATAAGAGCACGTCAATATGTCCGGTGGCGAAGCTACGTGTCTACACATAAATGAAAAAAGCACATTGCGCACAGTGAAGGTAGCTAACTAGCCAGCTAAACAGCTAGCATCCAGCGCCATTATCTAAGCCGTCCGCGTTGCGTCGTTTCGAGGCCTGCTTCTTTTCGCTTTCTAAAACGAACCAATACTTCATAATGTGCTCCAGACACGTCAACATTTACCGCATACTTCCTTTTCAAATTATATTCTGTAAAAAGAAACTCAGAAACAACCGTTATTTAGTTATTTTGGGTGAATAATTTACCTTCGTGCGTCTTGGCGATCTTCGCCATTTTGGTGGTGGTTGTTCGACTCTGAGACCGGAAGTGAGATGAGGCGGACTTCCGTCTTTCTCGCGCTCGTCTTACGTCAGTTTTCTAATCGTTTTGTTAAATAGACGCGGGTTTTTTGTTTGTTGGCATAAGAAACTAAACATTTTCTCCAAGCAAACTTGTTGAGTATTTTAGGTAAAATCTACTTAAAATCTCAAAAGTAAACGTGTCCATTAGGCAGTGTACTCTTTTTGGCCCTGGTGGAGGAAGTTTTCAGATATTTTTGTTGTAATATGTCATCATATAAACTACATTACAAGTGAATGTCTGCATTGAATATGTCATTAATTAGATAAATAATAATAATAACAAGTAGAACAATATATTTATATATACATATATATATTATTTCCCAATACAGATTACTGTTGTGTGTGTGTATTATATAACTGGCTTATTATTACTGCGTTCATTACTGTAAAATGTGTATTTTACTTGTGTGTTAATTGACTTTGTACTACTATTTAACTATTTATTTATGATCATTTTGATGGTGCTGATTTTTCTCTTTGGTATAATACTCTTTGGTAAATAAAGGTATATAGCAATATATAAAGGAATTCAAATTGAAACCTAAAACCTGTTATGTAAAATGCAACATAAACACTAATGAAAAAGTCATAATAATTGCGAAACATCCTATCTAAAAGTAAAACACTGTCAGGGAATACTTTACTCCAATAAGTACTTATTCTTAATGCATTTTACGAGTGAGTATTGTGAAGAGAGCTGGGTGTTGGGGGAAGGGTGTTCGAGGTGGATCAATATGCAGAAGGTGTAGAGGAAGGGGCCCTGCAGGAGGAGGAAGAACTGGATTGGGGGGAGGGGAGGATGACTGATCAAACACGCTGAAGAATTTGTTCACATCAATGACCCTCGTTTAGGTCCTCCAGGCTGGGAGTCCAGTTCCTTGTAGCCAGAAATGGTTTTAGGCCTTTCCAAACCCCGGTTGTGTTTATCCGCTGCAGCTGATCTTCCAATTTTTAATCCTATATATATTTTATTTATGTCTCTAATCCTATTAAGCTCCACCTCGTTGTCTGACCTAAATGCCTTCTTCTGTCCCTTAATGGTGGGCGTTTACCTCAGGAATACTACAGCTAAAAACTAAATAGTATAATTGATGAACAAAGTGATGGACAAAGTATGTAAGGCCGTTCGATAATGGTCCAACGTTGTGTGTGATAATGACCCCACGGTGTGTGTGTGCATCATCTAAAACCACTTTGAGCTTTGAGTCTACAAGGTAAACATGAGCCAACAATCCCGTGACATTCCAGCGTGTGCGCGCTATTACGCGCACGAATCACACGCGTCAGCAGCGGTCAATTGACGAACCACGGCTCCGGCCAATGACAGCCCTTGGGGGGAGTACGCCTCGTCCAATGGCCGCTCGACATTCGGGGAAGTGAGTGACGTCGTGGTGGGAGGGGGCGGGATAAAGCTCTGGCTGCCGCTTGCTCGACCACCCGGAGAAATTCGTCAAAGAAAGGCACAATGGCGAGAGGGAGCCGGAGCCTGAGAAGAGTAGCTGAGTGCATCAAACAGCTACCTTTAAAAGCCAGCCGAGAAATACAGACCAAGAACAGCGTGAGGTAAGGTGTTTTATGTTTTACATCTGGACTTAAACTAGAAAGTAAAAGAGAACACTCATCTCCCACCATAACAAACGGTTAGCCGAAGTAAGCTAGCAACGTTTAACGTTCCTATTTTAGCTACGGTTACTTACGTAACCTTACTACGCGCTAACTCACAGTGGACGTTAAGTGACGCTTAATGTACTTGAGATTCCTCAAAACATCGTAACTGAACTTGTTGTCAGTTTAAAATAATGTCACCGGCTCCAGCATTGATGGATGTAAGAGCGTTTTACAGTGATGCGCTATAAGTACACGTACCACTAAGTTATATCCGTCAATACAACGTAAGTAATGTCGAAATATTTCTCACTGAAATAACGTAACGTTGTAAAAAGATCGGGTACATTCCACTACTACAGCCTTCCCCTGTCTACATATTTTTGTTTTAAACCTTTAACGTTCACAGCTGCTTCACCTCCAATATCTCTGGACGTGCATTCTTTCAAAACCCCACGTAGGAGAACGCGTTCTATGTTGGGGGAGATAAGAACTCTGCATTTACATTCTACGAGGAACTCCGCTCCATTTAAGCCTCTGGCAGAACATTCTTGTAGTTTACGTCAGCTCCGTAAAAAGCAAGCTACCATTTTCTCTGCATCCACATGCATTTAGCGCAAACGGTCCTCCTCTGTTGCTGTGAAATCTCAACTTCTCAACCACGACCCTCCATGTCTGCACCCACACGTGCGTGGATCCGTCATAAGATGCACAGAATCCGTTTCATGGTTACAGGAAAACAACGCCATCGATAATGTCGCATCTCGTAAAGCGTGGCAGTGACCCCGCTGTGTCTGAGTTGTGTGTTCATAGTTCGTGTGGAGGTTACACATCGATTTGTTCCCATGGATTAATAGATTCCTACTATTTGTGATTTCACAGAGGATCTGACTCGGGGCTTTTGCCGTGATCCAACTGGTCCCTGCTGACCAGTGGAGCAGCATTGTGGAAATGGGTGCAATAAAACCGATTGAAACACATAATGTGTTGCCAGTTTTATTGCGATTTGACGGTTGATTAAAAGTGAAGAAAACATTAGCATTACAAAGGTGCAACTTACAAGAACCAACCTTTTCACATAGATAATTAATCCCCACTCCATCCATTACGCAAAGATTTTCTGTATTGGGGTTTTCTAAAACGTAAAAAAAAACAGCAATGTTTTGGCAAATCAACTTAATTGATTTGCCAATAACTCAATTTTGCAATTAATTTTTTTTTAAGATTGAGATGTAGTTGTTATGACTGTTTGGTCCTCCAACAGTGCAAAAAGTACTCTAAAAGGACAAAAGGACACCATCTCATAGTCTATACTGGAAGTTGACCCCGCTGCAACTGGGATGCTATATAAATGAAATCCATTATTATTACCTACGTATATATCACATTAAAAGGACAACACACCTCATATTCATACTCATATATGCCAACTAATTCGTTGAACTAACTATAATTAATGGACACTTGAATTTCAAAAAAACGGTTGTTGGTCAAACAGTGTTTTTCTTGACCGGCCATTTCACCACTCGGCCTTTTGTAAAGTTTGTAAGCTAGTTACCTAATTTCCAATCTTTTTGCCCTGAGGAAAAAACCGAGCTGTACAAGTCGGGCAGGTTTAACGCAACTGTGTTTGAGTTCTCTAAACCTTAAGATGGTCTATCTTCCCTCGTACAGTCGCCATGTTTTTCATTGTATACCTCCATCTGTGGCCCATCTGAATTTTGACAATCAATTCTTTGGCTGGTGTCGCATGTCGGCGTTCCATGGGAAGTGCTTTGTTCCCCACAAACAAACTGTTACAGATGACAAATGTGAGGGCGCTCTGGGCGTATTGTGGCCGTGGATCATTGGATCGATGCACTTCAGGTGGTTTCCTGTCGCAGTTAGAAAGGTTCACGATTTGCCAGAATTGTATGAATTAATTTTTAATATGTGGAGAACAACAACAACATAATCCAGAGTGTAGCGTTTTCCCTCCTTCGGGATTCGCGGGTGTGTTGATTTCTCATCCCCCGTTTCTCACGTGACTTGTTGTTTGTGCCTAGATACCTGTCATCATGTGGGATCCTGATGACTCGGGCGCCTCCACTGCTGGGCGCCGCCCCGCCGGGGATCAGCACCACGTTGCCCGCTCGGAGCTTCTTCAACCTGACCGACTCCTTCTCCAAGAGGAAGGAGTACTCTGAGAGACGCATCATCGGGTGAGTTCGCCTTTACGCGGCGCACAGAGCCAGTATTTCAGATTATTTCATCATTTTTATTTCCTTTTTCGGGGTTTCATGAGACGTAATGTGCACACTGTTTAGGCTCAGTTTGTCCAAATGTCCTGAATACAAATGGTTTGTTAAAAACCGTTACAGAACAAAAGGTCATAGTGCAAATGCAATAACTTTAATCAATAATGTGCAAAAATCCAATGAACTCCAAAGCCAATTTTAATACAGTTGGCTCTGTCAAAACTAAGACTGCAGTTTGCACTGTCTGCATTGTAGCCACGTCCACGTGTTAAGTCGTGGTCTTAATTGAACACACTTATTTTTAAAAACGACTTCTTGCAGGTAGCTGTGTATTCTTAAAGTTGTTGGTCTGAACCGCGACAAATCCTAGGGTATCGTGTAAGTAGCTGCTTTAATGCCGTTGCCTCGCCAGAGATCTCGCATGACGCACTAAATGTCCAATAGAGGTCATAATCACTGAATCTGCTTGTATAAATAGACTCGGACGGAGCGACACCATCCGTATGAAGATGGTGTGGGGGACGGTCTCTTTAATTACATCAGTACTCTCTCTATTTCCTAGTCTTGAATCCTTTCTGCCCCACTCAGCCCCCCCTCGCTGTTCCTCATTGACCTACTTCAGACGCCACTGGGTCATAAGCCTTGTTTAGTGTTGTAATGTTGCATAACCGGCGCTGGCCGTCCCGTGCTTCCTGTCGCTCAGCGCTCTGGGAGCTTACGGCTCGTTTCGTTGTCCGTCCTCGACCTTCCAGGTATTCCATGCAGGAGATTTATGACGTGGTGGCCGGAGTGGAAGACTACCGCCACTTTGTCCCCTGGTGCAAGACGTCCGAGGTGGTGTTCAAGCGAGCAGGATTCTGCAAGGCCAAACTGTCCGTGGGCTTCCCGCCGGTGATGGAGAACTACACCTCTCTAATCACTTTGATATGCCCCCACCTAGTCAAGGTACGCCACTGCCTGGGTGATATGGGCCGTCATCATTATGATCAGCAGGGAGCAACACTTTGTTTTGTAGTTTTATTTCATCTCATCACCTTTACCAGCTCTTCATTGAAGCTTCACTTCGTAAAATATACGGCGGTCCATTAACTTGAATTCCGCTAAATGCCTTCTGCTCAACGCTATGTGTGTTTTTTCCCCTTCAGCGTTTGTAGGTTTGTAAACTTGTTTTCTTTCTGTGGCTTGTCAGGCTTCCTGTTCGGAGGGCAGACTGTTCAACCACTTGGAGACGGTTTGGCGTTTCAGCCCCGGCCTCCAGGGATATCCTCGTACCTCCACTGTGGATTTCTCCGTAAGCAGGCGCAACGTGCTAACATGCTAAAAGATGCATTTGTGTTTTATATATTGAGCTGCAATCTTTTAATCCTCTCTCCTCAGATATCCTTTGAGTTTCGCTCCCTCCTGCATTCCCACCTGGCTCACGTCTTCTTCGACGAGGTGGTGAAGCAGATGGTCTCTGCGTTCATGCGGCGCGCTGCGCTGGTTCACGGTGAAGAGACGGCCATCCCCCAGGAGCTCATGTTCCACAAGATACACCAGACGTAGCGCGGAGAAGCCGGCGGGACGAGAGGGCGAGGAGTGCCTTTCCTACAGAAACGACCAAGTTTATTCTCAACAGTCTCTACTTTAGTGTTGTTTTTTTTTATTTTATTATATATTTACATAAACGTGTATAACTGATCCAGCTTGTTCTCGCAATGGTGCTAAAAACAAACCGATGTTTGTACTTTACTTTCTTCCCGTGACCCGAGCTATGGAGTCGCAGGTTCACAGGTTGAGATCAGGCGTCACGGCCGCAAAGTGGCGTCAACCACGACGCCTCTTTCGTTTAAAAAGCTGCTTTGGGAAGACTCGTTACAAGCACATCTTCCAAAGGCCGATTTCAGGATGTGTAGTCGATGAATGTTGTGCATCACTTGGCTCGGGATGCCGTTAGAAGTTGATTGGAGCCTTTTTAGAAAGTTACTGAAGGCGGCAGTGTGGCGGTAAAAGACTAAATCTGCAGTTTTACTGAGGTTAAATGTTCCTCTTCTCTTTATAATATTATTATTATTTTTTTAGCTTCCACACTAGATTCTCTAAAGGTCTAACTACTGAGAAAGTAATCAACAAAAAAAGAAGACATGTCTGCAGAGGAGTTTAGAGTTTGGAACTAATAATAATTTTCATCAGTGTGAAATTGGCAATTAGTAATTGTTTAGTGTGTTAAATGTTTAAAAGTTTTTAAAAAGTGGGAAAAATGTTTATAATGTCTCAAAAGGATCGATACGCTCACAACAGTCTAGAACCTGAAGATGTGTGATAGAGCGTCACAAAGGGGAAACGTCACATTGTAATATTTGGTGCAAAGCGACTGAAGGGAGGAATCGATGACGTAACGTAGTTGTGTTGTGTTATCTGTCGATGGATCAATGGTCCACAGGTCAGAGTGAGGGCAGCAGTTCGTTTGTGGGGAAAGCCAACTTTGGGACGAGTTGAATGCAAGAAACTGAAGAAATCAATGTTTAACTCTTTCTATAAAACTGGTTAATAGAGCAACAAGTCAGCACGTCATTATTTTTCTACGAGTAAATGGAGCGTTAGTGTACAAATCACTACGCTGCAAGTATTAAACGAGCTGTCAACTAACCGGTGTTTTATTTTGCTTTATTAGGGAGAAGCTACTCTGTTCTTTTACTCCTTCCTGTTACACATGCGGCGCTCTCGTCATTGTTATGGGAACAATCCTGGACTTTAAGAGTTAAAGCTAAACTACATGGCAAAGTGTGCAATATCTTTAGTCTATATGGTGTTCTTTTTTAAAATGCGAAGCCAACATGTATATTCACTGTTTGTACAAAAAGGGCCCGAACGGGCTGGCAGCACCTTCACCTGTCAGTCAGGACATAAGCTCCGCCCTGAAGCCTTCGGGACGCACCTGTGACAGATCAGAGCATATCGATCTATTTTATGAAACAATAATTTTATCATGTTTGTGTAAATACTGGTTTGAGCTAGAGAAAGTGTTTTTCATGTGAAGGGGAAAGGACTGGTTTGAATATTTGTGTTGAATCACTTCACAACCAACTGCATGATTTATAAACTATTTTTTTCTACAAACAAAACCTCCTGACTGGTGTTCGGTTTGTTTTCTGACCCCGTGGACAGAAATAGAGCCGTCATGTGAGTGGAAACACAACCTGCGTCTCAAGAGTCCGAGGGTTTGGAAATGTCACTTCTGCCGAAGGGCAGGCCTTTGTTGACCTACGACCTTTGACCTGCATCGGGGTATGCAGATCGTTAAAAGGGAGTAAGTACTAACGCTAGTGGGGAAGTACTGCATTTAAACACACACTGCAGTACGAGAAGGGAACAACTTAAAACAAGTTCCCTGTAGCGTCCATCGAAGGCTGAAAGCTTTTTTTAAATAAGCCTTTTCATTTAAAATATACATTTAAGTAGAATCAATGTATATAAAATATGGATGTGTATTCGTGTAGTGATCTGTAAACCATTTGAACATGAACCCAATTTCTTCACTATCTGATAATTCTGAACAATTTAATTTATTTCAACAAGTAAATCACTGTCTACATCGTACAAAGCGAGTCGAATGATCAGCCTTTTCCCATTTGTGAGGGAACATCAGCCTGTGCATTTTATGTAATATACCTGCTCACTGCAGTTAATCATTTATAAATCATAAAGATCAATATTTAACAGCACAATTCTACAGATTCTCACATTTAAACATAAGACCTTTAAATGATCCAAACTGCTCACATTCAACCAGCCATTTATTATTTGTGAAATCCGCTGGGCAGGTGATGCATGAACATGAACCCCCCCGTAAACATTGGGTTAAATTAAACCGCTTCGTACACAAGTCTCCCACATGGACAGAAAAGGCAACGACAGGTCAGAAGGTCACAGAAAAGGCTCAAAGCTCCGTAACAAAATTAGTTTAATTAAACCAAGTGACAGAATTTCAGTACACGCAAGATTAGCCGGACAAAACAAACACTACGGATATATTATATATATAAAAAAAGAATCAACAAAATGCTATGACAAAACAAAAAGGACAGAATAGAACACAATCCTGGCTGGGCATCTTTTCCTGTAATTCAGAGCGTATGAAACCTGTAAGCATTACTCTGTCGGGGGCGTCGGCCTTCAGTGGAGCCCGGCTGCAGTAAAGCAGGCTCAACGGGCTCCCGTCGGGCGAGGCCGACTCCTCCACGCGCCCTGGACGAAGAGGCAGAATCATGTGACGTAAATGGAAATGGAGGATGGCGATCGGAAACGTTTGCGGCTCCAACGTACTCATCACGGCATCACGGCCGGTCAGTTTAGGGCAAAGTTTGGGGAGGTGGGGGCAGTTTGTCCCCGGCGGATTTCTCCCCCGGTCACCTCCCCCCACCAGCACCACCGCGCCCGTTATCAAGTCTGTACAGCGACGGGGAGGAGGAGGAGGAGGAGGATCGGCTTAGAAACCCATGCCTCCCATCCCTCCCATGCCTCCCATCCCTCCCATGCCACCTCCGGGCATCTCCTTCTCCTCCTTGGGGATCTCCGTGACAACGGCCTCGGCGGTGGAGAGCAGGGAGGCGACTCCGGCGGCGTCGAGCAGCGCCGTCCTCACCACCTGTAGAGGGAGGAGGGAGGCACGTCACGTTAATTGTCCTCATTGATTATTAATTATATTGAAAGAGCCGAAACTGATAATTGAATTTATCTCACAACAATCCCCAAACTATCAAATGTTAATGATTACACAGAATATTAAACATAATTTGGGCTTCAACTGTCATCAATTCATCCATCAATCGTTTGCTCTATAAAAAAACCCCCACTGAAAATCATTTTAGATTCCACGGTACCGTCTCAGTCCTGCCAAATATCACAAATGGATTCATACATTTTCCACGCAGGGCTCTGCTAGCTCATTTCACACCGAGGCGGTACTGATACGAGCTTCATTCCTCCTGAACCTCCACCCGCGGCGACGGCTGTACCTTGGTGGGGTCGATGATGCCCTTCTCCACCATGTTGACGTACTCTCCCAGCATGGCGTCGTAGCCGACGTCGACCGGCCCCTGCAGGATCTTCTCCACCACCAGAGAACCCTCCACGCCGGCGTTCTTGGCGATGGTCATGGCGGGAATACGCAGCGCCCGTCTGATGATCTCCACACCTGGTGGGCAACGAGGGGAATCCGATTCAAAGCTAGAAAGATGTGTTGTTTTATAAACACGAAGGGGAGGGGCCACTCATTTAATTCGAGCCCGCGTTGCACTGACCGATCTTCTGGTCGGCGTTGGCGGTTTTGATGGTGTCGAGCGACGGGATGCAGCGCAGCAGAGCGCAGCCGCCGCCCGGCACGATGCCCTCCTCCACCGCGGCGCGGGTGGCGTTCAGGGCGTCCGTCACGCGGTCCTTCTTCTCATTCACCTCCACGTCGCTCGTTCCTCCGATCTGAAACGCAGAGAAAGAGGGTTTTTCGGGGGGGAAGGTCGGGGGCAGGGCGGCGAGGGCGCGAAAGCGGGTCTGCGAGGACGCACCTTGAGCACGGCCACGCCGTCGGACAGCTTGGCCAGCCGCTCGTTGAGCTTCTCCTTCTCGTAGTCGCTGGTGGTGTTCTCCAGCTGCTCCAGGATCTCGTTGGCGCGCCGCTCCACGTCGGCCGGGGTGCCGCCGCCCTTCAGCAGCAGGGTGTCGTCTTTGGTGATCTGCACCTCGCCGACCTTCCCGAAGTCGTGAGCCTGGATGTCTTCGAGGGCGAGACCCACGGCGTCCTCTCCGAACACCTGGAGAGGACAGGAGGACATCTCTTTGAGTCCTTTGTCCTAACTAAGTTAATATAACTAATTAAATTGAAAGTATCCCGTTAAGTAAAAATCTTGCATTTAAAACTATTGTTTCAGTAAAAATATTAGCGTAGAAATGGAGAATTTGGAATACATATATACATGATATCATTTGATTACAACGTATTTATACACTTTATGCCCCCCGCTGGGGGTTTTGAGGTTGGTGTGGACTCACCGTTCCCCCGGTGGCGACGGCCATGTCCCTCAGCTGATTCTTCCTGTTGTCTCCAAAGCCGGGCGCTTTAACAGCCACCACCTGAAGACCCACCTTGAGCCTGAAACATGAAATGAATCTTTAGTGGTTCATTTAATACAATAAAGACATTACAATCCCACAATTGCGTCATTTCAGGTCTTATTCTCTTTTATATATTTAACGTCGCTCCCCGTTAATAAAGCTTGAGCCTTTTGACAGATGGTCGACGTACCTGTTGAGCACCAAGGTGCTGAGTGCCTCTCCGTCCACGTCCTCGGCCACAATGACCAGCGGTTTGCGGTGCTGGTTGGCGATCTCCAGGGCAGGCACGATGCTCTGTACGCTGGAGATCTTCTTCTCACTCAGCAGCACGTAGGCGTCCTGGAACTCGACCTTCTGACCTGGAAACAGACAATCGATTTTTTAGCATTGTGCATTATTTTCTTCACAGGAAGTGTTCGGCAGTACGAGCACGGTTACCTTTGGCGGTGTTGATGAAGTACGGGGAGATGTAACCCCGGTCAAACTTCATGCCCTCAATGATCTCCAGCTCATCGTGCAGAGTCTTCCCATCCTGAGATATGAAGCACGTATTGATTACCTCAGACTGATGAAACACGTCAACGTAAAAGTAACTAACGCGGCCGATCCGTAACCTAAACAATGACTGCGCGGGATGTTCGGACACCAACCTTGACGGTGATGACTCCCTTGCGGCCAACTTTCTTCATGGCGTTGGAAATGATGGTGCCAATCTCCACGTCGCCGTTGGCTGAGATTGTAGCAACCTGAAAAGACAAAAATTCACTTAAGCATTTCATGACGAATTGAGGATACAATGAAAAAGCTTTGGATTAATGTGCTCCGCTACTTCCATCCCGCCACGTTTACCTGTGCGATCTCCTCGGGGGTGGTGACTGGTTTGGATTGATTCTTCAGCTCGTTGATGACCGTTTCCACGGCCATCATGACGCCGCGGCGGATCTCCACGGGGTTGGCGCCTTTGCTGATGGTGTCGAAGCCCTCCTTGGCGATGGCGCGGGCCAGCACCGTGGCGGTGGTGGTGCCGTCGCCGGCCTCCTCATTGGTGTTGTTGGCCACGTCCTGCACCAGCTTGGCGCCGATGTTCTGGTACTTGTCCTTCAGGTCGATGCTCTTGGCCACCGTCACGCCGTCCTTGGTGACCTTGGGGCTGCCCCAGCTCTGCTCAATGATGACATTGCGACCCTGCAGTGGAGACAGGAAGTGGTGAGGCGAAAGGGGTCTCCAGCATTCAGCGTCCGGCTCATTCTAACGGAGTGAACGTCAGCAATAACCAGGACGAAGGTTACCTTTGGGCCCATGGTGACGGCCACGGCGTCGGCCAGCAGGTCCACTCCCTGCAGCATGAGGGCACGGGCCTCCGCGCCGAACTTGACGTCCTTGGCGTAGGCTCTCGTGAGGTGAGGAGCGAGCGCCCTGCACACGGGCCTCACCTGCTTCATGATTGTTGGCAAACGAAACATCTCTGTGGGGAAAAAACAAACAAACATTACATCTGCAAAGTTATTGTGTAATCACAATAACCTCATCTACAATGCCCATGAAACCTGGAGTAAAACTAAACAGAGCAGACAAAAGGTTAGAAATATACTAATGCTACATTAAAAAAAAAAAAAAGCTACACAGAAGTACATTAAGTGATGTAGCTATATATAAATTATTCAAGTAATTACAAGTTTATTTTGATGCAATTTAAGCATGCCTTTAGTTTGTATTAATATGTGGAAATTATTAAAAATAATAATATTTTAAATATATATAAAAAAAGTGAAGAGTACTTCGAGTGCTTGAATAATTCTCTAAATCCCTCACAAGTCACAGGAGGACAGATTCAGTGCAAAGGTCAACGGAGCCCCTGGTGGTCACTGGTGGTATGACGCGGCCTAATAAACCTCCACATGTGTGGCATGGTCAAACGTTTTCAAAGCTCTTCATCTCATCTCACACCAAACAGTGCAATTATTGCCAAAATAAAAACGTGACGGCAAAGTGTGTGTTTGCAAGACATATATTATAGGATGTCACACCATTTGACTTGCAATATAAGAGTTGGCTTTAAAGATTATTCCTTTTGATTTCCAGCTAGGGTCAACTTTGGTCAATGTTTCAAGATAATCTTATGGAAATCACCCTCCATAACATCAGCATGTTTGTTGCGTTGAAATGTAGGAAACGGCCTGTTTAAAAGGCAAGAGGCCCTTTGAAGAGTTTATTTGGATTTAGAAGTAGGATTTCCAACACAATGGAACGAGTCATGATCCACACATGCAGAAAAAGGAGAACAGAATTTTAAATTTCTTAGGCTGTCAGACAAACTGCAGTGAGGAGAAAACGTAGTATAATGCCACAAAATATGGTAAAAGTAAAAGCACAAACAACGTTAGTAAAATACGTCGATTGAGTAACTAACGTTACAGGCTTTGATCTGCACACGTGTCCAACTACACATCCCACGCTTTTAGACTTTACAGCTATAACAACCAATAAAATAATAACTTGTTCAGCCTTTATAATAAATCTGTTTAGCATTTCTAATGGCCTTAATAGTGGCTGGATGACGAAAGGTAGCCCCCCCCACACACACTAGCCCCCCCCCCCCACGTGTGCTCTTCAGGTCGCGCGTCACAAGGTCATTCTGTAATAAAAAGCATGTGCGGAACTGGTTCGCCATCGTCTCTGCTCGGGCTTCACAACGCGTCGCCATCGGACTGACAACAACCATATTTTATTTCAACCTTTGAATCTGCGGTCTTAAAATAAAGTATTTTAATGTTAGTCAAATTCGTCCCGTCATTGACAGTCGAGACGTGCTCAACATTGCAAAGACATAAGAAAAATGAAATGTTTCATCATATCGAGACACCAGACACTCATTAAATTAAATCGAATAAGCGACTGAGATTTAAAGTGTAACGTTAATTTACAGTGAAGGTTAGCGCATGTTTCTGATGACATATTGTAGCATGCGTCCTCGCATTTTAGAATGAAGCTCTGTTAGCTTGGGAGTAGTTAAAGCTAACGTCGGAGCAGAATCTGCAACGTAAAGCTGGCGTTAATCAAAAGCCTGCAGTTTGTCATATTAGCCACGTTATATCCATAAAATACTGTGTACACTGGTCTGTACTTACTTGCGAGGTGAAAAGCTTGCTACTGCGACAAGGTGCACGTCTGTGAGACGAAGTGGTGAAGCGAGCGGAGGTAGAAAAGGACGAGCCTTGTGGTGCGAATGAGCTATCCAGAGGGTACTGCACATGGCTTATCACATCCGGGTGATTTACCGGCGGGCCCCTGAACATGAATTACTCTGCTATTTTTTGTAAAACCTTTATTGAAGTTAGTAAAGCATATTTTACAAACACACATGGCATAGTTCAATATTAATCATTATTTTTTATACAAGATAACATCTCAGATACAGCAGAGTGGAAGTATAAAGTTACAGAAAATGTAAATCCTAAAGTAAAGTACGCAGCTTTTATAACTCAAATGTATACGTCAATGCTCGTTCCGGGGCTGGCGTTTCTCGAACTTTCTGGCGAGCCATTGGAGGAACAAATAGAGGTCAAAGTTGACATTGTGCAACATTGCTCTGATTTGGAGGAATACATTGAGAAAGAAATACTGCGATTACAACAATAATGACTTGCCCATACCATAGTTTGATTTTATAAAACACCTCGTATGAACGGCAGCGTTTGAACTCTGCCGTTAGGTGTTCTAGAATTTTCCACAACTGGGCAGGCAGCTTTGGGGCACGTCTTGCGCATGCGCCGTACAGTTCACGTGGAGACGGTCCCCATCCAGTGTGTCAGATTAAGAACCGGGTTGCAGCACCTTCGCATCGACTCTCTGACTTCCCACTCATCCAGAAATGGTAAGATACCTTTTGTACTGGGAAACCTACCGGGATTCATAAAGACAGTCAAGTAGTAAAACAGAAACAATGGGATGACGCAGGCTGCATATGGCCAAGTTATCGTTAGCATTTAGCTACTGTCTTGTGTGCTAGCGTTACCTTTAACATCGATTCACAAGGTCACGCGGTTTATGAACCGAGTGAGGCGGAATTATTTCGTGAAACGCACACTTCATTATCTTAATCAGACACTGCATAATCGATAGGAGGATAAAACGGATTAGCTTTAACTAAACTACTAAACCTAAGTTAAGTGCAGCCACAAACCGACTGTTAGCAACAGCTCATTTCTGCTCGCTCTGTATGAGATTTTTTTTTAACGCAGATGCGTTCATGCCAGTCATCTGTTGACTCCGTCATCTGCCATTCATTCCGCTCTGCTGCAGCAGTAACACGTGGGTTTACGGGACGCGGTTTGCACAGATTTACACGCATTCACGCCGCGTTGGTGCTTACCCCCCCCTTCCCTTAAACTGTAACGTCACGACCGTCTGTCTTATTGCACGACGCATGATGCCCTTGGACGGTGAAAAGGGAGCGATCGTTTAAACCATTTCCGGATTCGGTTACGTAGCTGATGACCTCACGCCCGTGCGTTCAAAATGCAGCGTGTTATCCAACGATATGGAATACATATCATGTGGAATAAACCGTAATTGGTATGAATAGGATGCAGTATCAGCAGCAGAACACGTGCTGCAGTTATAGGTGTAAGTGGTACATGGTGTAACAATAGAATAGCATAAATACTTTTCATTTAATTAAGTATTGCCTGTAATAAATCATACTGATGCAACCTTTTTGTCGTTTCGGGTGGACAAAATGTCAAACATTACAAGGATCAGCCTGAAAATGTGAGGTTAATAATCACCATCTTGTGCAATAACCCCCCCCCACCCCCTCACACACATCTCATAAACCACAGCAGAGAACCTTCTGGCAAACGGACCCACCGGCCTTGAATGTTATCTCGCCATGTTAGAAACCTGGACATGTCAAGGGCTTTTTTCATCATCACTTTGTTATTTTGTTTTTTGCACTGGATTCTGTAACTCTAAGCTTGACGATGCCTTTAAGTCAGCAAAGTGTTTAATCAGTCGTCCTTGTCTTCCTCGGGTTCAACGGGCACAATAAACAAGTAACTCCACTTTTGGCTTTTTATCGACCCCCCCCCCCCTTGTTCCCAAACAACCTTCACCCCCAAGGTCACTCGTACATCTGTTGCCATCAGACATGTTGGCAGCGGCCGTTTTACACCTCACCCCCCTCTTCCTACAGCTGCTGCCTCATACTTTGCCTGACATATTTAAGATAATGGTGAAATGCTGACTTTTGTTCCACATGAGTTCCGCATTAATTAACTTCTCAAAGGCTGCTTTTGTGGTCTTTTATTAGGCTCTCTAGCCCCCCTCCCCCCTTTAGTAATCCATGCTTGGACTCAATATGCGCCCCTTGTGGCATTATTCGGTCCTTACAGAAAGAAATGTACTTTATTTGGTGGGTAAAACATAATCTCAGGTAACCCGATGTTCTCTGCTAATTTCCTCTCCTACAGGCCTTCAGGAAATTCCTCCCCCTGTTCGACAGGGTGCTGGTGGAGCGCCTCGTCGCAGAGACGGTCACCAAGGGGGGCATCATGCTGCCCGAGAAGTCTGCAGGCAAAGTGCTGCAGGCCACGGTGGTGGCAGTAGGACCCGGCTCTGTCAATCCGGTGAGATCATCTAAACTGGGTCTGACGCTAGATCAGGCGTTACTGAAGGGGGGGGGGCATTAGAGAGAGTGGCAGGTGTTCTATGAGGAAGGTGCAGTTTGATAGTATTTGGCTAATTGTTTTGTGTGATGCTTTCTTGTAGAAGGGGCATGTGCTGCCAGTCAGCGTGAAGGTGGGAGAGAAGGTACTCCTTCCAGAGTACGGAGGAACTAAAGTCAGTCTTGACGACAAGGTACGGTACAAACTCGACTGCCTCCGTTGAAATCAGTTTCCTCTTGTGCCTTCCTTGTTTAATACATTTTTTTTTCTTTTTCTTCCACCTAGGACTATTTTCTTTTCCGTGATGCGGATATTCTCGGTAAATACGCCGAATGAGTCTTCATCGTTTCTCGTTGCTGTAGATCTTGTCACGTCTGTTATTGTCGACTAGAGAGAAGAAATTAATCGGCCGCCTTCATGTCTTTTTTTTTTTTTTTTCCTTTTTTTTTTTTCTATGTATTGTAAATAATTCTAATCGCATTTTGTTACAATAATAAAGGTGAACTGCGGATTACTGTTTTGTCTTACTATTTTATATTGTCTGTATATCAGTGCATATTGTGCAGTGTACAAGTATGATGTGTTTTCTGTAGCTTTTGTCTCAATGAATGAACCCAATATCTATACTAAATAGGGGGATAACTTAAAAGGAAGTTGAAGAATAAAATAGTGTAACACACATTTGAAAACTTAATTATATTTTTACCATTGAACTATCTTGTGTCCTAAAAAGTTTGGCTTTAAAAAACGTTGCAAATTAAAAAAAAAGATGCATTGCATATTTTAATCAATTATTATTCCAGGTCATTTAGCTGACGTTTTTATCCAAAGCAGTTTACGTTGCATTTTTAACTCATGGCTTATTACATTGTTGCCCGGGGAGAAATTAGGGGTTAGGTGTCTTGCTCGGGGACACTTTGACTTGGGACGCGGGGCAGCCGGGGCTCGAACCGCCAACCTTGCGTTCCCCTGCGCCACCGTCGACACCGAATTATATTACTTGTAAGATAAACTAATAGGCATTTTTATATAGAACATAATGCCACTTTTTGCTCTCCCACTCAGCCAGTCGCAATGCCCAGTGTTGTGAGTGATGCTGCTGATTTGAGACGGAGTTTATTTTACTAATGGGTTAATCTTGTCGAGAGCTTTCAAGGCAAAATACATCCTAATGACATTCTTGCCTATTTACATAACCGGCCTGCCTCTATGTTGTGTATGTAAGATGCCTCTGTTTGTTCTAACAACCATCAATTATTAGAGCTAAAGGAAGAACCTGCTGACACGGCCTTCATTCCGCCTACAGTGTTCAGGAGAAACTTTCAGAATCAACAACGTGGTTTAGAAAAGGGAACCACTACAGCGGGACAAGTTCCATAGTCTTGTTGTAATTGTATCAGTAACAGATACTCAATAAATATGACACAAATAGGATGGATAACGTAAATAAATGGGGGAAACTCTAACAATGTTTGATGTAGAATGAGCTTGTGACAGACATAGCTGAGTCAAATTAATTAATTTTGGAAGTAAATGTAAAAAGTTGCGGTGTATTACTAATTGAATTGAAGTATTTTTACTCGGGCTGCTGTAAGTACACGTTTGTTTTAATGCAATTTATACTTCTAATACACTGCTGTAATTATTTGTATTTGTAAAACAAAGATACCAAACGCTTCACGGTTCCAACTTTTCGAAAGATTTTTTTCTTTTGCTTAGGCTACTTTCAAACATTCTTAGTACCTAAAGTTTACTAGTCATAGAAATACCACCAATGCTTCACTTTGATTGTCACAGCGTTTCTACTATTGAAATAAAGATAAAAATAAGAGCCAAACACCAAATTAAGACAATCCATAATGAAAATTAAACTAGAGTATTAGGCCCTGAATACTTCCTCTACCACAGAGTACATTCACATCATATGTGTCATACGGTACAGAACTTAAATAATATAGTACATGTACTTGGTAGCATCACACGACTGACGTCAGTATAAGTGTAGACTCGCTTGAGGTGAACGTGCTCCCTCGCGCTCGGGGTCATTTCCATGTCAGCTGCTACAACACAGCGGCTGACGAACATCCGGGTATTCTGTCGAGATGGTCATGGCGGAGGGTGCTGCAGTTCTCAGGAGGAATCGGCCTGGAACCAAGGCGAAGGTACGTTTTCACCCCCCAATGAGCACTCTGGCGTCACCTGAAACCCCCACCAGCACAACCCCGCGACGCTGCCTCGTTCCAGCCGTGTTGTTTTACTGCTCGTATGTTTGTGGACAACCGACAAAATACAGGAAGGGCCTGACCTGGAAATAGCCAGCTAGCTAACGGTTAGCTTTCGCTCCCGTCTAGTTCCTGGAGTAGCGCTAACTTAAGCGGCATTTGTGTTTTTAAGTGGTTCTCGTGGAAGTCATTGTCGCTGTATAACCACAGTCTGTTTGCTATGATGAATTTCACACGGGATCCACAGTCGATGGGGATGTATCACCTGACGTAAAGTGGTCTTTTGCGGTATGCTTTGCAGGAAGCAGTCGCACCCGGGCCGACGTTATCTAACCAGCTAACGTTAGCTAGCTGGCAACATGTTCACAGCTCAGCTTTGTAGCTTTTGGAATAATGTATTTTGAGAAACTAGTGACTGTACATTTTTTTTTTTTACACCAACATATTCTCACTGCAGAGCTTTGCTCGTTAGGTTACGTTATCTTCTTTGCCGCCTCATACGTGTGTCATACGTGTTATCGTGAATTCGGGTTGGTGCGTCAGATGACAGCTATGTCCACTGAGTCTAAAGCGATGCTCCTTCTCCTCTGTAGGACTTCTACAACTGGCAGGATGAGTCCTTTGAGGAGATGGACAGCACCCTGGCTGTCCAACAGGTGTGTTGACATGTTGTGTTGAGTGTCTCCCCCCCTCTTTCTCCGACGCTGGTCCATTCAAACGTATCACCATTTGATTGATCAATGATAAACATGACTAAATGCCCTGATACAATATTCAGTCTAATCAAGGGTTGGTTTAAACAATCATTAATTATATGACTGGCTATCTGAGATGACGTGTTTTCAGGTGTGTCCTAAGATAATATTCATATGTACACATGATATGAGGAATGTTAAACCATTCCTGTCCAAACTTGCCATGAATAGATCCCGTCCTAAAGCTATTCCTTTTGTAAGCGACGGTGGGCACGTCCAGTTTTTCCGAGGTCATCTTGGGTGTAGATGAGGCTTCAGTAGGTGTAGTAAATGGTAAATATTACTCTACAGCAGCTCACCAAGGACCCTGTTCAGGGCATCAAAGAGAATTTCACACCGTAACTCCAAGATGCCCACGGACATGAGAACGGATCCAACCGTGGGTCTTATGTCAGGGGAAAGCCATGTTTCCAAGACTGTTGACTTTGCCCGAACGAAAGCGAAACGATTCCATGTCTCGTTGTTGCTCTCGGGCACACTTCCATGTTTGTTTTTTGTGTTTAAAAAGGAATTTTCACGACGGCAGGCTTGTATGAGATGTTATAAATCCGAGTACGTTAACCCATTTGTTCACGTAGCCTTATAATGCTTTTGATTTGAAACTAGAACTTTTAGTTTCCCACCAGCACGCTCCGGTAGACACCGACATGGTGGAACAACCGGGGTGTAATGTTTGTATAAAGGTGAAGATCACGTTGCTGTGTGGGAGGGACGTCCTCTGATAAAATGTGTTGTTTGATGGCTCTGTTTTCAGTATATCCAGCAGAACATTCGATCAGATTGCGCCAATATCGACAAAATCCTGGAGCCTCCGGAGGGTCAGGATGAAGGGGTGTGGAAGTACGAACACCTCAGGTATGTTGAGAAAACACTTTAAAAGGCTGTAGTTCGGGTGGAGGGAGCGCTGGGGCATGAAGGGTTACGATTTTTATTCTTAATAAGTTTTTGCACAGTACTTGACGCAAAGGAAACGAGGTGATGACATATTGAATTTAAGACTATTCCCGACCTTCAATCCATTGTAGTGGACGTAATGCCAGCTCTGTTGACGGTACCAGAAATGGAAGAATTAAATAGATTATGAGTAGGAGGGCAAATACAGATGGTCCCAGCTCCTCGACTAACCAGTAACTTCTTCCCAGTCATTTTGTTAAACTTTAAAAAGCATTTTTCATTCACAAACTATATTATTTAAATTTTTCTATCTTTTTTTTTTTGTAGGCAGTTCTGTCTGGAGCTCAATGGCTTAGCTGTAAAACTGCAGGTAAGTGGTCCAACTCGGCACATTGAAGGATTTCTGTTACAACCAAAAGCAAACATCCGAATGTGATGCAGTTTGATGCAACGTTTTTAAACTAACACCCACATAAACCGGTTTATTTTGTGATAGAGAGCACATGAATGAGCCCTGCACACTTTAGAAATAATAGAATCGGGTTGCTGTAGTCTTATATGAAGGGATGCGGACGGTCCTCCAGTCCAACGAGTACTTTAAAGGCGTGTTCATATTTCAGAGTGAGTGCCATCCAGACACCTGCACCCAGATGACCGCCACAGAACAGTGGATCTTTTTATGTGCTGCCCACAAGACCCCCAAAGAGGTGAGTCAAGAGTTCACTAAAAGCTCACTTGGTTGTCCTCTGCAGCTCATTCAGAATGCAGCAGCTCGACTGGTCTTCAACCTTCCGAAATTCTCCCACACTACTCCACTCCTCCGCTCTCTTCACTGGCTACCGGTGGCCGCCCGCATCCAGTTCAAAACACTGGTGCTCACGTACCATGCTGTGAATGGATCGGGTCCAGCTTACATCCAGGACATGGTCAAACCCTACATCCCTACCCGCACTCTCCGCTCTGCATCTGCAAAACTACTCGTCCCTCCCCCACTGAGAGCAAAACACTCGACTAGGTCTCGACTCTTCGCTGTCCTTGCGCCGAAATGGTGGAACGCGCTCTCTGAAGACATCAGGACCGCAGAGAGCCTTCACATCTTCCGCCGCAAACTAAAGACACACCTCTTCAGACTCTACCTCGACTAAAGACTAACAAATTGTAGCACTTTAACGGTACTGGGACGTCACTCATCTTTACAAATTGTAAATTCGCTTTTTGAGAAAATTGCACTTTCTTGTTTCTTGTTCTCCGAGGGTTGTCCCTAGGGTGGAAGGCCCTTTTTTGACGCCGCTTTGGAAAAAAGGGTCGGCTAAATGCCCTGTAAGGTAGTGGAAGGAAAGGAAATGCCTTTTTGAGCGGTTTTGGCCTGGCCCCCCCCCCCCCCCCCCCCCCCTCCTAAACACTCACCTTTGTGTCTCTGCATCCCCAGTGCCCTGCCATTGATTACACCAGGCACACGCTGGACGGAGCTGCCTGTCTTCTCAATAGCAACAAATACTTTCCCAGCAGGTCAGTCATGTTTCTTTTTAACCCTCTGATAACAGATTTTTCTTCATCACTTTGGGGGAAACGCAACATCAGCAGGAAAACTAGACCGAAGGGTCTGCTACGTCAGAAATATTCTGCAGTCCCCAATTCTAGGTTTTGGAAGCAATTTGGTGACTCTTAACTCCTTTCATGGCTGATATTGTAGGACTTCACACGGCTCCTTTGTCTTTGTAGGGTGAGCATCAAGGAGTCATCGGTGGCCAAACTGGGCTCCGTTTGTCGTCGCATCTATAGGATATTCTCTCACGCCTACTTCCATCACCGCCAGATATTTGACAAGTATGAGGTGGGTGTCTCCGGAAACATCTCACAAACTAACTTTATTTTGGCGGCTTGTCTAGATTAGTTTTTAGCTTGTCCTTAATTAAAGGGAATTCTACTTTCTTCATGCCCATTTGTCTCTGTGTACAGAACGAAACATTCCTGTGTCACCGGTTCACGCGCTTCGTAATGAAATACAACCTGATGTCCAAGGACAACCTGATCGTTCCCATTCTGGAGGAGGAGGTGCAGAACACCTCGTCGGCTGGGGAGAGCGAGGCCTAAACATACCAGCTGCTGGCACCGCGTGTACGACAGTCACATATGACAGGAGATGCATTCACACACCCTGCATACACAGTACACATCATATATAAATATACACACACTATGGTGTATTGAGGCTCATGTCTAGTAACTGTCCTTGTCCCCTGTGTCTCTCAACGGAGGTTAGGGTGTAAAGGAGAGCAGAGTTCATCCGTACCTGCAGGACAAGTTGATGTGTATTTTTCCCTTCGCTATTTACTGTTCATGCAGCCCGTGTCTCACACTACTCCTGTAGGGGATCCCCCCCCCCCCATTTGTTTTCCTTTAATCTTTTAGCAGCTGGATTTGCAAAATGTAATCATGGTGACCTGAATTAGCTGCCCCCTCCCTCTGTACATAACCCCCCCCTCCCTCACCTCCATCATATTTTATGATGGTGCTTCACTTTTTTTTGTGTCTGCTTCTATTTTGCTTGCGTTGCCTTCCAGCATTTTCTTTCCTCGGGGGGTGGGGGGGAGGGGGGGGGTGTCCCATGAAGCGGATCACTAAAGCAGCCTGCTGACTTGATAATGGTATTAAAACACGATTGTAGGTGTGTGGCAGTGTATAAAGACAACCTCTAGCTTTGTAAGCGTTCCAGATCTCCTCTGGTTCTGCTTCATGGTTTGTTCCTGACCTTCCTCATGGGACTGTGCTGCCGTAAGCCGGTTCTGATGAGCAAAGGGGCGAAACCTCGGCTCGGAGCACAACCTCCCGTTTATCCTCCCGCCTCATTAAGTTATTTTGTGGGAGAAGTCTTGTCTATCCGAACCCACTTTATTTTTTAAATGGACTAAAACATTTGTTACGTCGACATTTTCATGTCTGTTAATAAAAAAAAACAACAACCTTATTCCAGCGTTTGTCTTGTTCCTTGTTGTTAATGCGACATGTCTAAAATAAAAGCTCAAACAGGGAAATGCTGGAATGTTAATACTGACATTTAATATACTCTGGTAAATTGAAGAAAAATACATGTGGATCAAAGTGTTTTTACATGTTATTGGAATACGTTTGATTTTAAACATGCTAAAATCCAAGATATTTACAACAGCGCTGCGTCTTTAGAAAAAAATCCATTCCATTGTAAAAAGGCCTGCAGATTTAAGTTTTACAAAACAAAAGTAGAACCACAAGTTCTAAACCATACTCCAACATTACCCACGATGCAACGGGACAGTTGCGTCACAGGTTCAGGGGCTAATGTAGCCTGTAGTCTGCAGCAGAGACTAGTTAAAGCGGTCTTGTAGACTCCTTTCTGTCCAATCAGCAGTACCATTAAAAAAAAAAACATTAAGATGTTTTCATTGACACAACTGAAGCTTTAAAACCCTCCTTGGATAAATACTGTCTGTATACAAATAAAACTCAAATATTCACATCCAGTCGGAGGAGAGGGGATGAGCTGTAACTTTAGTGGGACGTGAGGAAAAATAAAACACAAATGGGTGTTAAAAAAAAAATGTGAAACTGATCTAATTCAAATAGAAAGACATGCGAGCTGGATCGAAGAGTCGAGTCCCTTTCCCTCATTTCACCACCGGTGTGCAGAAATCTGCCCCTGTGATTTCCCAGGACCAACAAAAAGGTGAATTTAAATGTGCTCTAAGTGTCTCCCTCATCCTCATTATGGCTATTAAAAACTTTTGAAAGTGCCGAGTTCTTCTGGATTGGAAGTCTGGAATCCAACGAGGTTTTTAATCACATGCAGGTGACCTCAGCTTTGCCCTCTTCCTGCTCAAAGCCACCCTCCTCCAGGTGGGACAGCGCACCGGCGTACCCCCCTCCGAACACCGGGAATCCCCCGATGCCCCCTGCGGCGGGAGACAGAGGCTCCTCCTCGTCCTGCGGAGGGACGGGGCGGCTGACCGCCCGGCTCACGGAGCGACGGGACACGTCACCGTGCACGGATGAAGCCTGCGAGGAGACAGCGGGTTAGTGCGTCGGTCTGTGACGTGACGATGCATCACCAAAATGTTTTGGTTTTTTTGACGACAATTACAGCTGTTTTAATTGTTCAAAAATCAAAATGAGGAACATCAAAGTTTCCTTTATTCCTTCCATAAAGCTCAGAATAAGAGTACATTGACATTTCCATTTGCACATCTTTTGCGGGTGTTCCAGTTTAAAGAGGCCAACCTAAAAGGACAGCGTGCATTCTCCACTCTGTCCACCAGGGGGGGCGTAGCCCCATAAAGAGCGTCCCTCGTTCTCCATCGATAAATGATACTGACTGAAGAAATAATTGCCTTAAACTCCAGTTTATATTGCTAAAGTCTTATTGTAAAACAATAAATACAATGGAACAGCTGGTCTCCATATAGAAGCCGCCTCGACGCTCCAGTGAGTTCATTATAGGGCCGAATGGTGGCTGAACTCTGCCTCTCACCTGGTTCCTCGGTTGTCCCGACGACGCCGGACCTCTGACCGGCCGCTGGAGGAACACCACCTGCTTGGTGGCCAGATTCCCATCGCTGCTCACACACACACACACACACACATTAGCCGTTGGAGCGGCGTCGCTGCGCAGTGGGCGGAGCTTTAATATCTACCTGTCGTGACGGATGATGGGGGTCGGCAGCACGCACGTCAGCAGCCACCCGAACTCGGCCAGAGTGTGAAGCAGAGGCCCGTAGTCGGTTTTCACATTGGTGCCCTGAGTGCAAACACAGTATAGACACATACATTAGGGATAAGTCAGCTGTCGAGGACAGAATACATGTAAAAACACACAAACACACACAAACACACACCTCGATGACGGTCCACTGCTCGACCACAATGGTGTCGTTGGCGGGGGGAGCGGTGCTTCTCTCCTCGTACACAAACAGTCCCTCCAGCGATCTGGGGACCGGCTCCCCTGAAACGCACAACGTCACTATTGGTTACCAACGTTGACATTGTTAAGCTTCTATTATTGTATATAAATATATGAATAAAGCCACTTTGATGATACAAAGAGAACTCTGACCGCAGAGGAAACATCCTGAAGTGGTTCATAATGACACAGTTATTAGAAATAGGTCACTGTGTGTGTGTGTGTGTGTGTGTGTGTGTGTGTGTGTGTTATAGCCCATTTATTTCAGGCCTCGGAGGTTTACGGACGTCTGCTACTCCGGAGGAACAGGAAGTGAGGTCGCCGGGGGTCGGGAAGACGACTCCAAATATAGACGCGGCGGGAGAGAGAAGAGGAGGCGACGCAGCCAAAACAGGAAGTGGCCGAGTTCACGAGTGTGTGAATCACCGTTTTTATGAGAGTAACGGAGAAGGTAGAGATGGACGGAGAAACACCAGATGTAATAAAACAAACTTTTAATGATGCAGTCAAATCAAACTAATGTGAATCTCCACATTGATGAACTAGCACATTAAAAACGTGCATTTGTTTTTCATTTTGATACTAGAACAGCACATCTGGCTGATGATGCATTTACTTAAAACAACCGTGGAACCCTGGACTCGAACCTGCAACCTTTGTTTAGACCGCGGAGCGCCAAACCGACCTTTGGGCGTGTCCCAGTAGACGAAGGAGTCCACCAGCGACCAGCCTCGGCGGTAGTAGGCGGCGGTCAGCTCCAGCCAATCGGCCTCCAGGGAGCTGACCACCTGGCCCTTCCTGGAGACGCGCATGGAGAGCGCCCCCTGGTGGTACTGACAGGCCAGCGAGTCGAGCGGAGCGCAGCCCGGAGCCCAGGCGTGGAAGAACACCAGCAACCTCAAGTCTGGGAGGCGGACGAGGAGGATAAATACCCGCACGGTACCCGAGAACAGGATCCATTAAGGCAGTCGTCGCCCACCTGGACTGTAGGTGTTTTCCTCCGGCCGTCCGTCTCCGGGCGGCGTGCGCGGCGGCGTGCGCGGCGGGGAGCGGCAGCTCCTCTTGGGACTGTGCACGCGGCCGTTGGTGACACCGCTCACCTGCTGGAGGACCGAGCCGACGAATCGAACGCCCCCGCGGGCGCTGCTGTTCACCTGCAGGGACGGACGAGACCAAAACATCTGGCTGAGCGGCGGAGGACTGGTTTGTTCTCGACGCTCACGAGGAGGAAAATTGCGCAGACGTTGAGAAGTGAACTGAATTTATTGTTATTTTTTGTGAGAACACGTGCAATGAAATCACAGAATAAGATTTAGAAACTGAGATGATCGGACATTTACCAGCTTTACAACTGCTGTGGTTACAACCCTTTTCAAAATAAGATTCAGCTGATGTACTCTTTGGCAACACGAAATTAAAGTATTTTATCCATTCTCAAAGGATTCTAGAGAGCTAGATTACGTTTTGAGGGATTCTTTTGTGTGTGAAAAGCTCAACGTTTTGTGTATTGTTCTTATCTAAGGAGACATAACTAGAAATTATTTTAACCTCCTCCAAATTCAGATAATGTGAAAGTATATTTCTTCTCCATTTTTTTCCTGAACTGGTGAAAATTTCAAACATTTCAAAAAAAGGGAAAGTGTTCATTATTTAACTTACTTGATGCTTCTGCAATGATCCAAATTGTTCTTCCTTAACGTATTTGCAGGGTTTTAGGGATGAACGCCTGATTTCTCTATTACCCCTCTGATTTCTAACAGGCCGCTGGAAACGCGGCTAAATGTCACTGACCCGGTCGATGAGGGCTCGCACCGTGTCGCCCGTCAGCGAGTCTCCAGGTAGCGGCCACTCCTCCACCTTCAGCACGGGCGCGCTGTGACACATGGACGCCATCTGCTTACTGGAAACACACACAGGCCAAAGAACCCACGAGACAGAAGGTGAGAGGAGTCAGTGGAGGAGGGGGGCTGAGGGGGGTGAGGGCTCTGGGTTCGTGTCCATCTGGAGGGGGGTCATAGTTCACTTGTAATCGTCACTGAGCTGCAGACACCAGCACATAAATAATTCTCCGGCTCGGCGGGAGGCGACTGTCCGAGCAATTAACACGGAGCGTAAACAAACCGCACACGACTTTCTGCATCTTCAACACCAGAGAGGAGTCGCTGCACAAAGACGCCGGGGTGGAAGAGGTGCTCTGTTGTACAGTACGAATAAAGAGAGGTCACTTACATGAGTGCTAACAGAAATTAAAGTATTGAAGTAAAAGTGCTTGTTGGGCAGAATGATCCCTTTCACACAGGAATATTTTAAATACATATATTATATGTGAATATACAATAACATTTACATTTTTCAGCTGGTGGGTGACATTTTAACTACTTTGAATGCTGTTGAATGGTTTAATACACAACAGTCATACATTTTGTAGATTTATCATGCTTTGCTTAAAACTGTAGCAGAGCAAAATATTTAACTGAAATATACTAGAGAATAAGGATGTAGTAGAACATGAAAGTAAAGTTAGTAAAATAGTAAAAATACCTAAATACCTCAAATTGAACTTAAGTACAGTAGTTGAGTAAATCCCCGTACTCTCTACTGCTGCTTAGTATTTCACTTTTGTTCAATTTTTCATTAACATTATTAATTCACCTCTTCTGGCATCTTAAGAAATAAAAATCCTCATCATAGTTACAGTCACCCCACCAATCGAAACGCAGAGAATAGAGATACTCGAATCCCATTGGCCGCTGCGGCCCCCCTGTTGTTGGGGGGTGGGGGGGGGGGTTCTAGCCCAGACGAGTCACGGCAGACATAAACCCAAACAGTCTGCTCCGGGCTCGCCGGGCGCACCTCGTACCGGCGCTCTGCATTATGCAGCGGACTTCATTCATCATTCATCATTTACTAGACCGCGAGGAGGCGAACGTGTGACCACAGTGGGAAGGGATGTGTGGCAGAGCGAGTGGAGTCGCATCAACACAACACGTTCGGACTCATTGATCCGGTGAATCCATAGCGAAACAGCAGCCACCAGCACCCATCAGAAATGGGGTTCCACAGGGGTCTATGGGCGGCCCACTCCCATTCCGCCAGATGCTTCTGAAGCCAATGTTTCATATTCTCAGTGGATTTCACTGCCCTCAAAGAGGTTAAAGTATCCAACATTTAAAACTCATAAGAATTTTAGAGGTTGAGATAGTTATCAAGCGAGTACACGATCCAAAAGGATTTTTAGAAACTCAGAGTCATACAAAAAACAAATGATTCAGTATTTCACTTCTTTTAAGATTCGTGAAACGCAAAATACATTGAGTATTTTAGAAAGTTTAAGGCCGTAAAATAGGATTTCAGGGTTATCTAATCAGTACTTCTACATTGTATGCCGAGTTATGAAGTGGTACATGTGTGTGTATAGACCTGTGGACTGTAACATCACTAAAGTGAGAACATTAAGGAGGGTTAGGTAGGATTCATGTACCTGGATCTGGGACGGGCCAGGATGGCTCGGTAGAGCAGGCTGAAGGGGAGCGAGCGGGTTCGACCCACAGACAGGATGATGGGGTGCAGGGCGGTCAGGACGTAGCCTTGGGTGTAGTAGGGCTGCAGCGCCTGCGGCAGCTCGGACAGCGACGCCACATATTGCACCGTGGGACGACTACCTGCAGGAACAGGGACAGCGGAATGGATTCATAAATGGTGACGCAGGGTGTGTTTTTCCATCCATTACTGAAGGGACGGGCACAAGAAGACAGGTCAAATCCTCATACTGCTGTGGCATATTTGATCTATTTTTATTCTCCATTTATTGTTTAGTCTTTTAAATGTCTAGCCTGGGTTAAGACTTCTGTATCACTGCAACAAGAAATTTGGATTAAAGCGAAACAAAGACTTGAATCCATTTATAAAATGTAAGGAAACAGTGAAGGGTGATGTATTGTTGATATTTTAATATATGGCTATTATTACTACTTTGTAAAATGAATGCTGCAGGGAAGTGCACATCCCCCCCAATAGATTAGATAAACAGCTGATCGCAGGTTGTGTCCTCTGGTGTACTGGTCTCCTTCCACATGATATCCATTTCCTCCCCACTGTCAGCGGCATAACGAGAGCACGGTCAGTGGTGAGGAGCTTGTAACTCGTTGCTGTTGTTTCCTTTAAAAAAAAAAAAAAAAAAGGAACCCTGGCTGGAAATCCCAGTGACCATCACCGTGCTTCCTGTGTCCACAAAGAGTGGCTGTTCACAGGGGGGGTTTGGCCATGTGCCCCACGGACACACACACACACAGTCCATTTAACACATTAAGTTGTATGCATGCGAGAGCATTCCTCACTACAACCCCCCCCCCCCACACACACATTCTCACAAACAAACCCCCAGAGATCCACAGAGATCACCCGCCGCCTCTGAACGGTGCGTCTCGCTGCCTCCGCCACGAGACTAAAGACCGACCGAACCTCAAGAGGAAGCAAACGCCCGGCCTGCATCCCTGTGGCTTCAGATTCCCCAAAACACTTTAATATAGATTTAACACGGTGGGGGGGGGGGGGGGGCGAAAATGTTGCTTTCTTGGGGGACAAAGTTGACGCTTCCGCTAAACTCCTTTCCAGGTTGAACCGCTCCACCGGGAGGACCATGATGTCATGCACACACACACACACAGCTGCCACTCACCCCGTCAACCCACACACTAAGGCCTCTGTTTAGCGATGTGTGGGAGAAAGAATTGAGGAATAGGGGGTGTAGCGGTGGGAGCTGGCAGGATGGGTGAGGGGGCTTAAGGGCCTCGAGTGGAGTTGAGCAACAACTGGAGGGCAAAGAGAAGGGGGTCGATCCGACAGAAAGGGGAGGGAGGGAGGAAGGAGCCAGTCGGCAGTTACGAGATGGATTTCATGAGCCTGTGTGTGAATGGGAGACGAGGTGCGAAAAGGAGAAAAGCAGCCCGGCAACAAGGAGGCGAAAACGAGCAGCTCTGTGAGAACGCTTTGATGCCGACAAAGCCGACGTCAGAGCGCTCAATTAGTCGAGATCTAGTTTGTAACCCCCCCCCCACGACAGAGATGAACTTGTGTATCGGCCGATGCATCAGATTCACGCCAATAAAAACATGTCAGCTAAAACTTGCAGATTTGTTGCCCTTATGCAGCAAACTGTTGATACATTTTTAAATAAAGATCCCCGTTGGACCTGCGAGTTGTAGATTTCCCGGTCTGAAATATCGGCGCTGGGAGAAGAATCTAAATAAAATCAGTTCAGCTGATCATCAGCATGATTTGTGTTATGGGGGGATTTAGAGATGAACCAAAGTAGACACTTAACATATTACCATATTTGTTCACACATTTGGGAGTTACAACATATATATTCATTTTTGTTTGTGTCCAACTGATTTAAATCTATTACCATCTATTTTAGCTCCTTGTTTGGTCTCCACCAACTCCTGAGAGAAATATCTTTCTTCAGCCGTTAAATCCAATTTCTCAGGAAAAAAACAACGCTTTGAGGGCTGTGAGATTGAGATTAGGGGGGGGGGGGGGGGGGGGGGGGGCTTATTTTCTTTTTAAAACCAATTTTGAAGGAATCTCAGCTCAACATTGGCCGCATTATGCCAATCAAATGGAATCAAAGATAATGGATTCCTGAGTGCAAGTTGGGCGGGTTTGTGTCGCCCTTCAAATCTCCTCTAAATGCAATAATGAAAGTAGCGGCTTTAATCTGAAATAATCCCGCGTATGCTGCTAGATTCACAGATTAGAGAGAGATTACAGAAAATTGTACCCGTCCCTGAGAATGATGGTTACAGGCAGGATTCTAAAAAAATCAACACTGAATCGATGCCCCAGTAGGTCAGACGAATCAAATCAGTCTCCAGTCTCTTGACGGATCAGTTTTCCATTAAAACGCACAGTCTCCTCAACCATCTCAGTCAGAGTTCATCCAGCCAGCGATGAATGCGAGTCGCCTTCGCTCACGTCATGTCTCCACCCACACAATCCCTCTGCAGCGTCCCGTTCGTTCATCTGGTCCTGACGCGCCTTCGCCGTGCAACTTTTCCATCATCCTCTTAACCTCGATAGTCCCCTTCAACAGGGAGCCAGCAAAAACAAAAACATGCGCTCATACAGACCTTTTACTTTAAGATAGGTCTATTTATTCCAAGGGTGTTTTGCAGCAGTTGCAGTACAAAGTGGGACATATCGAAGGAACACATCCGTTTGCTTCTAGAACACTGCAGACATGCTAGAAGCTCTGTAGGAACGGCGGTGCGTTCGATCTAAGAGGGTAAAGTCAGCATGCTAAACATTAACAATGATGCTAACCACGATAGCCATCTCGCTTTAGCAGCATGCACGTACAGCCGAGGCGGACAGAACGTCACTCGTTTTTCAGATATTCGGTAAAACAAAAAAAACTGAAGTAGTGAGTAAAAACTGTTGAGGCCGCCCAGGGTGGTGCAACAGGAAAAGTGGATCAGCAAAATCAAATCTTCATCCTCTGAGGACCATGAATGTCCATGTTCTTCTTTTAAGCATGAAAAATCGGGAAGACTTAAAAAAAAAAAACAGATTATATTGTTCATGAAACACTTCTTCTAAAATGTTGGCTGCTGCTCCTAAACAAATTTGTCTCACCGGTGGGATTCATTCAATTTTCCTTTCTGCATATTTTAACTGTTCTCAAGAAGCTTCATTTTAATGCTATTCTTCTGACTTCTTCAACTCAACCCCCCCCCCAAAAAAACCTGGCAGGTTTTACCGCACCGAGCTTCAAAAAGTAAAGAACACACAATGAGCGGTTTGCAATGAAATAAATAATTCCTATATTCAGAGCTTTTTAAGAGTCCACCGGATTTCTGGCCCTCGCGTGCGGCCACCAGTAATGAGGTCGGGGGGGGAAATCAGGCGCTTTGATGTGCTGCCTCCGGCTCCGGGCCTCCACGTCCAGGAGGAATAACCAGGCCGAGCTGCCCTGCTACCGGGCACAACGGGGAGTGTGTGTGTGTGTGTGTGTGTGTGTGTCTGTGTGTGTGTGAGGACGCAGATGAAGAGTTGTGACAGCGGCTCCGTGTGTGTGTCCCAGAAACGCTTCATCGGTTCAAGGAGAACCCAAGGAGAAGGATGGAGTGATTCCTACGACGGCCTCCTGGCTCGCGTTAACCCACAGCGGGTTTCCTCCTTTAAATAAATGTTTTTCCCCTTTCTGGTGAGACGGGTGGTGCAGGTGGAGAAACTCGAGTAAACATAAAAAACATTCCCGGAAAAAAAGAAAAAATGCTGCAGGAAGACGTGAGGCTCATTCGGAGCGAGTGTAAGGAAAACACACCCGGCCCCACATGCTCGGCTTCGTCTGTAATTCGGGAAGCGGCGGCTCGACGGACGATTTCCGTTAACGAAAGTTAAAATGAGGCGAGCAGCACCGCTCTTACTCGAGCAACCAGCTCAGTCTGGTAGAAGACGACATGCTACGGATTTGGGAGGCAGCGAGCCAGGAGGACCAGCTGAGCACGAGAGCATGTTGGGTTCATCACTTCTTTCCTGGGGGAGGACATCACACACAGCTGTGTGCCGCCAATTTATAATCCTGCCGTGACTCGCGTGGGCACTTTCGGGGGGGGGGGGGGGGGTGTAAGCGACCAAGTTTAAAAGGCCAGCGGGCGCCGGTTCGATGCTTTGCAGGTGAGGAAGTCATGAATTGTCAGCACACAGCTGGAAGCGGTTGATCTCGCCAACAACATTTAGACGCTCACATTCAAACCGTGCGTCTTCCAATCTGATGACGAGGAGACGGACGTGGAAATATGGCACTTTGTCGTCTCATCTTTTGAGAAATTAAGGCCACATTTACAGAACCGAATATTTCTGCCCCTCCGTACGCACAAGGTCGTTTTCAAAAAGAGTTTCCGTTTATATGAACCCGCATAAATACGCCATCATAGAAGGATGAAGACATGCAAACCAATCAGAATGCTCAAAACCAACAACAACTACGAAAAACACGATCAACTTCCTTTTCCTTTAGGAGAGCAAATATGGCGCGAGGTTCATTTGAATGTACAGACAGCGACGTCGACTGGTTCGTGCAGCTTCTTCGGCAACGTGGGACCACAAAGAGGCGGCGCGTGCGAGAGGAGGCGCGCCGTGGGTCAAAGGTGGATGCAGGCTGACGATCTGTGACCCACTCCGGCGCCGTGTGTGAACCCGGCTGAGAGCAGAAGCCGCGAACCCACCAGAGGAGCGTTCACTGAAACGAGACGCAGCGTTGAGGCAGCGGGAGGGGGACTTCACGTCGACGGGAGGCGGCGCTCCGGCCACCTCGTTGGGAGCAGCGCTTTCCCTCCACGGTTCACGATCCGTCCCGGCCTGCGGCGAACACGCTCGGGGCGCCCCAATCGGGACTTAAATCGCCATTTCCTTCCAAATGGGTCACAGTCACAACAGCCAGTCTGAGGACCAGATGAAGGGATTATCCCCGGAAAAAAAAAAAAAAAGAAAAAGAAGAGAAATGTCTCTCGCCAATCTGAGATTATCACACGTGCTCAAATTAATTCCACATCCCAGCAGGTGGGGTTTCTCTCCGCATTTTGCTCCATGCAAAGCACACGGAAAGGTGTGTGTGTGTGTGTGTGTGTGTGTGTCACGGGAAGAAGGCTGCGTGACCTATTTCTATACTCTGAACCGCCCTGTTGCTAGGAGAAGTTCACGGCTTGATGGCGTAAAACGTCGCGCACGGTCACTTTGAAAAGGGCTTTAAAATTGGAGCGAAAATGATTAGCAGGCGAATCAAAATGAGTTAGTAACAAAATGACGCGACGTTTCCAACTAAACGAACGCTTCAATCAGAAGGAGGAAGCGGGCGACCGTCCGGCCTTTTTAATGTGGTGAAAGGTGAAAATAGTAGAAATAGAAGTGAGTGTATTCGTTTGTTCTAGTGTGTTTAGCTTCATTAAGATTTATACATTCGGGACGGTTTGGTTTATAAAATGCCAGATAACATGGGAGGGTACAATCTCCCACGTTTACATATTCAATGTCTTATTTTAACCAAAAGCCAAAGATGTTGCACTTATAATAACATAAGAGAAAAAAAAGAGCATTAGATCTTCACACTAAGCTGATACCAGAAGATGTTTAGTGCTTTAGACTAAATTAAAAAAGAAAATAAAAAATTTCAATGTAACTGAACAATGAGAAGAGTTGAAATCCAAAGAAATTTAACACAAATCTTAACTTTTACGAACATGACCCGAAAATATTTGGCATCTTTTTTTTGTTTGAAATGCAACTGAAATACAGATCTGATTTGCTAAATAGTCGCAGGGTAACTTTCGTTTGGTTGTTTAATCAATTTATAATTGAATAAACTAGTTTTGTCTGACCAACAACTAAACATATGTTAAAAAATAAACTTCACGCTTCTTTAAAATCAATCATTAATGGATTAATCACACCTGTTGTTAGTTCATTTTCGGCCCACTTTTTTTAGTTCTCTCTTGGGTCTGAATATAAAAAGGGACTTTCATCATATCGATTGATTGATTGATTTGGTTGAAAACGTGGTGGCATCTTCTTACCTTCCAGGCTGAAGTCGAGCAGCACGTACTCGTACACCGTC